GGACCCAGCTTACCGCCGACCAAAACTGGTTGCACGGTCAAACCGCATAGTACACGTCGGTTGATGAAAGTAGGTACGTTTGGTTTCCAAGATCCCATTGTATTTCAAGCGACTTCCTACTTAGAATCAAATCTGTATGTTTTTGCTGTATGTTGTTATTAGATTGGGGGCCGGACCCCATCTACTTTATCCGCCTTCCTACTTAATGTGTTTAACAAATGTCTTCCGACCGACGGGTAAGGATGGGCAACCTTCCCAAGGGTACCGTTGCATCCTTGCCACTTCGGCCCATTCTTAGCAACTTTTGCTCGCCAACCTTGCTCATCGGAAACCATTATAACATTGCCCTCCAAGGCCATTGCGCCCTTACCGCGTATGGGGAGGAGGAGGAAGGGGAGGAGGAGGAGGAGGAGGAGGAGGAGGAGGAGGAGGAGGAGGAGGAGGAGGAGAAAGAGGAGATGGATGGGACGAGGACGAGGAGGGAGGACGAGGAGAAGGAGGAGGAGGAGGAGGAGGAGGAGGAGAGAGGAGGGAGGAGGAGGAGGAGGACGAGGAGGACGAGGAGGACGATGGATGAGGAGGAGGAGGGAGGAGGAGGAGGAGGAGGAGGAGGAGGAGGAGGCCCTGCATCGTGCTCCTGGCGCCGGGTGCGAGGCGAGCCTGACGTTGGCGGCCTCGGGGGCCCGAGGCCCCCCCCCGCGGCTCCCAGGGCCTCCCACGGGACCTCCCCCGAGATGAGAAGCTCCGTGCGGTCACTGCCGAGTGCCTCCGTGTGGCACCCCGTCTCCTCCTCCTCCTCCTCCTCGTCCTCCTCCTCCTCCTCCATTTCCTCCTCCTCCTCCTCCTCCTCATCCTCCTCCTCCTCCTCCTCTTCTCCCTCCTCATCCTCCTCCTCCCCCTCCTCCTCCTCCTCCTCCTCCTCCTCGTCCGTCACCGCCCACCAAGCCACCCCAACCCAACCCGAATGCTCCGACTTGCCCTCCGTTTCCAGTGGGGAGGGGGAGGAGTCGGGGAGCAATGGAACAACACACATATGAAGAGGCCGTCCCCCCCCCACCTAAGCAGAAATTCGGGTCTTCGGGTTGAGTTGGGGTGGTTTGGTAGGTACCCCGTTTGGTCTCCCTCGTTGTCTCCATGGCTCGACGAGGAAAAGACGCCATAAACATGAACTTTGGGCCCTCCGCGCGGATTTCCTGGATCCGCGCTGGGCTCCCCTGGGCGGCGCCTCCGGCGCCGCCCCTGGCGCGTTCCGCGCTCCAGGGAGGGCGGTCCAGCGCAGATCCAAGAAATCCCCGCGGAGCGCCAACAGTTATGTTTATGGTGTTTTTTTCTTCTAGTATGGAATCCCGTTTGGTCTCCCTGATTATGTCGTTTTTCTTCTAGTATGGTATCCCGTTTGGTCTCTTTTCTTGTCTCCATGGTGGTCGTTCTCTTATTAATTGTTTTGCCGATCGGCGTGGGCCCTCACACCCCCCCCTTCCCACCCCCTCCCCTGGAGTAGATCTCGGCTGTTCTTGGCGCCTCTTTCAAGCAGGTGGGGGCTCCCCCATGGGACGCACTGTTGCAAACAGTCGCACTAAGCAGAGGTCCAGAGCCAGAACTCTCCACCCTCCCCCCCCCTCTTCCGCCCACTGTCGAAACGCCGAATAAGAGAACATTCACATGATGGCCTTGTTCATGCTATCCCGTTTGGCACGTGCTGGAGTACTCTCTATATAATATTATGCTTTCTCGGTGGTCCTCTCTAGAGTGCCCTCTTCAGTACTCCGGTTATGATGAACATCCTGGAGGCCTCGCGCTGCGCGTAATAGTAGTATGATCTAGTCCACTTGTCAGTTCCGTAAGCTATGGGTCGACGTTCGCGCGGCGATGCTCCAGAGTCAGTCCGACGTACATCCGACGTAAATCCAACGTAAATCCGACGTAGCCCGACGTAAACCCGACGTAAATCCGACGTGGATCCGACGTAAGTCGTGTCTCAAGTTGCCGCGCGAGGCCTACAGGATTTTCTTCATAACTCCAGGGAGCTGCTTAATTTGAAGTCGGGCCTGTCCCTCTACAGGAGGAACGTTCGAACATAGTGAAAAAATAGTCTGGGCACGGCTTCTTGATTTGTTGTTGGCCATTCTGGGCGTATTGTTTAGGTGTTTGTTTATGTTTGTCGCCCGAGCTCCGCTTGTAGGGGGACACGCCCGATCTCGGCTTAATTGGGCTCTTCTACCGCCCAGGGTGCAGTCCCAGCCTCGGGGCTGGAGCCTTGCTTGTCCCTCGCGCAGCATGGGCTCTCGGCCCCGTACTGCTTCGCCCCGCATGCTCTTGGCTCCTCCTCCTCCTCCTCCTCCTCCTCCCCCTCCTCCTCCTCCTCCTCCTCCTCCTCCTCCTCCTCTTCCTCCTCCTGCTGCGAACAGACCTGAAGACCATGAGTCGTAGCGAACATACATGCACAAGAAACAGAGAGAGAGAGAGAGAGACCGAGCACGGGTGGCCTGGTACATCACCTTCAGGGCTCATCCACCGACCCGTACGGGTCAAGGGGCACGTAAAATCGTGCGAGCACATCCGAGGGTGATTAGTCGCGCACGCTGGTGCCTTGTGCAAAAGCAATTGCGTCAACGACTCTCTCGACAAGAAATCTAGACACGCATTCGACGGCTCCATCTTCTGGGAACCCTGGCATGTATGCTGAATGGAACGTAAAACTCGACCCGCCTGACATGCACCTGGTGAGCTCGGTGCTGGTCAAACATTCACGCACCTCAGGGATTTCCCAAGGAGAAGGTGAGTAGCATGACACATGCACACGAGGAAAGGACAAGCAACATGAGACTTGACAGGCACTGGCGAAATATACGAACATCACGGCACACAGGAGCATGGAGTTCTCCGTCTGGAGTAATTATTGCCCCTTATCTTGCAACCTCCTCCTCCTCCTCCTCATCCCCCCCCCCACATGTGATTGGTCCACGCACGGTCCACCTCGATCCGATCGATCCGATCGGGTGCCCTCTTCGGCCAGCCCGATCTGATCCGATCCCGATACGCAGCCGATCCGATGCGTCGTGATGCTTGCATGGGCGCTGTTGTGCATCCTGGACCAACCGATCCGACTCGATTCCGACTCTTTGCCAACGCGGCCCGATCCGAGGCACAGTTCGATTCGTCCCGGCTTCCGGTTCGATGACCATGGATTTTGCCCGTAGCGTTTTGGTCACCAGGGTATCGTGGGCCCCATCGGGACAGCGCAGCGTCAGGGCGGGGAACAGTTCTTCTACTCGGTAAGAGTTGAACGACTTCTTCCGCGTCAATCCACTCGCGCTACAGCCTCCATGATTTCCCCAGAGTAACCAGCCTCGAACTTATCCCTATCCCTGAGATTGACACGCCAAAAGGCGATGACAATCTTAGTGATGCACCCTCAGAAACTGAGGGATTTCTTAAGATCGCCGTCGTGGCGAGGCGATGCCCAACATAGGGATAGGGATAGGGATAGGGGATGCGTGGACATCTCTGGATTCACTTTGCAGAGGTGGTTTCCCGCGAAGCCCTCCTGACGGGCGCACCCCGTGCAGCGAGTATCTTCATTGGCTGGGCCTGCTTTCGAGGTCGCGCGTGGCCTTGGCCCGTTGGTTATGCCGTGCCCCATCGAGATCCATGCTCAGGGATAGACTTCGTCGGTTGCCCGGTCGTTCCTCGATCTACCTAGTTTGAGCCTCGCAGGTCGATTGGCGAAGCGTCCCCAGGCGCTTTATGGAGTCGCCAGGCCCTTGGATGAAATTCAGCATCGGCGCTGGTAGATGCTGGGTCAAACACTGGCCTAATCCGTCACCGCCCCGCCCAGTCGCGCTCAATCCAGCCTGATAGGACTTACCCTCAGGCTCAATCTGGGCCCTTCTGGCCTAGTGGTCCTTCTGACCGGGCTTAACTATAATCGTTGCTGCGAAGGCTTCCCAGGAGCTGCCTTCTGAGATTTGCCTCGGTCCATCGGGTGTGATCCTCGGAGGTCGGGTGGAGCAGTCGAAGAAGAACACATGCAATCATCAACATTTTCGGAGGTCCTCGCGGATGTGTTGTTTCGGCGCTGGGCCCCTTGGCGGCACCTTTGGCGCAGCGCTCTCCGCGCGCCAGGAGGGCCCAGCGCTAACCCAAGCCATCCGCGCGGACTTACGACAGTTTATGGTTATGCCTGTTTTGTTCATCGAGAAAGAGTCGCTGATTCATTGGAGATCCAGAGCCTTGTTGGCGGCTGGGGGGACTGCACTCACTGCGCTCCGAGCAATTCGGAAGAGTGGGGTCACGAGGGCGAATCCGCTGAAAAATTGTCCCTGGACCAGTCCTGGGGCCGATGCTAACGAGTTTTTCCAGCCGCGTCCAGCCGTGGCGACGAGCTGGCCCCTTCACCCTTGTCTTTTTTGCTGGCCGGAGCCGCTGCTGGGCCGCCTCGGGCTCCCAGCTGGCTCCAGGCCGATCCCTGAGCTCCGACGTTGCGAACACAGGGCAGCACGGCGCCAAATCACGGCCCGAGCCCCAGACCCCACGTTTCTGCACGCCTCTTCGAGCCAGATCGACCCGTGGGGCCCCCGGGGCCCGCAGCGGGGCAGAAACGCCAGGGTGTGCAAGCAGCCCCCCAGCCGGCGAAGCGGTGCCTGAGAGCAGCTGCCGGCACGTCGTCCAAGCCAGGGGGTAGGAGGCGAGGAAGGCGCGCGGACAAGGAGGGGGGAGAAGGCGGAGGAAGAAGGAGGAAGAGGAGGCGGAGGAGGAGGAGGAGGAGGAGGAGGAGGAGGAGGAGGAGGAGCAGAAGCAGGAGGAGGAGGAGGAGGGGGAGGGGGAGGGGGAGGAGAAGGCGGGGGAGGAGGGGGAGGAGAAGGCGGGGGAGGAGGGGGAGGAGGGGGAGGAGGGGGAGGAAAGGGGAAGGAGGAGGAGGAGGATGGGGGAGGAGAAGATGAGGGAGGAGGAGGAGGAGGAGGAGGAGGAGGAGGAGGAGGAGGCACGCGGAGCCGTTTCGTCGTTTCGCCCCCCCTCCGCGCCGACGGGCGCCGCCGCCGCCACCCTCAGCCATGGCCGGCCGCCGCGCGGCCTCCCGCGCGCCCGCGGCGGCGCTGCCGCTCCTGGCCGCGCTCGGGTGGTGCCTGTGGTGCTCGGAGCCCCGGGGCGGGCGGAGGGGCTGCGTTCTCAAGCCTCGTCGGGGGCGGAAAAGAGGGGGGTGATGACTACGGGGGGGGGGGGATATCATGGCGTGGGCCATGATTTTTCCCCAGATCTCATGGCGCCTCTTCTTGTTTCATTACGTCCCAGGCCCCCCCGCTGGGCCGCGCACATGCCGCCGGCCATGATTTGCACCCCCCCCCCTCTTGGACCCCCCCCCTCTTGGCCGCCCCCGAGCCTCGGGCCGACCGCGCTGATGAGCAGAGCTATGCCGCGAGCTCTGCCGCGTGTGGGACGGGGGAGACGGGAGGACGAGGAGGTCCTCTTCCTCCTCCTCCTCCTCCTCCTCCTCCTCCTTCCTCTCCTACCTGCGTTCAGTCCTCGGACCGACTACTCGTGCGAGCATCGACGAAGAGAAAACACCATAAGCCTAAACTTTTGGCGCTCCGCGGATTTCTTGGATCGGCGCCCGAGGCCCCCCGGCGGCGCCTCCGTCGCCGCCCCTGGCGCGTTCCGCGCGCCAGGGGGGGAGGGTCCAACGCAGATCCCAGAGGTCCGCGCGGAGCGCCACAAGTTCATGTCTGTGGCGTGTTTTTTTCTCCCTCTGGAGCAGCCCCTCGCTGGAGTGGCCTCTGGTGCAGGCTCATCGGGGTCCCCCCGGTGGATGAGCGCGATGCGATTGTGGCTGCATGCGCGCCCAGATGTGGCCACCCTGCGCCCCTGGAGTCCGCGCGCCAAGAGTCACCCTTGCGTGTATCAGGAGGGGAAAAAAACACACGGACACATTTAATCGTCGATTCCCAAGAAAATATGGGAAAATTTCGGAAGTGGGGGGGAGACAAAAACCCAGGAAATATATGAAAATATGGGGACTTGTTTTATTTGTGTGTATTTATTTGTGTGTCCCAGGGCCTCTTCAGTCACCCTTGCGTGTAGCCGAGCGGATCTTGAGCTGGCATTCCCTTGCCCTGAGATCCTGGCGGCTCGCTTGGTTCGAGCCCGGCGTTTTCGGCTTTCTGCGGGCCCCAGGGCCCTCGCAGATCGATCCAGCTCGAATTCTGACGCAGAAAGATGGGGTCCAGGGCGTCGGGCGTGATTGTTGTACGATGTTGCCCTTTTTTGGCTACGTCGGATCTCATGGAGCCTCGGACCATGAGCTGGCAGTTCCTTAAGGTGCGCAGACCGACCATGTCTAAGGTTGTCTACACGCACCAACAGGTTTTTCAAACAAGCTTCCCAGCCTACAGTCACACAAAACCACATGGAAATGCAAGACAGTATGAGCTGGCAATTGTTTAAGCGGCCCGGATCGACCTTGCTTTAAGTATGTCTTCATGCACATGCACATGACACGCCTTCCAACCTAAAGCCATACGACGCCACATGAAATTTATAGAAAGTATGAGCTGGCAATTCCTTAGGATGCCCGATCGACCATGCGTAAGTATGTCTGTATGCACCGAGAAATAATAAAGCATCTTTTTATCCTAAATCTCCTGAAAGCCACAGGACGCTAATCGTATAGACAGAATGACACCACAAGAAACTGCAAGAAACGATGGCAATTCCCAGGCCTCCCAGATGGGGTCCGAGGAGACGGGGCTGGAGAACCCGCCGCAACGCCGATGCATCGGCGATGCGACTCCACGCCGACGTGGAGCCGATGCGGAGGTGCCCGATGTTCTCCATACCGACAGCGCCGATGCGTTTGCGACGTCGCCGATCCATCGGCGACGCGGCGCGATCCTCCGACCCCATCTAATCGGACCCCTTTTGGGAGGCCTCTGCAACTAGCACCTTAACCTACACGACCCCCAGATCTTGTGGGGGTGGACTTCTCCAAGGGCTGCGGTCGGCCACGTGCAGAGGTGTTAGTTTGGGGGGAGGCTTCTCAGAAGCACCCCGGCTTCTCAGAAGACGCGGGCCTTCTCTGCAGATGTAGCGCTGGCGCCTTGAAAGAAGTTGCGAAGCCTTCCCCCCGCCCCCCTGCCAACGTTTGCGCGCTGCCAAAATATGGTTGCATTTGGTCGGAGGGGTGTCTTCGCTCCGCCAGAGGGGGCCCCTCCGGGCGGGCTCCTCGGAGCCCCGGGCAGGCGAGGAGGGTGCGGTCCGGACTCGGAGGAGGAGAGGGTGCTTTCCCCGCCCCGTTGAGAGTCTCAGCTCCTGCCCGAGGCCGGGGCTATGGCCAGTTTTCGGAGCCACGGTTTCGAGATCCGTTCTGTGCGCCTTGGCTATATGTTTGCCCCCAAGGCTGCGCACTCAATGTTTGCCCCCACGTCACGTTTGCTGGAGATTCGGGCCCAACGAGGTCCTTGCTGATGTTCCTGGAGCTGTTCGGGACTGGTTTAACAATTTCGAGGCCTGGCTGGGGGTCTTTCACGACGTTCCCGATGAGCAGCGCGGTTCGTACATGGGCCGCGGGTTGGGCCCTCAGGTGTCGGTGGCGCCCCTGCAAACCCTTTGGGGTCGAGAGGCTCGTCGGAGGTTCAGCCCGTCAACCACGTGCTGGATTGCTTTTCAGAGCTTGGCCCTCAGGGGCTCGAAGCTGGCAGCTGGGGCTCTTGGACATCGGGGCTGGGGAGCGGCCTCACGCTGGGCTAGCGCCCAACTGGACATGATAGGTACTATGTATGCCGGGGACCCCCCAGCCCCGCAGAAGCAGCAGGAGGGCGTGGAGCGCCCGTGCGAGCAGCAGTTGCGCGCCTTGATCGGTCAGATCAGCGAGGGCGGGTCGCGGCCAGACGACGTGTTGTGGACGGGGCTGGCCAGCTTCGTTACCTTTTTTGCAGCGAGCGGGTGCGCGCGAGCGTGGGCGCAAGTGGAGGACCTGGGCTAATGAAGCTGTGTTGAAAGGGGGGAAGGCTGCGCATGCCTATGCTAAGAAGAGGCACGCCTCCCCCTCCAACGTCCTGGATCCCTCGGGCCCCCCCGTGAACGGAGATGATGTCATGGCCCAGCTCCTCGACGAGTGGCTGCCGATGTGGGCGCCGTCTGGGCGCGAAGCCGTGGACCTTGGTCGCGGGGCATAGGCGACAGCCAGCTTCCCCCGTTACCCTTGGAGGCTTTTCAGGACTGCTGCAGGTCTTACTCGGAGGGTGCAGGGCTCGTCTGGGACCAGTTTCACCTTAAGCTGATCTTGCAGCTGCCCCTAGAGTACCCCCTCAGGGTCTTGAGGATTATCCAAGGTTTCGAGGATCGCCCGTCTTGGATGATAGAGCTGGTTGCGAATATTGTCTTTATTCCGAAACCAGATGGAGGGTCTCGGCCCATTGGGCTGCTGTGTCTGTTTACTAAACTCTGGAGTAAGCTCAGACAACCCTTGTGCAGGGAATGGGAGAAGGCCCACAACATGGAGCTTTTCTGGGGAAGCGGGCCCGCGACGACGTGCGAGAGGGCGGGGTGGACCCACAACTTGCTAAGCGCGTTCTGCAGGGCCATCGACACGGACAGTGCGACAGTACTGCTAGACCTTCAGAAGTTTTATGAGCATGTGCGACATGCTGATCTGTTTGCGGCGGCCAGGCTGTTCGGATTCAACGTGAAGCTTCTCAGGGGTCCCGTTACAGTCTACTCTGGGTTCAGGACGTTGGTGTATGATGGGCCGATCTCGGATTTCCTGCAGGCTACGGGGGCCATCATAGCGGGGTGTTCGGCAGCGACGATGTTGGCGAAGCTTCTCCTGATCGGTCCTCTCTCCTCGGTGGTCCACGGCAGGCCCCAGGTGCAGGTGCGTAATGTTGTCGACGACGTTACTTTGCAATGCTGCGGCCCCCGCCAGTTGGTGTCGGACCAGCTGTCCGCGGCAGTGGAGCATATTATCGTTTTTTTCGGCGAGCTCGAGCTCCCTGTGCACATGTCAAAGTGCGAGTACTTGGCCAGCGGCGCGGAGCTAGCGAGCGCCCTGGATAGCCGGCGGTCTCTGCCAGCCGCAGGTAAAGTCGACGCGGCACGGAACCTCGGCACGGATGCGAATCTCGGGACGCTGCGTAGAGTTGGCATCACCAGGGGACGCTGGAAGAAGGCTACACGGACTTCGGGGCGCTTGGTCAACCTGCGTGAAGCGGGTGCGGACGTTAAGTGGGTCCAGCGAGCGGGGCCCTACAGCCTCCGCCCTGTGGGGAGTATGCGTGGTGGGGGTACCGCCCACGGAGTTGCACCAACTGCGAGCGGCCGCGTGTAAGAGTCTCGGCAGGTATCCTCGCGGGGCCTCCATTGGGCTCGGGATGTATCCGTGTCGGGACGGCCGTCGGGCGGATCCTTGGGTTATTGCTCTGGGCCAGGTTGTTGTCCAGTTGGGCACGGCGTGCTGGGAAGGTTGCCCCAAGCCCCAGGTCCCCACCAAGACTTTTGAGTTGGCCCGTGTCAGGTGCTCGGAGCCCAGACGGCCTTGGGTTGCAGCTGCGTCGCCAGCGGATGTTTATCTTCTGATGGTTGGGGGCATAGGCTGGGATATTTCCTCGGCCACGATGTTGACGACTGACGGGGGCTCCGAGGTGAACCTGGTCAGGCTGAGCCCAGCTGCGGCGCGCAGGCTAGTCGAGGAAGGAGTGAGGCGCGAGTCTGACAGGCTTTCGCTCAAAACTTTTTCCGGCCCCTGGGTGCTTCCGATTTTTGGAGTTGCCTGGAACCTCTGTCTGCTCCACGGGACTTCGCGGAGCTGGACCCCTCGCCAGCAGCGGGCCTGGAGGGCCCTGGTCCCGGGGGTGTGGTGGTCCCAGGCCCGCTTGCACAAGCGGGGGCCTGCCGCGTCAGGGGCGCGCGCAGTGCGTTGGCATCCAGACGGCTCGTTGTGGCACAGGTGTTTTGAGTGCGATGCCCACGCCGCGTTGCGGCGGGACCATGTGCCCCCCGACCTGCGGAGGCGGGCGCAGAGGGTGAAAGTTTGGAGTTCGGAAGCGGGTGATTTTTTTTTTTTGCCAGGGGAGTTTTCCCTGATCCCAGCCCCGTGTTCGAGCTGCCCGAGCGCAGGCCTGACCAGCACGTTGTCCACTGGTTTCAGCGGCTCGCGCCTGGCTATATGTCTGGCCTTCTGTTCCTGGACGGGTCCGTGCTGTTCCCGAGCTCCAGGGCGCTTTCCAGGGCTGGTTGGTCTGTGGTCAGTTGTGACAGGTTTGGCCAGGTTCTGTCTGCGGCTTATGGGCCAGCACCGCAGGACCAGGCCCCTTTCCAGTCATCGAGGGAGGCCGAGGACTTTGCAGTCCGAATGCTGGCCCTCGTTGCGTTGCCGCCCGTCGATCTCTATGTAGATTGTAAGGGCACGGTGCCGACGCTCTTGGCGGGCCCTGGAGCGGGTTCGGGAGCGGAGAACCCCCGAGCCCATATGTGGGCTCCGTTCTGGGCGGCGTTCGAGCCGAATGGTTTCACGGCCCGCAACACGAAGGCCCATTGCAACATAGTAGATGCGCAGAACGATCGCACCACCCTTTGGGAGAAGCGGGGCAACGATGCCGCCGATGAATTTGCGAAGCGTGGTGCCGCCCTCCACGGAGTGGGGGAGAGCGAGTACCACCTCTGGCGTGGCCTGGTGGAGGCCGCTCGCGAGGTGGGTCGGTGGAGCGGGCGTTTGCGCGCGTTGGTGGGGGACGGTGAGGCCTGCCAGGACCATGGTGACCTAATGGAGTTGTATGCTGCTGGCAGAGGACGGGCGCAGGCGTCGACAGAGGCGCAGCCCGACGACGTGCCTGCTCCAGCCCCCGCTGCTGCGCCAGCGAGTGTGCCCATGTTGCAGTTGCCAGCAGAGGGTTTCGCTGCCTATCGTGACATGGGTTACTCTTTCAACGGCCACCCGATGCTGCACGCGACGGTTCATGCGAGGTCGGGCCATGAAAATGGCAAGGAAGGACCTGTCCTTAAACCCCCCCGAGGGAGTGCCGCACGCTGTTCGTGTGCGACTGGGCTCGATTTTTGGCCCTGTGGATTCTGCCCCTGGCGCCTCGGTTCAGGTCTTGGGGGGAGGTGGGCTTCGGGGTGCGAGTGCCTTGGGGGGGATGACGTCCCGAGCCGAGGTGCTGAGGGCCTTCGGCCTCCTTGAGGGGGACCTTCCAGCCATCCGCGCTGGCGGGCTCCGCCGTTTGCGCAAGGAGGCCGAGGAGGGGCCCGAAGAGCCCCTGGACGGGGAGTTCGAGGAGGCTTCCCAAGATTCGGAGGCCTCCGACGCCGAGCGATAGCTTGACCGCATTGGCGTTAGGCCGCTTGCTCATCTCATCACCTTCTCCCACTTCTCCTCCACAATTACACAATATGAAAATACTCTCCCACTTCCCCTGATGGCGTCCGGAAGATATTCGGCACCCCCCCGCGTACTGTTTTTTACACACAGGATTCCCCGGAGTTGGGTTTTCGCTTGTGTTTTTTTCTAAAATGCTGCTCTCGCTGAGGCGCCGGCCTCATTTCTGCTCCCGAATCGTTCCGGATCGTGCTCCCGCTGCAGCGTGGGCCTCATTTTCGGATCGGTGTTTGGCCTCCGTCGTTCAGGATGGCGTTCTCGCCCCAGCGCGGGCCTCTTTCTCGCGCGCCCATCCGCCCGCCACCACCGCGCCGCACCACCACCACCACCACACCACCACCACCACCACCACCACCACCACCACCACCACCACCACCACCACCACACCAGCACCAGTACCACCACCACCAGCACACCACCACCACCACCACCACCACCACCACCACCACCACCACCACCACCACCACGCACACACGCACGCACGCACGCACGCACGCACCACCACCCACTACGCACGCGCGCGCGGAGCCACAGGTCCGCTACGACACGCGTCCGCGGATAGAGAAAATCAGCGCCATGGTAAGGGATGGGAGGGAGGGGTAGGACGTCAGATATGACGCGAGCGCACCTAGCTTGTCATCCGCCCCCTCCCCCCTCCTCCTCCTCCCCTCCTCCTCCTCCTCCTCCTCCTCTCCTCCTCCTCCTCCTCCTCCTCCTTCCTCCTCTCCTCCTCCTCCTCCTCCCCCTCCTCCCCCTCCTCCTCCTTCCTCCTCCTCCTCCTCCTCCTCGAGCTTCTACTGCGTGGTAGCACGATGGCCGTAGCGATGCCCAGCGGATCCCTTCCATCCCCAACGTTGCCTCTGAGGGGCGGGCTGCAGCCACGCCCCTGACGTTGCGCCCTCCCCGGCCCCCAAGGGCGTCTCGGAACCTGAAACCTCTTGAACCCGCGAGTCCCTCGAACCCCTCTAAACCTCGAATCCTCCGAACCCCTCGAATCTTTCGAAACCCCTAATCCCTCGAACCCCTCGAACCGACTCGAACCCTTCGAATCTCTCGAAACTTCGACTTCCTCGGAACCTCCAATCCTTCGAACGCCTCGAACGCGTCGAATCCTTTGCAACCTCGAGTCCCTCGAGCCACTCGAATCCCTCGAAACCTCGAGTCCTTCGAACCCCTCGACTCCCTCGAACCCCTCGATCCCTCGAGCCTACCCCGCCCCTTCCCGTGCGCCCCACCCCCAGGAGCGCCCGTCGTCCTTCGCGGTGCCCCCCGCGGCGGGCGAAGGCGCGCTGTGTGCCGCGGCCCTGCGGGCGGCGGCGCGCGAGGGCGCCCGGGAGGGCTGCCGGGGCAGCCGCACGTGCATGCGCGCGGTGGTCTTGCTCCTCCCACTCCTCTTCCTGCTCCTCCTGCTCCTCCTTTCCTCCCTCCTCCTCCTCCCTCCTCCTCCTCCCTCCTCCTCCTCTTCCTCCTTCTCCTCCTCCTCCTTCTCCTCCTCCCCCTCCTCCTCCTCCTCCTCCAAGTCGTCTCGTTCGAGATAACTTCTCCCTGTCGCACCCCGAGGCCAGTTTTTGGGGCGGGCCGGGCGTCTCTCTAGAGACTTCCTCACCATTTATGACTCTGAAGCTTACAAAGTGGCAACAGCTTCACAGATGGAGGGCGGATGGTTTTCAAAATGTGGCTCTCGCCTGAGCGCCGCGAACGTTTGCTCTGAACATTTGCAAGAGGTTCGCGGATCGAGGGCGGGTGATTTTCAAACTGTGATTTCCGCCATAGCGCCGCACACAATCGTTTAACCAAGTTGCAAGAGCTTCACGGATTGAGGGCGGGCCGTCTTCAAAATGTGGCTCTCGCCGTTAGCGCCGCGCGTATTCGAGTAACAAACATCGAATTATCTTCACGGATTGAGGGCGGCTCCTTTTCTTCAAAATGTGGTTCTCGCGTTGGCGCCGCGCGCATTCGTTTTGAACGTATTGCAAGAGCTTCACAGATTGATGGCGGGGGGGTCCAACATGTGGCTCTCGCCTTAGCGCTGCGCACGTTCGTCAAACAAACTTGCAAGAGCTTCACGGATTGAGGGTGGTTCCTTTTCAATATGTGATTCTCGCTTTAGCGCCGCGTACATTCGTTTTAAACATTTGCAAAACTTTCACGGATTCCCATGACCAGCGTACCAGAAATGTCGTTTTGGAAGGATTCAGGATTTTGCGGGTGCAAGAGTTATGTTGATTCGTAGTGTTGAAATCACCAAGAAGGAGTTTTGGCACGACTCCAGATCGTCAAGACGCAGCAGTCAGGCTGGAACGTGGCGTTGAAATCCCGAGAGCAATGTATTGGCACTCTTCAGGATCTTCTAACGGTTGTCTCTCAACGAGGCAGTTCCCTCAGTGAAAATGAACCGTTGTAGGGGCCTGCGAAGAGGGAGCTTGGAGGGAGGGCTCATTCCAACATCGTTGATGACTCTTGGGTTTACACTGGTCCTCCTCCTCCTCCTCCTCCTCCCCCGCCTCCTCCTCCTCCTCCTCCCCCGCCTCCTCCTCCTCCTCCTCCTCTTCCTCCTCGGGCATGTCCCTCTGCAGTCGACGAAGAAAAAACACATACACGATCCGCGCGGATTTCTTGGATCCGCGCTGGGGCCCCCCTGGCGGCGCCTCCGGAGCCGCCCCTGGCGCGCTCAACGCACCAGGTCGGAGGGGGGGTCCAGCGCGAGTCCACGAAATCCGCGCGGAGCGCCAAAAGTTTATGTTCATGTGGTTTTTCTTCTTCTATACAGGGGGAATGTTCGAAAATAGTCACAAAATAGTCTGGGTACGATTTTTAAAGTACATGTTTTGACATTTGTTTTATTTTCCGCTTAAAATCCGCCGGCCCCCTAAGATAAACGTTTTCTTCCGCGGTCGGGGGCACCTCTGCTCCCTCGGCGGCTGCGAAGTTTTTACCCCCTACAGTGCCAATAGGGGCCTTAACTTTCCGGCCGCCCAGGGGGCAGGCGTCCACGAGGTCGGTTCGGGGAGGGCACAGTCAACGCGCATGGTAAGGATCAGCAACTTTCCAAGGCTACCCTTGTACCGTCGGGGCGTTGACCTAAATAACTTTAAAAAAGGAACGAGGCCCCTTTCTCCCACAAGTTGAATTTCGATTTCCCATGGAAAGCCTCAGGAAAACCGGAGACAAACTGCAGAGCAATCAAGGAACACCGAGCCCCTCCCCAACGAAAAGGGTTCCTTCTCCAGGGCCCCGACTGTATCCTCGCCTCTCCGGTCACCACCGTTCCGTCCTCCACCCCTTTCGGTGGCCAGTTTCGCTCAAAGAGCCTGGACATGGGCGTCCGAGCCCCTGGCATCCTTATGGTGCGTCCTCAAGATACGGGTTGGCTGTAACCCAATGTGTTTCGTGTTCGTTGAATATTATTGTGCATCGTGGGGGAGGGCACCCTCGAGTGATCTTCCGCTTGGCTGGCGGAGGGTCTCGTGTTCTTGAAGGATGCTCTTTTGTCCTAGGTCCGGCCGTACGGAGAGAATGGGCACAAATGCCCAACGGCGTATTCTTTTCAGTTGAACAGGCTTCGCTGTCCGCGCCGCCGCAGGCGTAAGGCCGCCTGCCCAACAGCGACCGCAGTCGATTCTGGAAAACATGTTTTTCAGGCGAACGCAAATATGAATCAAGGGGGCGTGGATTGGCGACGGGTCCCGTTTCCACGGGAAATCGCGTGTTCCGCCAAACGAGGCACCCCATCTGCATTTTGGGAAGGGCGCTTCCCCCGATCTATAGATGTGGCGACCTCGCGCCAAATCCATGGGGATCGCTAATCCGTGATTGCGCGCCCCCGATTGTTGTTGGGCATTGGACCAATTATTTTCGTACCGATTTCAGGCGTCCCAACCTCAGCCGCGAGGGTGGCCGGGGGGTACCTTCCGTCTCGCTTGAGACCGTCCTTCTTCTCCCCCTTCCCCCTCCCCACAGTCACGCATCTACACTCGTCCACCTCCCCGTCCCCCACGCTGCCAGGGGGTTGGAGCGGGGTGGGGCAGGTTTGCGTCGTGTCTTGGCATCGCTCGGACGTTTGTTTTTTTCGGCGACGGCTATCGAGGAGCCTGGATCATTTCGCGAACAAGTATGCGCACGATGCCAACATTCACGGGCAGTTGACGTGCGAGCGATGGCAGGGTACGTATCAAGCAGGGGAAGAACTTTGACTGTGTTTGCCCCTCCTCCTCCTGCTCGTCTTCCTTCCTCCTCTTCCTCCTCCTCCCCTCCTCCTGTGCAAGCAGCATTAGACAAACAAGCCACATGAGTTCGTGGCTCTGTACAGCGAAGTTGTTTAGCAGTAGAGCGAAATATACCCCCCTTCCACAGACTTGGAAATAGATGTGGGCCCCCAAAGATGATCTTGTCGTTTGCCTTGCAGGCGCGATCTAAAGCCAACGGTGAGCCGAATGGAAGTCCTTTTGGAGGTTTACAAGATGGATGCCCATCCATCTTCTAGATATGCAGCGCACACTGTCTGTCAAGTACGATAAAGCGCTTCCAGACCTTTCTGTAGGTGCTACATGATGCACCGGAAGAGTTTCGAGAGTCGGAGGGGCTGGGCAGTGTCTCGGCCATATCCGCAGCCTCGCAGAGTCGGTACAGCAGCACGTTAGTGCCCAAGGGAAGGATGGCTTCACGAACCAGGCGAAGGATATTTTTTCGGGGACGACCTGAATTAGTTTTGCAAGTGCTTGGTAAGGAACAGTATTCCGAGCCCCAGAATGCCAGCAAGTCTTCGACGCAAAGTGTTCAAGGCAAAATGGCTTCTTGGGTTGGATGTGCCCATGGATGGTCAAGCATAAGCATTACTGGAGGCTTGGCCAGGCTAAGAAAGCTTTTCGAGGATTTTCTGGTTGCCCCGCCGAGCGGCTGTACGCAGAAGTCCGTCGTTTCACCAAGATCGATGACCCCCAGGGACATGCTCAGGATAATTTTTCTTGTCATCCACATGCCGATGCTGAGCTTCCTGCAATCACCCCTCAGATCTTTCGCAGGTCAATCGACAAGTCCAGCCACAGCGCGGCAGAGACTTGGGATTGAATCGGCCCGAGGCACTATGCTTTGCATCCTTTTTCAGCAGCAGGGACAGGTCGAGAGGCTCTGTATCATCGTGGAGCGGGCGGGCAGCCTGCCGTCGCACTTGTTGGCCATAATCCCCCCGAACTCAAAGTTGGTGCGCGCGGGGGCGACTGCGGTCAAAGCGCAGCTCGTTCAACCCACCGCCAACGTTGATCATTGGTTTTGGGGGAGGGAATTGGCAGATGAATGCGGCATGAGCGGTCGCTAGTTTCATCCGAGGCCTGCTCGTTGTCCTGTGGACCCTTGCTGGCTGCCCAGGGTGGGCCCAGTCTCCCAGTGGGCCACCGTTGCTTGCGCGGAGGGCAGTGATAGGAGACCGCGCGCAAGGCTGCAATCGTTCAGGTTGTTCACGCCGTGGCAGCAGTAGGACGAACTCCGCCAGCCAGATGCAGTCAGCGTCGTGGCCCAGTCGGAGCAGACATCTCGATGGCGACGGGCGGGGCGGAGGCGCGTCGGTCCGCTCGCCGTGGCAAGTCAGCGCGAGCAGCAACGCATCCACGCCGCAGCCCCCTAAGCGTTGCTCCAGCACCGGCGCCGGGCGGCTCGGTCTCAGCAGTCATGTCGGCAGTTGCCCACAAAGATCGGTCCGGTGGGCCAGCTTGACCCGCCCGTCGCGCAGGAACTCCTCGATGCACCCTCCGTCTCGGACTCGGGGGAAGTGGCGCCCGAGGCCTTCCTCGGCTGGGAGGTCTTGGCCACGCGTTGCTTGCCCAATCGGCGGGGCGCCCCATCGAACCGCGGCGCGCAAGAGTGCGGGCGCCCACGGGGCGCCTTGCGCGCCGTCGATTCGCGAGTTGCCGTACTAGTGCGACCTGCTCGCGAGGATTTTCTCCCGCTCGAGCGCGAGAGATCGGGGGCGGAAAAGAGGGGGGTGATGACTAGGGGGGGGTGAATATCATGGCGTGGGCCATGATTTTTCCCCAGATCTCATGGCGCCTCTTCTTGTTTCATTACGTGCCTCGGCCCCCCCAGGGGCCGCGCACATGCCGCCGGCCATGATTTGCCCCCCCCCTCTTGGACGCCCCCCTCTTGGCCGCTCCCGAAGAGAGTCCAGGGCGTGTCGAAGTTTCCGTTCTGGGCCGGCTTCTCATGGAGGCCGGCCGCATTTCGAGGAGGGCACCTCCCCCGATTCATGGATTTGGCGACCGCGCGCCCAATCCATGGATCGCTAATCCATGTTTCCGCGCCCCCGACAAACGCATACCGCATACCCCCGAGCGCGCGGTGGTCCGATGCGATCGATCGGGTTCGATATCCATTTCCCGAGCATTTTCTCTGGGTGGAGGGCAAAGGGTGAAACCTGAAACGCTGCTTCGATTGATTTTCGAGGTCTGAATCCGCAGAAGGTGAATCACAAGACGGATGCATTCTGGAAGCGCAGGAGCCCATCTGGAGTTCACCCTGAGCCTTCTGCCCTAAGAAAATGTTCAGATTTCGGGCCTCTCGATGGGACTCGAGCTCGAGGCCCCGGCGATCCGCTGCGGCTTGAGGCGTACCTGTGGCGCTGCCGTCCGTGCTGGCGCAGCCGCTCCGGTCCGATGTCGATGCCGTGCCGATGCACACTCCGATCCGATCTGCTTCCCCCCGATTCGATGCTGACGCACGAGGAGGAGGAGGAGGGGGAGGAGGAGGAGGAAGAGGAGGAGGAGGAGGAGGAGGAGGAGGAGGAGGAGCAGGGGGCGGGGCAGGCTCGGGGGCGGCGCCAGAGGTCGGCGGCCATCGCCCCCCGGGGAGCCCAGGGCTGCCCCAGTGGGTCGGGGACAGTGTTCGCTTGGCATCGCTCGGACGTGCGCATCGTTCCTTCGGCGAGGGCCATCGAGGAGCCTCCCTGATCACTTGGCGAAGAAGCCACGCACGAAACCGAACAAAAGCACACAGGAAATGGACGTCCGAGCGATGGCCAGTTCGGGGGGGGATATCCGCGTCGAGTTTGCGGGCGTGTGCGGAGCGGCTCGCGGAAGCTTGCCGGCCTCGGGGTGCGCCTCAGCAGGCCGGCGCCTCGCCGAGCGCCGTGTGAATGGGGCTGCCCAGGTTGCCCTGGACGGCCGTGCGATAGCCGCGCGGTGCTGTGGCCCGAGAAGCAAAGGCAGTGTTGGGCTCAAGTCGGGCCTGTCCCCCCACAGGAGGAATATTCAGAAGTAGTAATCGTCTGGGGGCGATGTTTGTTTCTGTATTTTCGGAAATATTTGCCCACAGTCCGCCTGCAGGGGGACACGCCCGACTTTGGGATAAGCTCAGGGGGCACGCATCGACTCCCAACCGCCCATTCACCGCCGATGCGGGCCCGATGGCCCAACCCGCTGAGGCACGTTCGGCTTCGCCATCGGGGGCCTGTCGCCGATGCATCGGCGATGCACCGGTGCGTCCCCCACTGAGCTGGTCCCCCCCGAGCTCGGCGGCGCGGCCGGGGGGGGAAGTGCGAGGGGGCAGGCTTGCTCTGAAGGCGCCGGGGCTTCTCAGAAGCCCTCCGGCCTTTTCAGGAACCGCCCCCGTCTTCGGAGAAGGCCCCGCTCGCAAGAAGCTTCTACGAAGGCGGCCTTGCCTTCCGAGCCTTCCGGCAAGGTCCGGCCCTCGCAGTGTTCCCCCGGGGCGCCCGGCCGAGCCGAGGCCTTGGCGACTCGCGCCGTCCTTCGACAAGCGCCGCCGGATTTTTGTTTCCAAGATTAGCCTCGACTTCCGATAGGTTCGCGTCGTGTCGGCCGGTGGCGGCCCCGCCGCGGGCGTTGACCCAGTGGCCCAGAATCGGCCATCATGGAACGACCTGGTGATCGAAAAGCCGCCGACCGTAGAGGGTTGAACGATCCACGCGGTGTCAGAAACCAACGCTGGGGTCGTTACGACACGAACCTGCCGTACCTGCATTTACTTCGACCTACCTGGATTTTCATGGATTCGCCTCGATTTGCCCCGATCCGTCTCGATCTGTGTGTTTCTTCCCCCCTTCGGCTCGCCGCCGACTGACAGTGCCCTGCAGGTGGGGCTGTTCTTCTCCACCCAGACCGGCAATACGGAGAGCGCCGCGGAGGTCCGGGGGGCGCACGTATCGGGTGTTGCTAGACGTGCCCCTGGCCTAAGATGGTCCCAGGATAATTCAAAGAGGCCCCCACGGCCTTAAGAGCACACCTGACGAGTCTCAGAGAACCCCAGGGGCTCCCAAATTGGACGAAACAGAAGCTCATTGGGCCGGGGGGCACCTTTGGAAACTCCCGAACGTAATCTCAGAGGGAAAGATACTGTCAAACTCCATTGTAAGGATGCACTGCTTCATCAAGGCTACCCTTGCATCTCTGCTCCTTTGGCCCATCCTGAGCCAGTGTTGACGTCCAGGGAGCTCTAGATTGTAAATGGGCTTCCAAGGGTCTATCATCCTTGCCCTGACCCTCCCTATGCGTTTTCACAGTACCGAGATCGCTACTCGCCCTGCAGAGTCCTCGTCGCCACGGCTGGATCCGCCCCGCGCTCTGGCCAGAACGCCTCCCGGGAGAGGTCCAGGGCGCAGCGCGGCCTGCACACGAGCTGCCCCCTCAAAAACAAGAAGCCCCGAAGGCCCGCGCTGCTTTCCCGAAGCTGCGCCAGCCCCCCCCCCTGGCCGCGCGCCGCCCCTGGCGCGCTCCGCGCGCGCGAGGGAGGCGGGCCCGGCCACGATCCACGAGATCCGCTCGCGCCTCCGAAGGCCGAAACTTCGCAGGCCTCGGGGTTCACGCCGACACCAACGCCGGCGACGTGCCTCCACCGAGGGGGCCGGATCCCGATCTCTCGGCTTGGCATCGCTCGGACGTGTGCATTTTTTCTTTCGGCGAGGACCATCGAGGAGCATCCTTGATCAGTTGGCGAAAAAAACACGCACGAAACCGAAAAAAACATAGGTAATGGACGTCCGAGCGATGGCCAGTCGGTGATGGTGGTGATATTTTCGGCTTCCTAGGCGACCGGAATACGACCACCAGCACCGACATCTGGGAGCATCTCCCCCCTGTTGAGGCAGCCCCCTGTGTTGGTGTCGGTGCCGACTTCCAGGCCTCCACGGTTATGTCTGTGCCGTGTTTCGTTCCGTGTCCTGTAGGCTGGGGCCCGCCGGTCCCCTCCGATGTTCCTGTGGCCGGCCCAGGTTCTGGGAGCCACGTGGAGCAGTGCCCCCCCCTCCACCACCCTCCTCCTCCTCCTCCTCCTCCTCCTCCTCCTCCTCCTCCTCCTCCTCTTCCTCCTGCTGCACCTCCCCCTCCTCTTCCTCCTCTTATTCCTCCTCCTCCTCTTCCCTCCTCTTCTTCCTCCTCTTTTTCTTCCTCCTCCTCCTCTTCCATCCTCCTCCTCCTCCTTTTCACTTCTCCTCCTCCTCCTCTCCATCCGCCGACCCAGGGTTCGGGAGCTGCCGCGCGGCCAGCGAGGGTTCACGACGCGGCCCCGGCTGACCGAGGTTTCGGTCGGGCGGGTCCCTCTACAGGAGGGATATTCAAAACAGCCAAAATATTGTCTGGGGACGATTCTGTTTTTCAACTTTTCAGAATGGTTGGAACACGTGTGGAATAATTGTGTAAGTTTTTGCCCAAAGTCCCCCTGTAGGGGGACAGGCCCGATTTAAACCCTGGTCGGCGCTTCCCCCCGAGAGGTGATTGCGGCGAAGGCCGGGCTGGAGGCGACCGACTTGGGGGACGTCTCCGCAGAGGATTTGGCGGGATATGACGGCATCATCATCGGCGCGCCCACGTGGAACACGGGGGCGGACGAGTACCGCACCGGCACCACGATGGACGACTACCTGGACGACATCCGCAGCCTCAGCCTGGGTGGGAAGCCGGTGGCGGTGTTCGGGTGCGGGGACTCGCAGGGATACGGTGACAATTTCGCCGAGGCCATCGAGGAGATACACGGCGCGTTCAAGGAGGCGGGCGCGAAGATGATCGGATACGTTGACGCTTCCGCTTATCAGCACTCGGAGTCCAAGAGCGAAGTGGACGGCAAGTTCGTGGGACTCCCCCTCGACCAGGACAACGAGGCGGAACTGACCGAGGATCGCATTTCCGCATGGGTCAGCCAGCTGAAGTCGGAGGGTATGCCGCTGTAAACGGCTCGCTCACTGGCGGGCACAGCCTGAGCGAGCCGCGTGTGAACGGCGCGCTCTTTGGCGGGCACAGCCGCAGCGAGGCAAAGCAGCCGCGCTGCCAAGTTGGTGTTTTCGCCTCCGCATTAAGTTTTTGACACTCTGTTATGGTGCATGTGCGCACACGCCGTACTGGTGCTGCCTGGAGGGCCAATTCAAGCTGCAGATACTTTACACAACACGTCATATTGAAATACAGTCACTCATGCTCATAATCGTCGCAAGGACATCAATGAAGCAAGTAATGCCCTCCCCTCCCCTGCAGTAAGGGAAGAATCGGGTGCCCTTACCACGCTGTTGTTTCTGCCCGTTCGGCAGATGTTCTTCGCTTGCACCTGTTCGTTGGCCAAGCCCGCTGTTTTGCGTTGTGTTGCCATGTGCTGTTTTTCGTTAGCAGACTTCCGTACAAATAGCATTCATGGCCTTTCAGCGCGGGATGGTCGGGTCTGGTTGTTCCGTGCAAGGGAAGAGTATACACAAGATATGATCTCGAGCAAGGGCGAAACATGTGGGCACCTCAGGTGGCATAACGAGGACAAGGAGGACGAATCTGACCAGTGCAAACCCAAGACGCACCAAAGATGCCGCAATACACCCTCCCTTCAAGTTCCCTCTTCATGATTTCGTACAAGATTCTACTTCAGGAGGGAACAAAAAACACACAGGCACAATTCATCGTCGATCCCCAGGAAATATGGGAAAATATGGGAAGTGGGGGGAAGACAAAAAACCAGAAAGTATAGGAACATATGGAGAATCTTGCTATTTGTGTGCATTTATTTGCGTGTCCCAGGGCCCCTTCATCATTGCCACTGCGGAAGCGCCACACTGAACATCTTCAGAAGGCTGCCCTCGCAAGGAGCGATGGGCAAACGAGGCGTGCCTGCTGCGGGGCTGAGATCCTGGACGCGCGTCCCAAGTCCCAGCCCCGCATCGGCAGCCTGCTGCCCACCGGTGCAAGAGCACCAGTGTTCGGACCGGGCGAAAGGGGGGGATTGGGAAAGGGGGGGGTACGAAATTTGCTGCGTGCAGCTGGTTTCGGCCCCGCCGCCAGGCCCGTTCCTCAATACATAGCCGCCTCCGGCGCCGGGAGGCGCTGGGAAAATCAGCCACGTGAGCTGATTCTCAAGCCCCCCTTTGCTATCCGGCCGTCCGGGCGCCTCTTGGGGCCCTCTTGGGACGCTCTTGGGAGCTTGAGGGACGCTCTGGGGGCCATCTTTGACGACATCGATCAAACAAGATGGGAGCTTCAGTTAGGGCCCCCCCCCTCGGGAGCCCCAGCAGTCGCTTCTTGGTGTGCCGTTGGGGTGCTCTTGGAGCGCTATTGGGCGCTCTTGGGGCCGTCTTTGGGCTCTCTTGGGCCTCTCTTGGGGCCCTCTTGGGCCATCTTGGAGCCATCTTGAGGCCTCGGATGGCCTTCCGAAGCGAGAAGCGAGAAAGCGAAAGCCTCTAATGTCCCTAAGGTTTGACCAGGTTTTGGTCTCCTGGGGAACTCCTTGAAGGTCTCGGAGGCCTCTGGGAGCCGTCTTGGAGCGTTCGTAGGGTTTCTCGGAGCATCTTGAAAGAGGGGCCCGAGCGCAACGCGCGCCAGGCGCGCAACGCGCGCCAGGCATCCCTGGGGCCCGAGCGTGCCAGGCACGCCTGGTGCGCCAGATGCGCCACGTGTTCCGCGTGCGCCAGGTGTGAGACATGAGACAGGATGGGCCAGACGGGAGCCCCGTCAAAGGAAGTGTATGCTGTGCCCATGCTCCACAAGTATACGGCCTCCGATGAGTGAAGACAACGTGCCAATCGAACCAGTCAGCCATGCGTCACCAGTCTAGGTATTCTGTGTCCCTCTCGTTGTCGTCGTCGTCGTCGTCGTCGTCGGCGGCGGCCTCGTCGTCGTCGTTGTCGTCCTTGTCCTCGTCGTCGTCGTCGCACACAGACTACATGCACTGCCGCGTCGTCGAAGTCGTCTTATCATTACCCAATATCCTAAGATGGGGTAGGAGGAGTTCGAAAAGTAGTGAGATAGCGGCCGGCAATTATGACATTGGCACGGCTGCAGTACAACTACGTTCGATGAGTGCGTTCCTTCCTCATCTTTGTGCTTTTGTAGCCATGTTGGCTCAAGGCGTCCATGCTCAAATGTCGTGGAAGCGTGCATTCGCCAGTTTGCTCACTACTCAGGCTCCAGAGGGCCCTGCGCATGCTTAGGCAACTCCCTTCACGAGCGTGATTATGACGCATAGCATCCTGGACTTACCATGCCCTTCTCCTGCTCCTCCTACTCATGCGGTTCCTCCCTGCTTCTTCCCCCCCCCTACCCCTCTTGCTGATCCTGCTCCTCCTCCTCCTCCTCAGGACCCCGCCTTGTCGAATTCCATGCTGCTCCGGAGGGGCTCAGTTCCTCCTCAGTGCAAGGACTTCAGGCTTGACGATTTCGAGGTTGTGGGGAAGCCCCTTGGCTGTGGATCTTTCGGTCATGTGAACAGGGTCGTCCAGAGGGACACGGGTAAGACCTTCGCGATGAAGGTGATGTCCAAGACGAAGATACTCGAGTTCAACCTGGAGCAGAACATCGAGCGGGAGGTGAGCTTCCAGCAGAGTATGCAGCACCCGAAGATCTTGCAGCTGTACAAGTACTTCGAGGATCTGGAGGACATATACCTGCTCCTGGAGTACGCGCCGAACGGATCGGTGTTCGATCTGCTTAGGGAGCGACGGAAGGCGGCCGCTGCATCCGACGCGGTACTGCGCGGACTTCCGGAGCCTCAGGCCGCGAGCATCTTCCGCGACGTGGCGGAGGCCCTCCATTTTCTCCACGGCAGCGGGGTGATCCACCGGGACCTGAAGCCGGAGATAGAGGGGAGAAACATTCCTGGGTCTCCTAGATGGGGTACGAGTAGATGGGGTCGGAGGATCGCGCCGCATCGCCGATGCATCGACGATGCGGCTCGATGTGGAGCCCGATTTTCTTCACGTCGACGTCGCCGATGCATCGCCAACGTCGGCGATGCATCGCCGGTGTATCGCCGATACATGGCCGATGCATCGCCGATGTATCGGCGATGCGGCGTGATGCTCCGAACCCATGTACTCCGACCCCTAGGAGGCTTCTAGGTAGAGGGGAGAAACACGGGGACCACGACCAAGATGTCGCGGGGTCCTGTCCACGCCGATTTTGGTCGTACGGGCCGTAGCCGATCCGCGGGGATGATCCACACAGGGACGCTGACGGGAAAGAACGGTGACCAGGATCGGCACGCCATTTCCGTGTTCAGTCTTGGCCATTGCCTACTCCAGATTTCGTAATAAAGGGAGGGGGGTCTCATTTCGGGGGGGGGTCTCTTCCAGGCTATCTTGGAGGGCCTGGGGGGGTCTGGGGACGCTGTTTTGGAGGGTTCTCCCACGGGGGGGTCTGAAATGGCTTGTCTTGGAGGGTCCAGACCCCCTCCCTTTTATTACGAAATCTGGAGTATCTCTCCTTCCCCCCAGGAGAACATACTCCTCTGCGAGGGCGGCGTGGCGAAGCTGGCGGACTTCGGCTGGTGCAACCAGCTCGCGAAGGGGAGCGCGGGCCGCAGCACCTTCTGCGGCACGCGGGAGTACCTCTCGCCGGAGATGGGGGGGGAACGCTCTTTCCCCTTCTACTACTCCCTCCTCCTCCTCCTCCTCCTCCTCCTCCTCCTCCCTCCTCCTCCTCCTCCTCCTCCTCCTCCTCCTCCTCCTCCTCCTCCTCCTCCTCCCTCGCGTCGTGACAAAAGGACGATGGAGGGGTTTTGTTATGGTCGGCCTCTGGGGGCCCTGGCTGGGCCTCGGGATCATGGTGTTCAACAGTGGTCAAGAAATAGTGTGGGGGCGATTTTTCGTGCTTCGAGTGGCATGCGAGGAGTACCTTTTTGGAGGGTATTTCTCTTTCGAGACCCGCCTCTAGGAGGACGCGCCCGACCGAACCCCGAACTGGCCGAGGGCCCAAAGGGTGCACCGGAGGCGCGCGGCTCTGCACCCCGCGTCGATTTTGCCAACGCCCCGCCCCCGTAATCAAACACCCGACCGTGTCCGACCCTCTGTGCCGACCTTGCCGGGGGACCGCCTTGGGCCCCGCACAGTTCTGGGCGGGCCTCGACCCGGGGCCCCACCAGGCGGCGCGGCGCGGTAGCCACACCGTGCGGCGGGTCCGTGAGGGCTCCTGGCATCGCTCGGACGTGTACATTTTTCCTCCGGCGAGGACCATCGAGGAGCATCCTTGATCATTTGGCGAAAAAAACCACGCACGACATCAAAAAAAACACAGGGAATGGACGTCCGAACGATGGCCAGGCTCGGGGTCTCCGCGCGGTGTTTTGGGGGGGGGCTCTGCCACGGTCGTGCTCCGAGGGCGCCTCGGACGGCGGGGAGGCCTCTCGGAGGGTCCCGGGGCCGCGCGGTGGCGGGGCGGGCGGCGAGGGCCGAGGGGGGACGCCGAGGAGGGCACCGCGCGGGCCGTCACCGCACGGTGTCGGGGGGCCCCGAGGGCCGGGCCCCGAGGGGGACGGCGAGGAGAGGGGGCCACATGCGAACCCCTGCCCCTCACGATTTCTGAGGGGGAGGGCGGGGTTCACTTCGCTCGGGAGCTCCCGAGCGAAGTGAGCCCCACCCTTCCCCTCAGAAATCGTGGGGGGTAGGGGTAGGGTTCGCATGTGGCCCCCTGGAGGAACAGCAGCAGCAGGAGCAGGCAGGAGCGGGAGCTGTCTTGTCGCTCGTCTGCGCGCCGCGATCAGCCGGAGCCGTGGTCGCAGACGACGCGACTGGTGGCACGATGGGCGAGTGTTGCACCTGCTACCTGAAAACAGGGTGGAGGTTGGGGTGGAAGCGATGAGGGATACTGAGGAGGAGGAGGAGGAGGAGGAGTGACAGGGGAAGGATGACTGAGTGTGAGGAAAAGGCGGAGGAGGGATGAGGAAGACGAGGATAAGAGGAAGGAAGAGGATGACGGTGATGGTGAAGATGGTGATGGTAACGATGATGAGGATGGCCAGGAGGATAATGATGAACACGATCATGACCATGATGCTGCTGCTGATGAAGACGGTGATGCGATGATGCTGATTATGATGATGCGGTTGATGGTGATGATAATGATGATGTTGCTGATGATGCTGATGATGCCGCTGCTAATGATGATGATGCTGCTGATGAGGAAGGATGGCGTTGATGAGGATAATGAGGATGATGAGGATGAGGATGAGGATGAGGATGAGGATGATTACGATATTGTCGTTGCGGATGTGGATGCAGATGCTTACGCTGATGTTGCTGATGTTGGTGATGTTGATGCTGATGATGACGATGACGACGACCACGATGATGATGCTGATGATGATGCTGATGTTGCTGATGATGATCATGCTGATGAAGCTGATGATGCTGATGATGCTGCTGATGGTGGTTGGGGTGATGACGATGATGATGATGATGATGATGATGATGATGATGATGATGATGATGATGATGATGATGATGCCGCTGATGCTGATGCTGATGATGATGCCGCTGATGCTGATGCTGATGATGATGGCGATGACCACGACGATGCTGATGATGATGAGGAGGAGGAGGAGGATAACGAGGATGAGGGATGAGGGTGAGAATGAAGGTGGTGATGAGAATGGGCAGGATGATGACGATGATGATGATGATGATGATGCTGATGATGATGATGACGATGATGATGATGATGATGACGATGACGATGACGATGACGATGACGATGACGATGACGATGATGATGATGATGATGATGATGATGATGATGATGCTGATGATGATGATGATGATGATGATGATGCTGATGCTGATGCTGATGCTGATGCTGATGCTGATGCTGATGCTGATGCTGATGATGGTGGTGGTGGTGGTGGTGGTGTTGGTGATGGTGATGATGCTGATGATGAGGAGGAGGACGAGGAGGAGAAGGAAGAGGGAGGAAGATGAAGGTGGGAGCAAGCAGGATGGAGGAAGGAGAGGGCGTGGCTGAGGGAGAAGCTGTGGGAGGAGCTGTGGGAGGAGCGAGGAGGAGGAGGAGGAGGAGGAGGATAGATGGGAAGAGGAGCAAGAGGAGGAGAAGGAGCAGAAGGAGGAGAGCAGTGAGTGAGGCATGGGGCCGACTGCGTATGAATGATTTTTCGGCTTTGGGGCGTCTGTCTCATCGATACTTCGTAGTGTCAATAGGCATCCCTCATCGGTCCCTCATCGATCCCTCATCGATCCCTTGGATCCCCTCCCTTCTCGAGCCCATTTGGGCTTGCCTCTCTCTCTCTCTCCCTGTTTTACTAGGCGGGGCGGAGCCTCCCTCCGCCTGTTCTCCTATCTCGGATCCGAGTCGCTTCGACCAGTGAGTGCAGTTATGCGAGCAGTTCTCCTCTGAAGAACATATGCCAGTCAGGAGCCTAGTGGACCCCAGAAACGGCAGGGCCGTTCTTTGACCCGTTTCCGAAAACATGCATCTCGAACGTGGAAGCAGTCAAGACACGGCAACCTGAAACGGCAAAAGAAACGGCTCCGGAAACGGAACCGGAGCTGGAACCGGAAAACAACGGGGCACGCAATTCGCACCAGAAACAGCGGATCCGCCAACAAAAACGGCAACACGGAACCAGGGATACATACGGTCTTTTCGATGAAGTTCAGGAGCATGAGCCAGAAGAAGGGGACATGATGTGTCAAGGGCTGGACGAGGCGGATAATGGGTGGTTGAAGATGGGCCGAAAGAGCAGGGGTGGGCGACAAGCTGGACGCGCTCGTGCCATATCTGATATCCTACCCCTACTAAACCTATGCCTTACCATTGCGCTGTTTTGGGTTCTTTATTCACCATCTGGTGTCATGGCTGACCTGGAACCGCCATACGCACCACATCGTGTTATACGCAATCCGAGGAGGGCAGCTGCGAACATTGGCGGAGGAGGATGATGAGCAGGGGGAAGAGGAGGATGAGGAAGGATGAGGTCGAGGAGGAACAGCAGCAGCAAAAGAGGGCGGAGCATGATGACCAGGGGAATGCGGGGAAGGGGAAAGGACCTGGGGGCGAATGATGAGGAGGAGAAGCTTTTTGAGGGAGGAGGGGATGTGTACGAGGGTGAGGAGGGTGAAATGAGGGAAAGGAGGAATAGCGATGACGAGAAGGAGGGACATGATCAACAGGGGGCAGGAGCCAGAGGAGGAAGTCGGGGGACGCGGCGAAGGCAGAGGACGTCGAGAAATTTTCTGAGGAGGGGGGGGGACGAGGGCTCCCCTTGCCCGTGAGCACCCCCCAGCTGGTGCCAGCGAAAGGCCTCATCGATCGACCACGACGCATGGAGGAAGGGAGAACACTCCATGCTGCTAGGTGCCATCGCGCGCACGGAACTAAGACGATTTGGAGCGCGCACATTGTGAAGGACGAGCAGCTGTGGCTCCTCCCCACGCCCCTTCCCTCCCCCTCCCAGGAAGAGGGCGAGACTCGGCGCCCCTCTGGCGCTGTCCGGCGAAGCGCCCCCGCATGCCCCGAGATCCGACGCTGCGAACAGAGGGCGACCCCGCGAGCAGGCATCACGACGGGAGCCCTGGACGGCGCCAGAAAGCGTCCGGAGGCGCCACTGCGTCTTGGCATCGCTCGGACGTGTGCATTTTTCCGTCGGCGAGGACCACCGAGAAGCATCCTTGGTCATGTGGCGAACAAGACCACGCGCGAAGCCGAACAAAACCACACAGGGAATGGGCGTCCGAGCAGTGACCAGGTGTCGAGGAATGGCGCCCGGCGGCGGGGCCGAAGCTGGCGGCAGGCAGCAACCTTCGTAGCCTCCCTTTCCCCCATATCTCCCCCTGTCGTCCGACCCGACGCTTGCCCGCCCTTTCGGGCCTCGTGGCGCTCAGGAGGCAAAAGACACGGACACAATGAACCGCCGATCCCCAGGAAAATGCAGGAAAATATGGGAAGTGGGGGGGGAGACAAAAACCCAGAAAGTATAGGAAGATATAGGGAATCCTGTTATTTGTGTGTATTTACTTGTGTGTCCCAGGGCCCCTGCAGACACCCCTTCCCGGCCTCCTTGGCGCTGAAAGTGCGCCGTCGGGATCTCAGGGTGGCTCGTCCAAATCGGGCGGGTGGTATGGGGGTAACCTAAATGGGAGGTGGAGGAAATCGGGGACGGAAAAGAGGGGGGTGATGACTAGGGGGGGGTGGACATCATGGCGGGGGCCATGATATTTCCCCAGATTTCATGGCGCCTCTTCTGATTTCATGACGTCCCTGGCCCCCCCGCTGGGCCGCACACATGCCGCCGGTCATGATTTGCACCCCCCTCATTTGGACACCCCCCTCTTTGCCGTCCCCGAGGAAAGGGCTTTGAAGGGGCCCTTTGGGGCCCCTTCTGGAGCCAGCAGCAGCCCTAAAGGAGCACTGCTGGGCGCGTTTCTCCACTCCCCATGTAGTTCACCCCCCACTTCCACCCGCCAGAGTCTAAGAGAAAAGATTGGCCCCCTTCCGAGGAGATGATCGCCAATGAACCCTACGACTGCAGCGTGGACGTATGGGCCGCGGGCGTCCTCCTGTTCGAGATGTTGGCGGGGACATCGCCCTTCGCCGCCAGCAACTACGTGCAGGTCTGACGACGGCGAGCGGCGACGACGGCGGTGTGGTCGGCGACGGCGACGACGACCAGCGGCGGCGCTGACGACGACGACGACGGCCATCGCTGTGGGGGAAACGGTTCCTGAGGGAAACGGATCCTAAGGCTTTTTGCAGATTCCGGTCTCTCGGGGCCCTCCATGGGCCCCGGGACTGTCAGGAAACAATTCAGGATGAGAGACTCGGCCTGGGGGAAGCCACCGGGGTCCAGGACCCGTTTTCCTCAGGACCCGTTTCCCCAATGCTAAACGACCATCGATTTGGTCAGAGAGTTTTTGAGTTCTTAGGAAGGTTGCCGGGCCATCCATCTGCGCGGACCTCGAGAGTCGGGAAGAGTTCAGGCGTTTCAAGTGTCGGGCTTCATTTGTGCAAGTTTGGCCTTTGGGGACTATCCAGCTGCCTGCGACAAGTCCCGACACCGTGCCAGCCCAGCATTTCTCGGTGGCGACTGTTCGAGGGGGCACAGGAGGCCGTCATGTGTGACTCTTCGTGTCTCCAGGCTACGGAGGTGAGCCGTGATGCTGATGATGATGAAGATGATGATGATGAAGATGAGTATTATGATTATGGTTAGGATGATGATGATGATGATGATAATGATGATGATGATGATGATGATGATGATTCTGATGATACTTTATGATGCTGATGATGTGAATGGTGACGATTATTGTGGTGGTGACGATGATGACGATGACGATGACGGTGACGATTGAGATGATAATAGCGATGATGGCGATGTTGTTGATGATGTTGATTATGATGCTGATGCTGATTATGGTGATGCTGACGACGATGGTGGTGGTGATGATGATGGTGATGGTGATTATGATGCTGATGATGATGAAGATGATTTTGATGATGGTGATAATGATGATGATGATCGTGGTGATTGTGATTGTACTGAGTATGATGATGATGCGGTGATGGTGTTGGTGATTATGATGGTGATGGAGATGGTGATGGTGATGGTGGTCGAGGGGCGACGGTTGATGGTTGATGATCGATGATTGCTGATCGGTGATCGCAATTTCATGATGCCCAATGACTGGTCGATGATGATGGTGGATGTGATGATGCTGGTGAGTAGGATGGTGATTATGATGGTGACTATGGTGATGATGCTGATGTTGCTGACGAGAATGGTGATTATGACCATTAAAATGGCGATGGATTATAATGATGCTGATGATGGTTTTCGCAGCTGGTGATGATACTGATGATGCTGATGACGATGATGGTGATGATGAAGATGATGATGATGATTGTGATGATGCTGCTGATGATGATAATTACGATGGTGATGATGATGAAGATGATGATGGGGATGATGATGATGATGATGCTGATGATGATGATGATGATTATGATGATGATGATGATTGTGATGGTGATGGTGATGATACTGATGATGACGATGAGGATGGTGATGATGGTGATGATGGTGATGATGATGGTGATGATGCTGATGCTGATGATGGTGATGATGATGACCGCCTGGCCCGTGGGCCGGAGCGTTGGTGGCGATCGGCCCGCCCTGCCCCTTCCGCTAGCCTCGGACGGCAGGGCTCGCGGCGGGAGGCTGCCCGTCTGGTTGGCGGCCCTGCGCGGCCGCCAGCCTCATTGGGCCTTCGTCGTCGTCGTTTTCGTCGTCGTCGTCGTTTTCGTCGTCGTTGTTTTCGCCGTCGTCGTTTTCGTCGTCGTCGTCGTTTTTGTCGTCGTCGTTTTCGTCGCCGTCGTCGTTTTCGTCGTCGTCGTCGTTTTCGTCGTCGTCGTCGTTTTCGTCGTCGGCGTCGGCGTCGTCGCCCTGGCCTGGGGCCCGCGGGCCCCGTGCATGTGAACTTAAACCCAATGGAGTATGTGAATCCCCGCTCCGGACCCCTTGCAGCCGACGACCCGGTGATCAGAAGCATACTCATCAGCAGCAGCAGCAACAGCAACAGCAGCATCATCGTCATCATCATCGTCAGCAGCAGCAGCAACAGCAGCAGCAACAGCAGCATCGTCGTCATCGTCATCGTCATTGTCATCATCATCGTCGTCGTCATCAGCATCATCATCGAGGTCATTATCATCATAATCATCATCACCACCATCGTCATCATCATCCTTTGCAGCAGCATCATCATCTTCATGGTCACCATCATCATCACCAGCATCATCATCACCATCATCAGCATCAGCATCGTCATCGTTATCGTTATTTCGAACATCATCACCATCATCATCAGCATCATCATCGCCATCGTCACCGGTATCGCGAACATCATCACCATCATCATCACCCCCCCTCTCCTCTCTTTTCATATCCCTCTTCCCCCCTCTCCCTCCTCACGTCTTTCCTTCCTCACCCAACCTTCCCGTCCGCCCCCTCGCCCCCCACCCCCCACCCACCCCAGGCGCTCGGCAAGATCTCGAGGGCGGCGTACGAGTTCCGGGGCCACGTCTCGGCAGCCGCCCGCGACCTGGTGGGCAGGCTGCTCGTGAGGGAGTCCAGCCAGCGACTCGATCTCGGGAGAGCGGCAGCCCGGGGTCGAAAAGCAGCAGCGGCACAGACCTACTTTGTCGAAGATCCGCACGGCTCTCTCGGATCGGCGTTGGGCCCATGGGCGACGCCTCTGGCGCCGCCCGGGGCAAATCCGCACGGACCTGAGAAACGTAATGTTTGTGCAGACTCTGTGTCCTCGAAAGAGGACCGCCGACTGCCCCGGCATCCGCCGATGTGGTTGTTTCCAGCCGCGGCCCCAGGGGTCCCGACCACTTCCCCCGTGCTGGTTTTTCGTCCGTGGTCTGCGGTGGACGGTCTCCTTGGCATCGCTCGGACGTGTGCATTTTTATGGCGGCGAGGACACTAAGGAGCATCCTTGATCACTTGGCGAAAAAAAAACACGCACGAAACCCAACAAATACACGGGAAATGGACGTCCGAGCGATTGCCAGTCTCAGGGGCCGACGACGGCTTCCGAGGGATAAAATTTGAGGAAGACGCCCCGACTGAAAAACACACACTCATCCTCAGAGATCTGGGTGCCCTTCACGCCGATGCCAGCCAGGCACATCTCGAGCACAGGAGCAAGGATGCAGCTCCTGGCAAGTTCGCTTCAGCCTCGGCGCTGGCATATCCGTAGTCAACAACTGGCCTAATCCGGCATAGATCCTGCTTAACTTGGGCCTTATTCCGGATAATCCAGCTTAGTGGCCCCATAACCAGGTTGACTAGCTTTCAATCGCTCTTACGAAGGTTTCCCAGACACGCGATGTCACCACCCTTTCCCCAGGGCAGTTTCCTCATCCCGGGTGGTGTTTGATTGTTGTCCCGAGGCCCAGCGAGCGCCCCTGGATGTCGAAAGCGGCGGAAAACCTCACGTCGTGATGTGTTACTTTGTGCGCTCCGCGCGGATTTTTTGGATCCGCGCTGGGCCCCCCTGGCAGCGCCTCCGGCGCCGCCCCTGGGGCGCTCCGCGCGCCAGGGAGGGAGGGTCCAGCGCAGATGCGACAAATCCGCGCGGAGCGCCAAACATTCATGTTTATGCCCTGGCAGCGCCTCCGGCGCCGCCCCTGGGGCGCTCCGCGCGCCAGGGAGGGAGGGTCCAGCGCAGATGCGACAAATCCGCGCGGAGCGCCAAACATTCATGTTTATGCCCTGGCAGCGCCTCCGGCGCCGCCCCTGGGGCGCTCCGCGCGCCAGGGAGGGAGGGTCCAGCGCAGATGCGACAAATCCACGCGGAGCGCCAAACATTAATGTTTATGCCCTGGCAGCGCCTCCGGCGCCGCCCCTGGGGCGCTCCGCGCGCCAGGGAGGGAGGGTCCAGCGCAGATGCGACAAATCCGGCGGAGCGCCAAACATTCATGTTTATGCCCTGGCAGCGCCTCCGGCGCCGCCCCTGGGGCGCTCCGCGCGCCAGGGAGGGAGGGTCCAGCGCAGATGCGACAAATCCGCGCGGAGCGCCAAACATTCATGTTTATGCCCTGGCAGCGCCTCCGGCGCCGCCCCTGGGGCGCTCCGCGCGCCAGGGAGGGAGGGTCCAGCGCAGATGCGACAAATCCGCGCGGAGCGCCAAACATTCATGTTTATGCCCTGGCAGCGCCTCCGGCGCCGCCCCTGGGGCGCTCCGCGCGCCAGGGAGGGAGGGTCCAGCGCAGATGCGACAAATCCGCGCGGAGCGCCAAACATTCATGTTTATGCCCTGGCAGCGCCTCCGGCGCCGCCCCTGGGGCGCTCCGCGCGCCAGGGAGGGAGGGTCCAGCGCAGATGCGACAAATCCGCGCGGAGCGCCAAACATTCATGTTTATGCCCTGGCGGCGCCTCCCGGCGGCCGCCCCTGGGGCGCTCCGCGCGCCAGGGGGTAGGGTCCAGCGCAGATGCGACAAAATCCGCGCGGGAGCGCCAAACATTCATGTTATGCCCTGGCGCGCCGCGCCTCCGGCGCCGCCCATGGGCGCTCCGCGCGCGGGAGGGTCCACGCAGATGCGCCGCGCGGAGCGCCAAACATGGCCCTGGCGGCGCCTCCGGCGCCGCCCTGGGGCGCTCCGCGTGCCAGGGAGGGTCCAGATGCGACAAATCCGCGCGGATTCATGTTTAATGCCCTGGCAGCGCCTCCGGCGCCGCCCTGGGGCGCTCCGCGCGCCAGGGAGGGAGGTCCAGCGCAGATGCGACAAATCCGCGCGGAGCGCCAAACATTCATGTTTATGCCCTGGCAGCGCCTCCGGCGCCACCCCTGGGGCGCTCCGCGCGCCAGGGAGGGAGGGTCCAGCGCAGATGCGACAAATCCGCGCGGAGCGCCAAACATTCATGTTTATGCCCTGGCAGCGCCTCCGGCGCCACCCCTGGGGCGCTCCGCGCGCCAGGGAGGGAGGGTCCAGCGCAGATGCGACAAATCCGCGCTGAGCGCCAAACATTCATGTTTATGCCCTGGCAGCGCCTCCGGCGCCGCCCCTGGGGCGCTCCGCGCGCCAGGGAGGGAGGGTCCAGCGCAGATGCGACAAATCCGCGCGGAGCGCCAAACATTCATGTTTATGCCCTGGCAGCGCCTCCGGCGCCGCCCCTGGGGCGCTCCGCGCGCCAGGGAGGGAGGGTCCAGCGCAGATGCGACAAATCCGCGCGGAGCGCCAAACATTCATGTTATGCCCTGGCAGCGCCTCCGGCGCCGCCCCTGGGGCGCTCCGCGCGCCAGGGAGGGAGGGTCCAGCGCAGATGCGACAAATCCGCGCGGAGCGCCAAACATTCATGTTTATGCCCTGGCACCATCGAGGAGCATCCTTGATCATTTGGCGAAAAAACCAGGCACGAAGCCGAAAAAACACAGGGAATGGACCCCCCCCCATGAAGCGACCCCCAACCCTTGTGGAACTCATCAGGGTGCCGCAGGACATTCTCGGGACTCCCTCCGACTTTCTCGCGGCCCCCGAGGAGGTAAGACCCCGCGGGGCTCCAGAGCGTTCCGGAACGCTATCACAGCGCTCCCGGACGCTCTGGCAAGGCCGCGGCGCCCGATACATGTCCCCGATCCGCCGGATCTCAGGCATTCTCGATTTCTCCGTACCCGATGTTTGACCCTCGTCTTAGCTTCGTCTTCCTCGAAGTCACCACGACGCGGCCTCGCCTTCGCACAGTCGGCGCGCTCGGCTCTCCCGGGAGGTCGGGCACCCGTGGGTGCTGGGGCACACCTCCGGCCCCGGCGGGCCGTGCTGCGGCAGCCAGCAGAGCACGCAGACCCCGAGGACCCGGGCAGAGAAGATGCTCGGAGGCTCGGGCGCCGCGTAACGGGGGGGTCATCAATGGGGGGGCGGCGAGGGTGGCCCGAAAAGGTACCCAAAGGGTACCTAAACGAGCCCCCTGGGGCTCTGGAGGGGCCCGAAAGGGGCACGGAAGGGGACCTTTTCTGACCCCCCCATGTGTGACCCCCCCATTAGGCCACGCCCAAGAGGCAGCGAGGACGAAAAGCGTCAGGTGCGGGCAATAGTTTTGTCCACAGCCAGTGCGTCTCGGAGTGTGGGGCCCTCCTCCCCAGAAACCAGAGGCGCACTGGACATGAATGACTATCTGGCCCCTAAAAGGCTAGATGTTTATCCATATCCAGTGCGCCTCGGCCTTGCGGTACCCCTTCCCAAAAAGGCCAGGACGCTCTGGATATGAATACAAGTATTGCCCGCATCAGGGGCCACGTAAGTGAGACATGGGCTTCTTCGGTAGCAAATCATGAGTGCCTCGTGTACCCTCGCATTTCTGTCTTTTAGCGCCGACGATCGTCGGTTTAGGGTCGACCAGCGTCGATCCGCAAGAGCCGACGAGACGGTAGGGGAGGCTCCCATGAGTTGCCACCGAAGGCTGCGAGGTCCGAGGTTTTCGGACGCTCTCGTCGCTTCTCGGCGGCTCCTCAACAGTTTCGGGATGCCTTTCGGCGGCTGTGCCTCGCCGAGGGCGTTCTGGGGACGCGCCCAGATTTCCCGAACGGCCGCCAGAGGCCAGAGCTGTGGCCCGAAGACAGCCGTGGCGACATGTGCCAGGGGGGAATCGGCTCGGGGGGCGACGCACCGAGACCCAATCGCGAATTGAACGCCAGTGCTCCAAATCCCTTATTAATCGAGCCCCCCCCAAAAAACCGGACCCCCCTCCAAATGCGACCTCATATTCCGGACCCCCCCCCCCCTTCGACGGGGCGTCTTGATAAACCGGACCCCCCAAGCTCCAATCCACAGAAGGCACCCTCATAAAACGGACCCCCCCCCCCGTTACAAAAGAGGCGCCTTAGAAAACCGGACCCGGGGGACGATGAAGAAGGGATTTTTGGAGCAGGGGCACGAGAACCCACCCGCCCAGGAACGCGAGGACTCGTCACCAGGGGCCCATCGCCGATCCGTGGGCGATGTGTCGTCGACTGTCGACCCCCGCTCGGTGCGCCCCCGCTGAGCTGTGGCGCCCCCCGGAGCTGGGCCTGCACTGGGCTGAAGTCGGGCCTGTCCCTCCACAGGAGGGATATTCAAGAACAGTCAGCAAAAATCCTATGGGGACGACTTCTTACTATGTCTGAGCATTTTTGGATACTTGCTGGAGTATGTTCCATTTGTCCTCCAAAATCCGCCTGTAGGAGGACACGCCCGACCTAAAACTAGGCGCGGATTTCCTGGATCGGGCTGGACGACATCGTTTGGTGTTTTCGTTGGTGTCGGCGTTGCTGTGCCGTCTTGGTCGGCTCCCTCAGTGGTTTGAGGAGTCGTGGGGTTGTTTGGTGCACATGTCGTAATTCGAGCATGTCCGTTGCTCCCAGTGTTTCTTGAGCCCCTGGTCCTTCTCTTCATTGCCTCCTGGTACTCGCTGTGGTTGTTGCTGGCTCTGATGGTTCCCCTCTGTACGTTCTCCTTTCTGATTGCACAGTGCTTCCATCCCAGCCAGTGTCGTCTCGCTTGTTTGATCTCCGTCCTGGGTTGCTGCCAGTGCCTGCTGATCGTGATGTGTTTGGTGCTCTGCCAGCTCTCGTAGGCACATCATGACGTTGTTCTTCCTCTCGGCCATCTCTTATGCGTGCTCCCCATAGTCCATGTCCATGTAGTAGCCTTTGTGTACCTTATTGTCCCTCCACGAGTGCCTGTTTCGTCTTCTTGTGCGGTGCCTTCCTTCGCTGCGGTGTACATTGCCCTGGCCTCGCTAGTGATGAGCTGGGTCGTGGCTTCTTCAGGCTGGACATGGATGACCTGGCTCTCCTCAAAGTCTTGGGTTCTGGAAGATTGTTGTGGTTATTGCTTGAGTCACTTCTGAATGTCGATATTGTTTGATGCAGTCGCTTGTGTGACTTGTGTGGTCCTGGTCCTGTCTGTGCTGATTGCTGTCGTGGAATGTCTCTCCGTTCCCGGAGCTTGGCGATGCTGTCCTCGTTGTTCTGGCTCTTGGTCTCGTCGATGTCGATCTAGTGTTCTGTGATATAGCTCCTCTGTCGCAATGCTTCCTTAAGTTAATTAGTCGGTCACGTACTTGCCAGAGTTTGTTCTGGGTTGGACATGTGCGTGTGTGTTGTCTCGAGCTCGGCCCTGTCTCGATTCTATCTAAATATTGGTGCTGTTATCCTCGTGCGTCTTGATGTGGTTCTCCATAGTTTGTTTGCCGTGTGTTTCGCTTGTCGTACTCCTCATTGGCCGAGTGGATATCGTTTTCGTTGTTGGCCTTCGGATCCCTGACGGTATGTAGTAGCTGTTACCGTTGTCATTGAGGATGTCGATCTCTTTGCGGTATTTGTTGTTGTCCTCTTGTTTGGTCACGTCACTCTCGTACTTGCCCTGTGTGCTGTCCTCCTGGTGCTGGTAGACCTTTGCCTCGTCCTTCTAGTGTGCCGTCGCTTGTTCTTGTTCGTTGGAATTTTGATGGTTGAGGATCTCGTAGCGGTCGGTGGCGGCTTCGCGTGCGGATCCCGGCGACGTTGCTCCAACGCATCCAGTGTGTCGTCGACCTGGGTGTGCGGTGGCGCTCATTTGTTTCGTTCTGTTTGACGGTTTGTGGTCCTCGTGCTGGTCGTCCGTTTTCAACTCGTCGTCTTACCAAATATGGCGTCCTTTATCTGTGCGTACCCGTCGAGCTTGCGGTTGATCTCGGCGATGTGCTCGTTTAGTTGGGTGAGATGTTCCTGCACGCTGTTCGGGGGCGGCGAAGAGGGGGGTGATGACTAGGGTGGGGTGGGTATCATGGCGCCTTCCATGAGAGTACCTCAGATTTCATGGCGCCTCTTCTTGTTTCATTACGTCCCCGGCCCCCCGCCCTGGGCCGCGCACATGCCGCTGGCCATGATTTGTGCCCCCCCCCCCCCTGGACGCCCCCCTCTTGGCCGCCCCCGAGTTGTTCCCTGCGTCCTGGAAAGTTTTCCTGATGAGGAAGCTGTTATGGATCATGGCTTTGGTGAGCGCCATCGTGTTGCGCGAGTTCTCGATGGGCAGTTCGGCGCGGCTGTTCCTGATTGCGACGAGCGCGTAGGACTTGAGCATCTGGAGCTTGTTGTTCCCCCCCCCATGCAGTGTAAACCAAGGAGGGTATTGGCGGTTCCTCCCATTGGGGGTGGTTGGTCCCGTCCCTCTTTCTCATGGTTAATGTCCGAGATGATGGTGTCGATAGTGGCGTTCTGCTGTGTGGTCGTCTTCTCGTCGTCCCGGCGGTCCTCCTCCGTCTCGTGCTTGGCCATATGGCTCTTGTCTTTCTGGGTGCTCTTGTCGTTGTTCCAGTTTCATCAGGGGTTGTCCTCTTTCCTCCTGGCTAGTCCTGCGCGGACTGCTGGTTTGAGTCGTGCGGCTGGCTTCGGTGACAGTTGTGGTCGTTGTGGTCCTGGTTGCCACTTGGGTTAGTACTTGGGTGCTGCTCTCGCCGCCATGGTGGCTGCCCGGAGTCGTGGCGGCTGTTGGGCGCCGTGGCGAGCGTTGAGGAGGCTCTGTGCGCTGGCGACGCGCAACGATGCTCGCGCGTCGGCGCGCGCCCTCCGCCGCCGCCTATGCAAGGCGGGGCTGCGGGGCTGGCAGGTCCTGGACGCGGTCGTCGGCGCAGGGCCTCGCGGGCCGCGAGAGCAACGGAGAGCTTGGTGCGGACGCGTCGGTGCGGTATCGCGGGTGCGGGCCCCGCCGCGGCGGAACTTGGGTGCTCGTCCCTCGGGGGGCGGGCTCGGGCGCACGCGGCTTTCTCCTCCTGCTCCTGCTCCTCATCCACCTCTGCCCCACGTTCTAGTAAGCGCAGGTGTGCAGCGTGCGTGGGCCGACACTGCATCGCCCTGTCCCGAGCGTTGCACATCTCGTAACGCTTTTCTTGTGTATGAGGCGTTCACGGTACTAGTCGTCTCACGTGCTGAAGGGTTTGGGTACGCCTTTGGTGGTTCTTCCTCCTGGGGGAGCGAGCCCACCCGCTCCCGCAGCGCTCCAATTCCACCCCACCACACATCTCAGGCGTCACGACGTCGCGCTGGCCCCGCGATGCCCGAAATGCCTCACAGCAGGGTTTCGGCGGGGATCGCTCGGAGCCATGCCCTGCGCTCCTGGAGGAGCGAGCCCACCAGCTCCCGCCGCGGGAGCAAGGAAGCGCCGGCGGCGGAGGTGCTCGGGAGCCGTGAGCTCGGCATCGCTCGGACGTGTGCATTTTTCTTTCGGCGAGGACCATCGAGGAACATCCTTGATCATATCGCGAAAAAACCACGCACGAAACCGAAAAAAACACAGGAAATGGACGTCCGAGCGATGGCCAGTGAGACGGGGGTCAACGCAAACGGGGGTCAGCCAGAGCCCCAGATCTTGCAGGATCCTGCAGGGCCAGGGGGGTACTGGCCCGGGCTGGCGCTCAGGATCCCGCAGGATCCTGCAGGAGCTGGCAAGGCGCGACGGGCCCAGGCTTGGATGCACCCGGGTCAGTGCGATTACAGTCGGGGCCCTGAAGAAGGAACCCTTTTCGTTGGGGACTCGCTCTGTGTTCCTTAAGTGTTTCACAGCTTGCCTCAGGTTTTCCTATGTTTTCGATCGGAAATCGAATTTCAACTTGTGGAAAAGACGGGCCTCGTTCCTTATTTAGGGTTCCTTAGGCCAACGCCCCGACTGTAGTAGGTCGACCCTGCTAAGTCCAGGGTAGCCTTGTGTCCTGTCTTTAACGAGGCGTGCCTTTGTTTCATTCCTACGGCAGTGTACTCCTCGGAAAGGGTCTTGTGGCCTCTCGCGTGTCCTCTCCAATTAAGTCCGACTGCAGATCCCCGAGGTGCACGCGATGCTTGGGCGCGCGGTCGCTGCGCGGAGCGCGGCGCTGCTAGAGACCGCGGTGCAGAAGGCGGCGGCGGCCGGCTTGGAGGAGAGCGAGCTGTCCGAGGCGCGTCGGGCGCTGGCGGTGGAGAAGCGGAGGTCCCGCGGGGGGTCGGCAGCGGCGGGGGTCCGAGGAGAAGGGGATGCCGGTGCCTCTGATGTTCGCCCCGGAAGTGTGCAGGGAGGACCCCCTGCCCCGCCCTTCTTTTGGCAGGGAGCGGCGTTCGCGGCGGCAAAAGGTATCTATATATAGATAAATATATAGATATATGTATGCAAACAGTCGAGCCGAGGCATGATATCGAGATCGGTTCGGGGAGGGTACACAAATATTCGTCGTGTTTGTTTAATATGCTTGTCCATTCTGGGGGAGGGCACCTTCGAATGCTTTTCAGTTTTGGAGGTTATCATGTTCTTGAATCATACTTTGCTGGCCTCGGACTGAGTGTTTACGTGTAAATATAGATGTAAATATTTGAGAGAGCGTGATCCACCGCCGCTTTACTGTGGAAAATTGCCAACTTTTTCCTCCGGAACCCGGGGGTCGCCCCCCCCCCCTCCGAAAATCCCCCCCCCCTCTGCTGGAACCCTCCCCCCCTCTCCCCCGGCAAAACCCCCCCCCCCTAACCCCTCCCCCCCCCCCCCCCCTACCGCTCGAAAACCGGGGGGGTCGCTACCGGTTCGAACCCCTCCCCCCCCCCCCCCCCCCCCTCCGGATCCGGAAAACCGGGGGGGGTCACTACCGGTTCGAACCCCCCCCCCCCCCCCCCCCCCCCTACTCACCGCCAGCAAACGACTCCCGGTCCCCACCACCGTCCGCATCACATCCCCCACTGGTGTTCCCAGCACCACTGTCCTCACCACCGCTGTCCCCACTGGTTCCACCACCGCCCCTACTGTCCCCACCAGTGGCCCCACCACTGTCGCACTGTCCCCGCTGTCCCCAGAACTGTTCCCACCACGGTTCCACTCTCCCCACTGTCTCCACGGCCCCAACCACTGCCCGACTATCCCCACTGTCCCCACTGTCCCACTGACTCCTCCGCTGTCCCACTGAGCTGTCCCACTGTTCCCACCACTGTCCCCACTGTCCCCACCACTGTCCCCACTGTACCTCTGTCCCATTGTCCCACCGCCGTCCTCGCCACCGCCTTCACCACTGTCCCCACCACCATTGTACCCTCCACTGTCCCACTGTTTCCACCTCATTCCCATTGTCCCCACACCACTGTCCCCACCACCACCGTCACCACCACTGTCCACTGTCCCCCCCTGTTCCCACCATTGTCCCCACCACTGTCCCCACCACTACCGTCCCCACCACTGTCCCACTGTCCCACTGTCCCCACCACTGTCCCGCTATCCCCTCACCACTGTCCCCACCAACACCGTCCCCACCACTGTCCGCACCCCCACTCGGTTTTCGAGGGGGGGGGGGTTCGAACCGGTAGTGACCCCCCCCCCTTTTCATGATGAACTGGGGGGGGGGGGTTCGAACCGGTAGTGACCCCCCCCGGTTTTCCGGAGGGGGGGGGGGGGGAGGGGTTCGAACCGGTAGTGACCCCCCTCCGGTTTTCCGCCAGCAGCGGTAGAACACGCTCTTTCAAATATTTATGTATAGATTTATACATAACTGTAAATGCTGGTAGCTGCACATATGTGGCTATATATATATATATACACACGTGTATGTAGCTGCAACATGCATCTGCAACATGTAGCTACATACGCAGCGGTTTTCAACTGTGCATATACCAATGTGTATAAGCATGCATATGTTTATGCGTAGAGCTATATGCATAGCTAGATAGTTGTACATATATATATATACATATATATATGTGTGTGTGTTTGTGCGTACACCTATGTATAGGTATGCATGTTGTTCTTCCCACGTAGGGGGGGAGCTGGCGGCACCTCGGGGGGCCGCATGGACTGCACCATGATGCTATCCGAGCGGTGCTTGCGCTCGGGGGTTCGCGCTCGTGTTCCGGGGCAGCTGGGCCCTTGGTGACGGCCTGGCCGCCTCGTCGCCTGCCCGTCGGCTGCCCGTCGCCTGCCCGTCTCCGCGGGACCCAGGTGGCGGTCGGGCTGGCTCGTCGCCGCCCGTCAGCTGCGCTGTTCTGCACTGCGTGTCATTGCGTTGACTCGTTTTGCACTGCGTTATCCTGGGCATCGCTCGGACGTGTGGATTTTTCTCTCGGCGAGGACCATCGAGGAGCATCCTCGATCATTCAGCGAAAAAAACACGCACGAAACCGAAAACAAAAACACAGGGAATGGACGTCCGAGCGATGGCGAGTATCCTGCGTCACGTGTTTTAGCATCTCAGTACGCTGCGCTGCCTCGCTCTGCGTTGATTTGGATGTCCTGCTCTGCGCTGCCCTGCGCTGCTTTGCACTGCTCTGCGTTTGTGTGCGCTGCTTTGGAGTTGTGTGCGTTGCGCTGCACTGCTTTACAGAGCATCGCTGCGCAAGACGTCGATTCCACCACATGGATTGCACGATCTGGGTTGCACCAGATTGATTGCACCACCTGGACTGCAACGCGCCCACTTTGGCTCAAGAAGCCGTCCGGGCTCGACCGCGCACGGCATACAGCATTCGCCCATGGCCCCGTACCGTGGCCATCACGATGAACAAGCCCAGTAAGAGAAATGCAAAGTCGAGCACGGGCCCGACGCCAAAGGACAAGAAACTCAAGGAAGCGAAGGACGAGGTGGAGGAGGAGGAGGAGGAGGAGATCATTGGGGAAAGAATCTGGGACGGAGGTAAAGGAAATGGTGAAGACGCTCATGCGAATGATGGAGGGCATGACGGAAGACATCAAGGACACGAGGAAGGACGTGGAAGCAGCTGATAACACCGCGCAGCAAGCGAAGCACGCCGCAGCTGTAGCGGGGGCGGCCGTGGAGATCAGGGAGGAGGCCAGCCGCATTCGGGAGAACACCCTCAAAAATGACGAGCTCCCAAATATTCTTCAGGACGTCGTGAAGGAAGAGGGGAAAAAGGGCAGGGGGGTAAGCAGGGTGCTTCTTCGTGGGCGGTGCAGGCTGCAGGCCACACTGCCAGCACACGGCAGGTGGGGAACGCACGAGGCAGGCCGTTGCCCCAGGGCTTGCTTCGCGCGCGGAGGCTTCCACATTGGTTCCGGACCTCGTGAACATGCTGAACAAAAGAAGACAACCCAGAAGCGATACAGTCGGGGCCCTGAAGAAGGAACCCTTTTTCGTTGGGGAGGGGCTCCGCGTTCCTTAAATGTTTCACAGCTTGCCTCAGGTTGTCCTTCTGTTTTCGATCGGCAATCGAAGTTTAACTTATGGGAAAAAAGGGGCCTCGTTCCTTATTTAGGTTCCTTAGGTCAACGCCCCGACTGTATCAACGTCAAGGTGGCAACGCCGACGCGTCCAGCGAGATTCGCCTTGCTTACACGTTCTCGTCCCACTCGGAGGAGCTCGGCTTTTGACAGCAAGCTCAGGGCAACGGACGCCGAGCCGATCTCCGGGGATGCTTCTGCCACGAACAATTTGGCGAGGAGCAACCGCCGGAGAACTCATTGGGTTGCACCAAAAATCATCTACCCGAACATGACAGCTGCAAAGACAACCCAATACACAAAGATCGTTCGAAAACCATGGTCGTGACTACAGTCAACATGGATGGTAAAGATGCGCCACTTCCCAAGTTGTCCCTTGCCTCCGTCCCCTTTGGCCTTGGCCACGTTCGTTGGCCGCGCCCCGCCCGAAACGTGTCGGCATGGCCTTCCAAGGCCGTTGCGTCCTCATCGTGCGTCCTAACTTCCAGTTTTGATTGTAAGTTTGGGCAAGGGGCGGAGCGGAAAATAACATGATTATATGATGGGTGGAGCGGCACACATCTTCAACAGGATCGGTCGTGGAGAAGTTGGTGAAGGCGTCGATGAACAAATGGTGGGCCAAGGTGGATTCGGAGCCTGCCGCGGAAACCTACCGCGAATGACCACGAGGGGGGGGGCGCACGATCTGAGTGTGCGCGCTGAGAAAGGAAGGACGTTCAGGCACGGCGTCTTTCAAGGTAGGGGGTGTGGGCACGTCGCAATGAAGATGGCGACTTCTCGCCATTGCAGCGCTGACGCGTGGTATCTCGGAGGAAAGCTTGTGGGAGCGACGCGGAACACAGTTGCGTTTTCAGATGATTGGGGGTGGTGGGTGCAATGGCAACGCCCAACACACACACACACAATATTTATCTTTGACACAAGACGACCGGGCACGAGAGTTGATGGGGGAGCTTTCGAGCGTGGTTTGGGACGTGGCCTTGCTGAGCAGAAAAATGCGGGAGACGCGAAGAAGACGAAACGCGGGAGACACAGGGCGGCGCCACGAGCACTACTCCTAAGCAGCTCGACCACAGACTTGTGCGCCAGAGCCCAAACTGCCGAGTGACGAACGCACATCAATTGGGAGCTTGGATATGGGTCCATGTCACATGGCAGGGCGAGCGAATTTCTGTGCAACTTCATCTTCGGATCTGCTTGTGAAACTCTGCGCAAAAGAAATAATTCGGACAAGGAACCGCAAAAACGGATGCAGCATAGGCGTGTTCAGAGAGAAGGTAACGGCACGAATGTCCGATCTACGCGTCGCAAGCAAGCAGCCGAGTCCAAAGAGCGAGAAGATGCAAACACTGTCAACATTGTGGTTACAGGTCCACCTGTAAAGGAGGATCATACATTCGTTCAGACATCCAGGGAGCACGCCAACATCATATATTAGTTCGCTCTTCAAAGTAAATCGATGCCACCATATCGGTCTCCAGAGTGGGTCAGAACCAGCAAGTGTTTATACCGTGGGTTCCAGCAAGGCCACGGGCAGGAGAGCCGACAGTGAATTGGAGTAGTGCTGGACCAGTTCAACGCGATCAAGAATAGAAACCGCTGCCACCCGCAGCTGTATACAAGCAGAGGGGGACGCACTCATATAGGAAGGGTATCGCGGACGTATTTGCTGAGGTAGATGACAATTTGTTGCCGGACCATCGGTTCCCCGGCGGCTGGATCAAATGGACTTGATGGCGACATTCTTTTTGTTGCAACCTTCGAGGCACGGTCAGACACCAAAGCTTCGAAGCGGGGTAAAGCGACTGCCTGGGCGGGCATTCCCAGAGATGCTTTCGAAGATGGTGGTCAAGCGTTTATCTATATGCTTGTGTTTCTTTTCGACGACTCTAGCAGCCCAGGCGCTTCCAGCCTGGGGAGTTGGGAGACATCCTGCATCGCAGTATTGATTCAAAATGGCGACGCGAAGTTGCACTCCAACTGCCGGCCTATCACCATCAACCCGCTGCTTCACCAATTGGTCAGCCAGCTAATCGGACGGCGTCTCTCAGCAATAATGGGCCATGCGCTATGCGAAGACCCAGCCGGGTACCGGGCAGAAAAAAACGGGCGATCACAGGTTCGCTTGTGTTCTCTTGCAAGAGACACGCGGCCAGTGGGTGGCCACGTTGGACTTCAAACAAGCATCCCATAACATTTCTCACGATCGTACTTGAATCGGGGAATCGTAAGACGCGATTGCGCCGGAACTCGGGTTTGCCGACATTGTTTGACGAGCGCGTCCTGGATTTTGACGCTCCAGTTTTCGTTGGATGTCTGCAGCGGGAGCTCGCGTCAAATTTCAGATTGGGTCTCGTCATTTTTATGGTGGCTCCGTCAGGCCAACCCGAGTCCCCCGCGCCCGAGTCTGACGTCTCCCCGATTGAAGCTCGCTGACAGAGCAAGGTGCTCATTGTTTACACTCGCTTCACAGAGTATCTTCCGATCGAGATGACGTCATTGCTTTTGACAAGACGAGCAGACAGTTCTCGATCCGCCAGGGTGCGATGCAAGGCGGCCCGCTGATCCCGAGCCTTCGCGCTGTTACTGAGTTCGTTGCTGCGCCACTAAATCTCGGTGGCTTTCGAATTCTCGCGCATTTCAGCGGGGGGGGGGGGGCAGCGGTTGGCGCGCCTCGCTGCGCAGTCGACTCGCGGGCAATGCGTTGGCGGGTTTGCAGATGATTGGGGAACGCGGCGGCGAGGCGCAGAGTGCGCGGTTATTTCTTCGCCCTGACAATCGGAACATTCTGACAACACTGCGGGCGAGGAGGGGCGAATCTGCACCGCAGGTCGCTGCGCGGCGTGCGCATTGGATTTCTCAAAAGGGAAATCTCTTGCAATACATCCCGGAAGGAAGATCGCGCTCCGGGTCGTCCACGATGCGCAGCGATGGAAACAAAAAAACCTGCGTCAACAGAAACGAGCTGGCGAGCGACGAGTATCCGCTCAAGACCAGGGCGCGCTGTTCGAGTCCGCTGTTACTTCGCTCGCACTGCGTGGTTCCTCGCGCCGGACGGTCGCGGCAGACTTGGAGCGGTCCTTCAACAAAACGCACTGTGCGAGTGATAATTTTGCGCCGCAGGTGCCGGATATCAGCCGCTTGGAATTCCAAGTCGGCGGTGCCAGGTCTTGGTCGCCCGATGCATCCCCCAACTAGCAAGACAGTTGATGCGGCGGAGAGAAATGGGGGGGCATCGCGATGAGCGTTGGGCTTCTTGGAGAGCGGCGCGAAACATCGACGGGCAATTTGACGAGTTGGGCGCGTCTGAGTGGAGGGGGCAATACATGCTGGAGACGCAAGTGGCATCGCGCGAGGGTAGGGTTGGCGGGAAGGCCCTTTCGAACGTGGGAACGCGATTCTACGGACGGTTGGACATCTCACTCCTGGACCGAGCATCAATTTGAAGGCCTACGGTTGCGACCGCCAGGTTTGAGAGGACATGGAGGAGTGCCACGTTGACTTCTAAGCTAAATTGTCGTCTCTCGTGCCATCTTGGCTCAGGGCGCGCCCGCCCGCTCTCCGGCAGCGCGCCGCTCGCCCCCCCCCCTCCCCCGCGGGGGTCAGCCCTCCGGGCAGCGTAGACTGGTCTTGCGAAGCGGGGGGGTCGGCGGGCCCGAGCGGGGCCGGGGGGCGTCGACCCCCGACTGCCCTTTCCTCGCGGCCCGCTGTGCCTGCGTGCCCCAACCTGCCCGCGAGCAGACGGCATCGCCATCGGGGGCCTGGGTCCTGTCGCCGCGTCGTCGGCGGCGCGTCGCCGATCTCGAGCGAAGCGCAGAAACCGCCCAAACATCATTTTGAGGAGATCCACGCTGATGTCTTGGATCCAGGCTGGGCCCCCCCCGTCGGCGCGGCGCCGCCCCCTGGGGCGCCCCGCTCGCCATGGAGTGGATCGGCGCATCGCCAATCCAAGACATCCGCGCGGATGTCCGGATTCGATCGAATAGAGGATCGGTTAGAGAATGGATGCGCCCCAAAATCGGACTTCCATCGGACCTACGAACACGAAGCGCAGAACGCATGGCGACCTGCGCAGATCTGGCGAAGCGTTCATTGATCCGACGCGGAGAAGCGAATCCAGGGGCAAACCAAGTCGGTCGTCGATCCCCTGCTCGACCAACGTATAGCCCCCGCTCAACAGGTTGGGGATGCCAGATTTCAAAACAAAAATGCTCTCGACCCGCCTCGCACACCCTGCGCACAGCGACCGCCAGACCCAAAGTGTGCCGGTGCTGCCCGGGGATCGCGCCTCTCGTGCCCTCGACGAGCGGCGGCTGCACGCTGCGGGCGCCACGTCTCACAGGCGCCAGTCTTCCTTGGGGATCACGCCTCGCTTTCTCGGGCGGTGGCGGTTCGCAGCAAGAGAAGGTTTACGCCAGGATCCGGCGCTGCGAAGACGATGCATCATCGCAAAGAATCGCGGCTGGAGCCCCAGACCCCATCATCCTGCGTCGTCCGTCGAGCCGGATGGGCAGGTGGCTGACTGCCCCTGGGCCCGAAGTCGGGCGAGGCAACCCGTTGTGAAACAGATCTGACGCCCAGGTTTCAGTCGGCGGCGAGCCCGGGGGGGGGAAGCGAGAGGGGGCGGGCCTATTCTTAAGTCTGGCATTTCCCTCTACAGCAGGAAGATTCAAGAATCGTCCAAGAATCGCATGGGGACGATATGCTGGATTTCTGTAGATATGCTCGACAACTTTGCACTCCTCATCAAAATCCGCCATTCGGAGGACATGCGCGATTTAAGCCTATTTTGAAGGCACTGACTACCTTTTTCCGCCGCCTTTCCGAGAAGGCCTTTCCCTTCTGACTTCCCCCTTCGCTCGCCGCCGACTCAGGGTGTGCAGTCTGGTCGCCCTCCAGGTCCGAAGCCCGGAGGCGCCTGAGGAACGCCACGCAGAGGCGCTCGCCGAGCGAGCTCCGCCTGGCGCTGGCGGACGCAGAGGGGCTGGAGCTCTCCAGCGGGCTGCTTGAGCACGCGAGGGAGGTGCTGGCGGGCCTCTCGGGCGCCGCGGCGGACAGCGACTCCGAGGGGTGCTCGCTGGAGGCCACGGTGCCGGTCGTCAGGGTGAGCCCCGAGGTTGAGGCCCGAAGAGAAGGAAGAATTGAGAAAAGGAGGTGCGGGAAAGGTTTGCGTCCATAGCCACGGCGTCTCGGGCTTTCTGGGAGGACACGCGGCCGAGACGCAGTGGACATGGATATAGACCTGTCGCGTCGAGGGGCCAGACGTCTGTCCATGTATTCACTGCGCCTCGGGTTGCTGGGGAAGGGGGCCCCAGACTCCCAGGTGAAGTGGATATGGACATGAGTCTTGCCCGCAAGAAGCGGCAACAGCAATTCTCGGAGCTCCACGCGGATCTCTTGGATCGGCGTTGGGGCCGCCCTGCCTTCAAGCAGTGACGAAGCGTCCTGGCTCGCCTATAGCCCTACCGAGCGATGTTCTAAGAATGTGTGTGGTTTCCAAGAAATGTTCTTAGAACACTTCTGGCTGGGAGTGTCTTGGTTCAACACATCAGGTTTATGTTCTAAGAACATTGTTTTTCTTAGAACATTTGGGGGTTCTAAGAACATTTCGTGGTAGGACTATAGGAATGCCAGGACGGTCGGTCCCTGCTCAATCCCTGGCGCGCGGAGCACGCCGGGGGCGGCGCCGGAGGCGCTGCCAGGGGGCCCAGCGCAGCTGCCTAGAAACCCGCCCGGAGCTCCAAGAGGTGTTACAGTCAACCGGCATAGTAAGGATGGGCAAGGTTCCCAAGGGTACCCTTGCATCCTCGCCTCCTCGGTCCATCCTTGGCAGCTTTCCTTTGCCACGCCCCCGCTCGAAGAGCTTCGAAGCTTCCTTATCGCGCATCCTTATGATACGGGTCGACCGTATGTTGCTGGAGTGTGTTTGCTCCGTGGAAGGCCGAGGCGCCTCGCCTCGCGTGCGCCCGGGCGCGGACCAGGGGGGGAAAGGCACCGATACCGAACAGTTTACATGAATCGTGGACTGGAACTCTTTATCGTGAAAAAAGTAAATTTCGCGTTGTGTCACAGTGTATTTTTCGGGGGTGGACAGACCTCCTACCCTGACACGTCGATTAGCGAGTTGGTCGTTTTCGGTTTGCGAGCGGGCGTCGCGGCCGTCATTTTTGCGGGGCCAGGTCCGTCGGTTTCGGTCCCAGGCCGTTTTAACTAAGGGGAGGTTTACACGCCGGTCGTTGAAAGTAGGTATTTTTGGATTCCCAGATCCTAATCTCTTTCAAGCGCCTTCCTACTTCAAGAATCGACATGCTTTTGTTGCGTTTTGTTATTCTCTAGGAGGACCTGGACCCCATCCACTATACCCGCCTTCATACTTCATGTTCCTACCTACTTCTTCCGACCGACGTGTACTAAATGGAGGTTCGTCCACCGCCGATATTTGCTCCGTGGGAAGCCCAGGCGCCTCGCTTCACGTGCGCCCGGGCGCGGACCTCAGATGAGGGGGGGGGGGGGGAAGGCACTGATCAGGGCTGCACCTAAACGCTGTTCTGCCTTGACTTCGGCTGTGTCTTGTTTTTTCGTGTTGGTGGGGAGGTACAGGAGAACAGGTACAGCAGAGCGAAACACGAAGGCGAAAGCAAAACGAACAACAACGTTTAGGTCCAGCCCTGGGAAAGAATCAGGCGATCGCAAACATGGATTAAGGGGGCGTGGATAAGCGACGGGTCCCGTATCCATAGGAAAGCGCGGATTTCCGTTGCCAAGCGAGGCGGCACCGGCCGCATTTTGGGGGCCGCATCTCTCAAGATCCATGGATCTGGCGACCGCGCGCCAGATCCATGGACCGCGAATCCATGCTTGCGCGCCCCCGAGAGCAACGACGCGAAAGCAAAACGAACCGCAACAAGTAGGTCCAGCCCTGGGAAAACGAAGGGCACCGACAGCTGCCGCAGCGCCCGCCCCGCTCTCGCCACCCGCCCCCTGCGTTCTGGGCCTCCCCGGCGAGGCCCTCTCGCCGCCACGGCTGGGCCTCGCTGCGGAGGAGGTCTTCGGATCCTCCTCCTCCTCCTCCTCCTCCTCCTCCTCCTCCTCCTCCTCTCCTCCTCCCCCTCCTCCCCTTCCTCCTCCTCCCTTCCCTCCTCCTCCTCCCTCCTCCTCCTCCTCCTCCTCCTCTCCTCCTCCTTCTTCCTCCTCCCGCTTCCTCCTCCTCCCGCTTCCTCCTCCTCCTCCTCCTCCTCCTCCTCCTCCTCCTCCTCCTCCTCCTCCCTGTTTAGCCTCCCTGGAGGCCCTGTTTGGCCTCCTCCCCGCTCTCGCCCCTGTTTGGCCTCCCCCCGGAGGCCCTCGCCGCCACGGCTGGGCTCGCCTCGGAAAAGAGGTCTTCTGATTTGGGAGTCAAGGCGGGCGCGGCCCTCCACAGGAGGAGTATTCAAGGACAGCCAAAGCAACAGCCTCGGGGGACGATGTTTCGATTCATTCTTGAATCGGTTTGAAAATTTCGGGGCATTTCGAATGTTTCGTCCACAGTCCGCCTGTAGGGGGACACGCCCGACCTGATGCCACGGCTGGACTCGCCTCGAAAGAGTTCGGGCAGATTTTCGGGCACAGCTTCGGTCACTACACCCCCATGATAAAACGATGCCGCTTGAGAGGTCTGGGCGTAGCGGTCGACGCGGCGGCGACCCCGCCGCGAGCGTTCAAGGTTGAACGCCGCCAGTGGCCCAGAATGGGCCAATATGGAACGATCAGGCGATCGGGAAGCAGCCGATCGTTCAAGGTCGAACGGTCCGCCCGGTGGCAGAAACCAACGGCGGGGTCGTCACGGCACGACCTGCCGCACAGTCGAGTTTGATTAGTAGGTCGACCCTGCCAAATCAAGGGTGCCCTTATGCCCTGTGCATGGCGTTACATGTCTGCTGCGGTCCTGGGGCGAGGGTACCCTTGTTTTGAGGCCAGGCCGCCCTCGGAACAGTCCTGTGTCCTCTCTCGTGCCCTCTCATCGGCGACGAGCCTCGGGGGGGAGTGCGAGGGGGCAGGCCTTGAGGGGGGGGGTGGCGGGGGGGGGGGGCGCAGGGGGGCGCGCGAACATCCCCCGAGGGACCCGCAGGGTAAGCGCCGTCATTGTCGTCGTCGTCGTCGCCGTCGTCGTCGTCATCGCCGTCGCCGCAAAGGCGTCGTCGTCAAACTCGACCGCAGCGGTCCCGGCCTCCCCAGGACCGAGCCCGCCGCCGGCGCCCGCGGGCCGGACGCCCCAGGCGGAGGGCCGCTCCCAGCCGCCACGGCGAACCTGCTGAACAGCCTGAGGCGATGAACGAGCACCGCACACCCACACCCAGGAGGATGAGGGAGGGGGAGGAAGAGGGAGGAGGAGGAGGAGGAGGAGGAGGAGGAGGCTGAGGAAGAGGAGGAGCATGCGGAGGATGAGGACGGAGGAGGAGGGAGTAGGAGGAGGAGGACCTGTTTCGTCGCCACACATCCCTACTGGCACATCGACCGTTGGAGATGCAGCGTTTTTACCAGAACTGTCACACCGCACACCAAAAGATTCTCTCCTGGAAATGCTCCAGGAGACTGGGCACCTAGGGCACGCGCTCCAGCTGGGCTACATCGCTGAGTCGGGGTTTCCTGTTGTTTTCTGTGCCCGATGTGGCTGTTTTGGAACCCAAAAGGCCATTAGACTCAGGTCAAAGCGTGAGACTAGAGAGTCGAAGGAGAAGCGTTCCCTTCTAGCTGGCAAGCTCCCTGCGACGAGGTGTCGGATCCACTCTATCCAGCCCATTCAGGTATCACAGGAGGAGGAAGAGGAGGAGGAGGCGGAGGAGGAACAGGAGGAGCAGGAGGAGGGAGGAGGAGGAGAGGGGGAGGAGGAAGCGGCAGGAGGAGGAGTAGGAGGCGGAGGAGGAGGAGGAGGCGGAGGAGGAGGAGGAGGAGGAGGAGGAGGAGACGGAGGAGGAGAGGACGAGGAGGAGAGGAGGAGGAGGAGGAGAAGGAGAAGGGAGGAGAAGGGAGGAGAAGGAGAGGGGAGGAGAAGGAGAAGGGAAGCGAAGGGAGGAGAAGGGAGGAGAAGGGAGGATAAGGGAGGGGAGGAGGGCGGAGGAGGAGGAGGTGGAGAAGGGAGGAGGAGGAGGAGGAGGAGGAAGAGGAGGAGGAGGAGGAGGAGGAGGAGGAAGAGGAGGAGGAGGAGGAGGAGGTGGATGGTTTCCGAGGGAGGAGGAGTATTTATGGGTATTTGCTCGGCGGACACTTGTGGAGGCTGCCGTTCGAGCGGGGGCCCCAATCCGACAACCACGCACCCACAGTACCCTTCCATCCCCTCCATGGGCACACGCCGGTCGTTGAAAGTAGAGTGGTGTTTGTGGATTCCCAGGTCAGGATATTCTTCAAGCGCCTTCAGCTTCAAGAATCGTCATGGCATCGCCATTGTTCTCTGGGCGGGCCCAAACCCAATCTACCTGATCCGCCTTCCTACTTAATGTTTCCACCTGCTTCCGACGGGCGGGTAGCCCCCTCCATCCTTCATATGAGCGACGCAGAAGAGCGGGGCCGTCTGCGCCGACATTGGTGCGTAAGCTGCCAGCGTAAGGTCGCGCGTAAGCGCCCTCGTCTCCAAAACAACGTGCCGCGCTGGCAGCCCGCGTAAGCTATGGCATAAGGTCGCTACGCCATCTCGCGTACATCCCGTTTTTGATTGTCCCCCAGGGACAAACTCGCCCTTCCTCCTGCTCCTCCTCCTCCTCCTACTCTTCCTCCTCCTCATCATCATCATCATCATCATAATCTCTGTTGATCCGTGATCATCATCATCATCATCATCATCATCATCATCATCATCATCATCATCATCATCATCATCATCATCATCATCATCATCATCATCATCATCATCTCCTCCCCTGCCCACTCCCCCTCCCACTCCACAATTTCACTGTATGAATTCTCTACTCTCTCCCCTGACTCTGTCCAGAGAGTTTCCCGCTCTCACCGCGTGTATTATGTTACACAGGATGCCATAATTTGGTTGTTCCAAGGTTTTTTTTTATCTGGTCGTTTTTGCTCATTCCAACATGGTGCTCCCGCTGCAGCGCCGTCCTCATTTCCCGCGCTCCAGCCCTTCTAAATCGTGCTCCCGCTGCAGCGTCGGTCAAATTCCAACTGTGCGACTAGATAGGAGATCTACGACATGGTAATTCATGGATGGGGAGGAGGGTAGGACGTCAGATGTGACGCCAGCGCACCTAGCTTGTCCTCCCCCTCCCCTTCCCCCTCTCCCTCCCCCTCCCCCTCCCCCTCCTCATCCTCCTCCTCCTCCTCTTCCTCCTCCTCCTCCTCTTCCTCCTCCTCCTCCTCCTCCTCCTCCTCCTCCTCCTCCTCCTGGTCTCCTCGTGGTTGTTATGGACCTGTGTTGCTCGTTCACCTCACGAGGCCGGCGCGGTCGCCGTCGCCCCGGACCAGGGAGGCGGCCGCGCGGGTGGGCCGCCGCGCGAAGATCGCGGGGGGCCACCTCGACCCCGAGGCACTCGATGACGGGAAGCTCTGGACGATCGAGAGGGGTACGTTCGGTAGCAAGGCGTGGGAGTCTGACATACAGTCGGGGCGCTGAAGAAGAAACCCTTTTTGTTTGGGAGGGGCTCAGTGTTCCTCAGTCGTTCTGCAGTTAGCCTTTGGTATGCCTATGGCTTTCAATGGGAAATCGAAGCTTAACTTATGGAAGAAAGGGGCCTCGTTCCTCATTTGGGATTCCTTAGGTCAACGCCCCAACTGTACCCTCTCAATTCCGTCTTCAGCGTCGATCAGCGTTGTTTCGCGCCTGGGAGGCGACGAGATAGCGCCGATGCTGCGGCGGTGAGCGTCGATGAGCGTCCATTTAGCGTCGATGAGCGTCCGTCTAACGTCGACTAGCTTCGATTCGCAAGAGCCGACAAGATGGTATGGGAGGCTCCCGTGAGTTGCCACCGGAAAGTCGATGCGGAGTTCTGGGTCATTTCGACCAGGATTCCTTGTCCGCGCCGCTGCGGACGCTGTTCTCTGAAGCCAAAAATCCTGCCCTGCGAGATGGGGTCGGAGCAGATGGGGTCGAAGGATCACACCGCATCGCCGATGCATCGGCGATGCATCGCCGATGCGGCTCGATGGGGGGCCCACTTGTCTCCACGCCGACGCATCGCCAATGCATCGCCGACGTCGCCGATTCATCGGTGATGCATCGGAGATGCAGTGCAATCCGCCGACCGCATCTACTCGGACCCCTTCTGGGAGGCTTCTCAAGAAGCCGCCTGCCCAACGGCGGCCGCTGCCGGGTTTGGACAGCATGTGTTGTTGGGCATCGTGCGCATCTTTTCCGTACCCTTTTTCCGGGCGTTCAAAGGAGTGTGGGTGTTCCAGGTCTGATGTTCGAGGTCCGAGATGTTTCTCAGGAGGGGATAAAACATACAGACAAGCAATCGCCGATTCTCAGGAAAATATGAGAAATCTGGCAAGTGGAGGGGAAGACGAGCATCCAGAGTATTTGGAACATCTTCATTGGAATCTGGGTATTTGTGTCTGTTTATCGAAGACGCCTACAGCGAATCACCGCCGCCCCCTGCCTTTGTGGAAGCGCCTATGTGGCCGAACCTTGAGGCAAGACCTGCCAAGCCATCGGACCATGTGTTCCCCGAATCGGTTTGGAAAGCCCTTGAAGGTCATCTTGGCCGCCTGGTGGCCATTTTGACCCTTGCGGGCCTTCTTGGAGGATGTCTTGGAGGGCTCTTGGGTTGTCTTGGAGGCCATCTTGAGCGTCTGGGCCGCCTTGGGGGCCTCTTGGGGCCATCTTGGGCCTCTTGGGCGATCTTTGGGGGCACTTGGGCCGTCTCGGGCTGTCGGAAGGCAGAAAAAGAGCAAATGCCACAATCCTTCAAAAACCCATGGGATATCAATGATGTTGGCATTTTCGGCCCTTCCTGGAGGCCCTTTTGGAAGCCTCTTGGGCCGTCTTGGGCCAGCTTAGTGCCACCTTCGGCCGTCTTGGTGAGCCCCTGGCCCGTCCGACGCTGTCGGAAGCCGTTTGGGGGGGCCTCTATAGGCCGATTTGGGGCCCTCTTGGAATGCTCCACTGCAGTTTTGGAGGCCATCTTGGGCGTCTTAAAAAGCCTCCTGTGCCGTCTTCGGGGCCTTTTGGGGCCGTCTTGGGGGCCTCTTGGGCCGTTCTGGGACCATCTTGGAGTCCTTTTGGGCGATCTTTCAGCGATCTTTGGGGGCGGGCCGTATCGGGCCGTCGGAAGGCCGAAACGAAGCAAATGCCAAATTCCGTCAAAAACCTTAGGAACATCAAGGTTTTTGGCCTCTTCTGGCCCTCCTGGAGGCCCTCTTGGGGGCCTCTTGGGCCGTCTTGGGCCAGCTTCGAGCCAACTTCGGCCATCTTGGTGGGCTCCTAGCTTGTCTGACGCCGTTGGAAGCCGTTTGGGGGGCCTTTCTGGGCCGACTTAGGGCCCTCTTGGAATGCTTCACGGCCGTCTTGGAGGCCATCTTGGGCGTCTTGGAGGGCTCTTGGGTCGTCTTTGTGCCCTCTTGGGGCCGTCTTGGGGGCCTCTTGGGCCGTCCTGAGGCCATCTTGGAGGCCTCTTGGGCGCTGTTGGGGCGATCTTCGGGGCCTCTTGCCGTCGGAAGGCCGAAACGAAGCAAATGCCAAAATCCTTCAAAAACCGATGGACAACCAATGATTTTGGCTTCTTCGGGCCCTCCTGGAGGACCTCTTGGAGACCTCTTGGGCCGTCTTGGAGGCCGTCTTGGACCATCTTGGGCGAACTTGGAGGCCATCTTGGACCATCTTGGAGGCCATCTTGGGCCAACGTGGCCATCTTGGCGATATCTTGCGCCATCTCGGAGGATTTTTGTTCCGGATTGAGCACCTTTCCGGGTGGCCGGCGGGACGGGTTGAAGCCCCAGGGGGAGTTTTTTTTTTGGAAAAAGAACCAACATCAGAACCGAGAGGGTCCAACACGCCAGGCACCCTTTTGATACATCAAAAGGGGGCGGCGGATCTAGCTGCCTACGGCAAGTCCCGCCACCGTGCCTGGGTTGTGGGTTACAAGCCTAGTGGATTTTCGTTGGAATCTCCTGGGAGGCCTCTCAGCGCCTCTTGGAGGCAGTTATGAGTTATGAGGCCTCTTAGGGCTGTTTTGGGGCCTCTCGGGGGGCTCTTGGGGGCCTCTTGAGGGCCTCTCGGGGGCTTCTTGGGGCCCCTTGGGCGCCTCGTGGGGCCTCCCAGGCGCCCCCTCTTGGGGCGGAAGGCTCGGATTTACAATTCTTGTTCCCTCACTGGGGCGCCTTTTGGGGCTGTGTTGAGGCCGTCTTAGGCGCCTCTTGGGCCGTCTTGGGACGCTGCTCATAAGCCGTTTTGGGGCCCTCCTGGAGGCCTCTTGGGCCAGTTTGGCGTGGTATTGGGGGCCTCTTAGGCCGTCTTGGGCCCTCGGAAAACAAATTACGCTACCGAGGAACCCCACATACTTATATAATGGCGGGGTGATAATAGCTGAAGTGAAGCATGTGAGAATGATGTTGGTGGCCGTTGCCCCGCCGATAACGCAAGGACGACCGTCACGGATAGCGGCCGCGATCAGGGACTTCCCCGTGCGCACCCTCTTGTGGTGTCGAGAAAACGCCACGCCTGCTGTGCCCTGGACGACCGCCACGCATAGCGGCCGCGCTCAGGGACCACCCCGTGCGCACCCCCTGTGGAATCGAGGAAACGCCACGCTTGCCGTGCCCTGGACGACCGTCACGGACAGCGGCCGCGCTCAGGGACCACCCCCTGCGCACCCCCTATGGTGTCGACAAGACGCCACGCCTGCTGTGCCCTGGACGACCGTCACAGCGGCCGCGCTCAGGGACCACCCCGTGCGCACCCCCTATGGTGTCGACAAAACGTCTTGGAGGGCTTTCCAACGGCCCAAAGGAGGCCCAATAGACGCCCCAGAGAGCCCCAGGAGCGCCCCAAGAAGACGCCCCAGGGAGCCCCAAGAGCGCTCTGGGAGCCACCCAGACAGCTCACAAGAACCCCAAGACGGCCCGAGAAGGGCCAAGAAGGCCCCAAAAGTCCAAGAGACTCCCGGGAGCGCTCCAGAAGGCCCCCTAAACGGCCCAAAAAAGCTGCAAGACGGCCCAACATGGTTCTGAGACGGCCTAAGAAAGCTCCCACATAACCCTACGACGCGCCCAGACAGCCCAAGGAGACCCCAGAAGTCCATAAGAGGACCCAAGGGGCCCCCAGGAAGCCCCAACCAGCCCCAAGACAACCCCGCGTGGCGCCAGGAGCAACGTCTTTCTCCAATTGCCTCTTTCTGTCCTCTGTCGTCGTCGTCGCCATCGCACTCCGCATTTCTCCTCGTACTCGCCCGCGTTTTCTTTGTCCTCGTCCTTGTGCGTCTCTTCCTCCTCGTTGTCCTCATGCTTCTCCTCGCTATCCTCACGTTCGTCACGCCGTCCTCGTCATCGACTCCCCGTTGCCCTCGCCTTCCTTTTCCTCTTCGCCCAGTACGCCCATTAGACCAAAGCGGCGCTTCCCGTCCTTGTCCGATCAATGTTGTGTGTCCCTGGGCTTTTGATTCATGGGTTCTCGGCGGCATTGGGGGCAGCGTCAGGGCCCTTAGGTATCCCAGCGCTTTCGTCGCCTTTTGGACGGCTCGGCCAGGTCCCCCGACCGCTCCCCATTGCCGAAGAGGAGCATACCGCACGCGCAGCCTTCGTCGCTTTTCGGACGGCCCAGTAAGTCTCCCCGACCGTTTCCCTTGCCGAAGAGGAGCAGACCGCACGCGCAGGCGGTAAGCTTCGCAGAAGCCTGCGCTGTCGGAGGTGGGCTCCCCGAGGCAGGGCCCCCGACCTTGCGCACGGGCAGCCCCCCCCCCCCTTGGGGCTGTCCCGCGGGCCTCGGCGGCCCCCCCCCCAAGAGCAGCCCCCAGCGGGGGCTTCGACGGGCCTCCTCCTCCTCCTCCTCCTCCTCCTCCTCCTCCTCCTCCTCCTCCTCCTCCTCCTCCCTCTTCCTTTCTCCCTCTTCCCCCTGCCGAAGAAGAGCAGACCGCATGCGCGGGTCTCTCCGCGCAGGTCCCCCCAATCCGGCGGCGCCTCCTGCGCCGCCCCAGGGGGGGGGGGGGGGGGCGGGCGCCGACATGGCGCTGCGCGCGGGCCTTCGAACGATGTATTCGGGGGGGGAAGGGGAAACACAGACACAAGGAGTCGTCGATCCCCCAGCAAGTGCACGGAAATATGGGGAGTGGAGGGGAAGACAACAACCCAGAACATATTGAAAAATTTAGGGAAGTCTGGGAGTTGTGTGTATTTTTGTTTGTTGAACACTATTACTTCTAAAGAATTATTATTGTTGGACCCCCTGGTGCACGCCCCCCGCCCAAAACCTAGGCCGCAGCTACATTTTCATCATTTTTCTGCGAAAGCTTCAGAAAAGTGGATTACCCCCGGATCCGGTTTTTTGTTGACGCTCGTTTTCCCTTGCAAAAAACAATAGAAAATGAAAATTCTTGTTCTTAGTTGATCAAATTTCAAGAATCCCTTGCAAAAAATAAGGTAAAGTGGACATTCGCGCTCGCAAGACGAAATCCTTCCAAAACCTTAGGTTTCGTAGCGATTTTAACATAAAAACATCAAAAACCCAATGGTTTTTTAAGAAAAAAATGTCAAAATGTCCTTCCGCGCGCTCTTGCGGATTCATAGGAAACACACAACTTTTTAAACATTTCTGTCAAAAGGGTCTTCGCGTGCTACTTCTTCAGGTGCTTTGAACTTCTCCAACAACGGTTGCGCGCCTGCGAGGGCCACCATCCCTTGCAAAAAATGAGACGAAGTGCACTCATTGGGCAATCGGGACCGCACGGGTATCAGCCAGGCCCGCACGTGTATCAGCCAGGCAGCCGGGCACCCACGCGCCCGCTCCGCGCCATCGCAGACGACGATGCGTCGCGCCTTTAGTATGCTTCTGGATGCGAAGACCATTCGGTTGAGTATACCCCTACGTGTGACTGGACCTGTTTGCGAAAGCAGGAGAAAGTATGGCACCCCTTTGTGTCCAGAGCCGCGCCGTCTGCGTTCTTCCTTTCTCGCTTCTCTCCTTTCCTCCTTGTCCTGCTCCTCCTCCCCCTCTTCCGCCTTGGAGCCGTATTGGAACTGTCGATGGCCATCTCCCTTTCTCCCTCGCATGTCTGCTTGTACATACGTATAATTTCAGAACTTACCGTGCATGCGATCGTTTACAACATGGTGGACCGTGCGTATGTCACGAACCTTGTATACATGTGTTTCTCTCCCTCCGTCTGGCTGTGCACGCGCGCGTTGGGCACTGAGAGTTAGGATCATAGCGCCATGAGTCTATGAGCAATGCATGCGTCATCCTTGGGACTGTATAACATCAGTGTAACACATGTACTTCTGTAATCGCATCCCCACGAATTTGCCCCAAAAATGTGACCAACTATCTTGGCACTGCGTACCATCTCACGTGTACCGTGTACCACATCATATGTAACAGATGTGATCAACCTCTGTGGGTGTGTACCCCACGCCAGTGTAGTAGCCAGGGTCGTCCGCACGCCACGAAGTGAAGTGTCCCAACGTCATAGGGCGGGAAGCTGGGTGTGGGTGGTCTCGAAGAGTCGTTTGGATATTTGGTAGAGCTTGAACGGCCCCCCCACGAAGTGGGGGTATTGGCTGGTGTCGCAAGAAAACCCTGGCACTGGGGAGAACACTGAGCGTTCGGGTAAAATGATTGTTGTTGTTGTTGTTGTTGTTGTTGATGTTGATGTCGTTGTTGTTGTTGTTGTTGCTGTTGTTGAAGATCATTTCTTCTTAAGAATAACTATTGTTGGGACCCCTGGTGCGCGACCCCCCCGCCGCGCCTAGGCCGCAGCCACATTTTCATCATTTTCGTGAGGAAGTCTCAGGTAAAACGATGTGATCCAGATCCGGTTGTGTTGTTACGATCGGTTTTCCCTTGCAAAAAATAAGCTAAAGTGGACATTTCTTGTTCTAACATAATCCAAACTTCAAGAATCCCTTGCAAAAAATAAGGTAAAGTGGACATTCGCGCGCGCAAGACGAAATCCTTCCAAAACCTTAGTTTTCGTAGCGATTTTAACATAAAAACATAAAAAAACAATGGTTTTTCAAAAAAAATTGTCAAAATTTCATCCCGCGCGCTCTTGCGGATTCGTAGGAAACCCAACACTTTTTAAACATTTCTGTCAAACGGGCTTTTGCGAGCAACTTTTTCGAACTTCTGCAACAACGGTTGCGCACCTGCCAGGGCCATCATCCCTGTCAAATAATACCATGCGGGACACATTCGTTTTTTCTTCGCGCGCGCACGCCGTCGTCGTCGGCCGCGGGGCCCTGAATAGTAGCCACGGTCGTCCGCATGCCACGAAGTGAAGTGTCCGAACGTCATAGGGCGGGAAGCTGGGTGTGGGTGGTGGCGAAGAGTCGTTTGGAAATTTGGTAGAGCTTGAACCGGCCCCCCCACAAAGTGGGGGTATTGCCCGCCTCCTATGAAAACCCTGGCACTGGTGAGAACGGAGTGTCCCCACGTCCTAGTAATTGTTGTTGTTGTTGTTGTTGTTGTTGTTGTTGTTGTTGTTGTTGTGTGTGTCCCTGGGCCCCTTCATGTATGCTCACTCCGCTTTGCCGGGCCATTCGTCTGGAAGTACTTGGCCCAAGCCGATCCTCTTCTCAGGAAGTAAGTCTTTTCTTCTGTTTTGCCCTCCGCTGACCCTGACCCCAAGGAGTCCGACCCCCGGTAGCACGCGAGTGCAGAGGCAGCCTGTTTGGAGGAGTTCAGGGCTTCCGGGATCCGCCGACTTTGCCCCCATCAACGGCACCGTAACGGGTACTTACTAATGGGTACTTTGCAATTTTGCCGAAAGTTGCCACTTTAGGGCCTCTTTCTGGCAATGCAGCGTTGCCCGCCTTGGGAAGGGTTGGTTTCGCTGGGTCACTAGGCAAAGTACCCGTTAGTGGAGTCCCCGTTTGAGGGGCGCTGATCCCAGGACCTTTCTTATCGAGCTTCCGCATCGCCCGTGCCTATGCTACAGGGTCCGCACTCGCCCCGTTGCCTTCGAAACCCACGCTCTCGCCGCCTCCTGGGCACCCGGCGGCCTGCCGGGTACGACGTGCCACGTATCGTGCCCCTCCGGCGCAACACTCCGCGAGGTGTCCCGTGACACGGGCCCATTACGGAGCTCGTTGCGGTTCCTCCGATTCGATTCGATTCGATTCCGATGGATTCCGATTCCGATTCCGATGCGTCTCGACTTCAGATTCCGATCTGGATTCCGATTTCTCAGTGATGCCCTACTGCTCGTGCGGTTTTCGGCCGATTCGGCGTCTCTCGACTTGACCCCCGACTTCCGCCGACCCGATCCTTTCTTGATCGCCGATTCGACTTGTCGCTTCGATTCTGGGCTCCCCTGCCCACGAGGAGAAGAGAGTTACCAGCCTGGAACATATCCCGATCCCTATGCTGGGCATCACCTCATCACGATGCTAGTCTTAGGGTTTCCCTTCTGTTTTGAGGGCGCATCCTTGAGATTGTCACCGCTGTCTGGCGTGTCAATCGTAGGGATAGGGATAAGTTCGAGGCTGGTAAGAGAGCCTCCGCCCCCGAAACGTGCCAATCGTAGGGATAGGGATAGGGATAATTAAGGGATAGGGATAATTAAGTTTGGGATAGGGATAATAGGGATAGGGATAGGGATAATTAAGGGATAGGGATAGGGATAGGAATAATTAAGGGGTAGGGATCGTGTCAATCTTGGGGTTAGGAATAGTTAAGTTCGAGGCTGGTAAGAGAGCCTCCGCCCTGGAAGCATGCCGCATTGCGCGCCGCCCGTGCCCTCCACCAGGCGCGCGCGGTCTGCTCCGACCCCGCCGCCGCCTCCACGCGCACGCCCCTCCGCAGCCAGGCGCGCTGCGAGGGCGAGGCTGGCCGGGGCTGGGATTCATTCGGGCCTGTCCTCCTACAGGGGGATTTCGGACGAAAATCACGATCGAACAACACACACCCATACCCATCGGGGGGTCGTTGGGAGGAGGACTGGCTATGGGTATGGGTGCGGGTTTTCGGGCCCTGGGGAACGCTCCCGTTCGAGCGGGGACCCCCATTCGACAACACGCACCCATAGCCCTCTCCGACCCCCCCATGGGTATGGGTGTGTGTGTGTTTGTGTTGTTGGCTCGTCAGAAAAATAACAAATAGTCAAAAAGTATTCCAAATTGGTCAGCAAATACGCAAAACACAGTCTCCTGACTATTTTTAGACTATTTTTGAAATTTTCCCCCTGTAGAGGGACAGGCCCGACTTAAGGCTAGGACGAGGACGAATCCGCTCCAGAGCGCTCTCGGAGCCTCCCGGGGACGCTCTGAGAAGGCCGCGGCGCCCGAGACGTCCTCCAGATCCGCGGGATCTCAGGTCGTCGTTTCCGTATTCCTTGTTTTGCCGATCGGCGCGGGCCTTCGCCCCCCCCCCCCCTTCCCCCCCATGGAGTAGATCCTGGCTGCTTTTGGCACCTGCTCCGAACAGGTGGAGTCTCCTCCAGAGGAAGCACTGTTGCAAACAGTCACATTAAGCAGAAGTCCAGAGCCAGACCCCCCCACTCTCTCCCCCCCTTCCGCCCAATGTTGAAGCGGCGCCGAATAAGAAAACGTTCACCACAGACTCTCTATTTTTTACGATGCATCTCCGGGGGACCTCGCCTGTCTGCCAACTTGGTGTCTTCTCTTGTGCGCGACACGGGCTCGTTGCGGACTCAACGCGGATTGTGTGGATTCGACGCGGATTCGGCACGGCTCCGACGAGCCCGAGATAGATTCGACACGGCTTCGACGCGGACAGGGCCGCGATGGGACAGACAAGGTCCCCCGAGGATGCAGCATACGATTTTTCCCTTCATTGCCCGAATGTATCGCCAGACGTGCGACGTCCTGATTTTTTCAGGACGGCGAAGTCCCGACCCTTTCCCCAGGACCGGATTGTCGTCCTGAGCCGTTTTTGTTATAGTCCTGAGGCCCGGTGAGGGCCCCCTGGGGCCGAAAATTGCTCAAAACCTTCCGTCCTGATTTGTTTTAAACGACGCGATCATGTCTGGGAGGAGGAGGAGGAGCAGGAGGAGGAGGAGGAGGAGGAGGAGAAGGATGAGGAGGAGGACGAGGAGGAGGAGGAGGAGGAGGACGAGGAGAGAGAGGAGGAGGAGGAGAGGAGGATGAGAGATGAGGGGAGGGGGGGATGGGAGGGGGAGGAGAGGAGGGAGGAGGGGAGGACGGAGAGGGAGGAGGAGTGTAGTGGAGAGGAAAGAGGAGGAGGATGAGGAGGAGGAGGAGGAGGAGAGGAGGAGGAGGGTCCTCGTCCCGGCCTCGTCTCGCGAGGGCCTCCTCGCGTCGCTGCTCTCCCCGCGGCGCCGGCGGGGCTCGGCGCCCCTGCTCCCCGTTGGCGACCTCGGCCTGGCGGCAGAGCCGGCGCCGCGGCGGGGCTCGCTGGACGCCCGTCGGCGGCGAGCCCAGGGGGGGATAGTCTAGATCCCGCCTCCTCCTCCTCCTCCTCCTCCTCCTTCTCCTCTTTCTCCTCCTCCGCCGCCTCCTCCTCCTCCCCTCCTCCTCCTCCTCCTCCTCCTCCTCCTCCTCCTCCTCCTCCTCCTCCTCCTCCTCCTCCTCCTCCTCCTCCTCCCTCTCCTCCTCCTCCTCCTCCTCCTCCTCCTCCTCCCTCCTCCTCCTCCTCCTCCTCATCCTCCTCCTCCTCCTCCTCCTCCTCCTCCTCCTCCTCCTCCTCCTCCTCCTCCTCCTCCTCCTCTCCTCCTCCTCCCTCCTCCTCATCCTCCTCCTCCACCCCTCCTTCTCCCCCTCCCCCTCCCCCCCCCCTTCTCCTCCTCCTCCTCCTCCTCCTCCTCCTCCTCCTCCTCCTCCTCCTCCTCCTCCTGCTCCTCCTTCTCCTCCTCTTCCTCTTTCTCCTCCTCCTCCTCATCCTCCTCCTCCTCCTCCTCCCAGACGTGATCGTGTCGTCAAACAAAAATCAAGACGGAAGGTTTTTGGCTATGTTCGGTCCCGGGGGGCCCTCGCCGGGCCTCGTGACTATCAAGAAAACGGCTCAGGACGACAATCCGGTCCCGGGGAACGGGTCGGGACTTAAGGGACGCCGTCGTGAAAAAATCAGGACCTCGCATGTCTGGGATGGCCAAGCCGACCTGCTTCTAGAAGACCAACATGTTTGGCCGATGCCCAGTGCCTCGAAGAAGGACAAACGCCATAAACATCAACATTAGGCGCTCCTCGTGGATTTCTTGGATCCGCGCTGGGCCGCCCCTGGCGCGCTCCGCGCGCCAGGGAGGGTGGTCCAGCGCAGATCCAAGAAATCAGCGCTGAGCGCCAAAAGTTTCTGTTTATGACGTGTTCTCTTCTTCTAAACATATTTGGCCGATGTCAAATACCTTTCTCACGTCCTATTCAAAAGCGTCTGTGGACACACTGGGTGCCGCAACGTCCATAGACACTTTCAGGATGGATACGTCTATGAACAACGTGGGCGGCGAGCGAGGGGGGGAAGTGAGAAGAAGAAGGTCTTCTCAGAAGGCGGTGGGACTTCTCAGAAGCCCTCGCGCCTTCTGAGAAGTTGTTCGCGTTTTCCTGGGAAGGCTTAGACAACCTCTCAGAAGGCCGAGGGACTTCCGAACCTTCTAGGCCTCCTAGATTCGAAGAAGGACAGACGCCATACACATAAACATTAGGCGCTCCTCGCGGATTTCTTGGATCTGCGCTGGGCCCCTCCGGCGCGCTTTCCTTGGCCCTGGCGCGCTCGGCGAGCAAGGGAGGGTGGTCCCGTGCAGATCCAAGAAATCTGCGCCGAGCGGCAAACATGTATGTTGATGGCGTGCTTCTCTTCTTCTATACACTGGGTCGGAGGATCGCGATGCATCGCCGATGCATCGCCGATGCTGCTCGATGTGGTGCCCGAGTTGTTTCCAGTCGACGTCGCCGATACATCGCCGACGTCGACGATGCATCGCCGGTGCATCGCCGATGCATCGCATCGCCGATTCATTGGCGATGCGGCGCGATCGTCCGACCCCATCTACTCCGATCCCACCCAGGAGGCATCGATTTACAGGAAGTAGTCAAGAATAGTCCAACCATAAAACGTCTGGTGACGATGTGTCGGGCTCTTCTTATCCCAGAGCAAGTATAGTTCGAATCTGTATTATTTGTCTTTCAAAATCCGCCTGTGGCAGGACATACCCGACCTAACGATAGGGGGGGATACGCTCAGAAGGTGGGCGACGTATCTACCCCCAATCACCCATTCATCGCCAACAAGGCCCTGGTAGCCGCTTTCCGCGGATAATGAAGCACCCCCCCAGTCTTAACCGTATCCCTTTACCCACTGGATTGACTGTGGCTGAATTGCCAGAAAAGGCGGGCAGCCGAACTGTACTAGTCTATCGTAGCTCCGATCATCATCTCATGCAAAGCATTATGAACAACCCCACCATAACGTCGATATCTCTGGGAGATTATTATCCCGCCTGGACCCTCAACTTTATCATCCCCAGGGGATACAGGACATCTCATTGTTAGCCAGACCCGCCCAGGAATTCGGATTCGCTATCGGCAACCTCTCGCTTATCAGCACATCGCCGATTCCAGGCTGATGTTCCCCCCTGATTCCCCGCCCTGAGACAGTCCCCCCTTCATGGTTGCCCCTCACCAGGGGCAAGGCAGAGGGGGCGGGCCTCAGAAAGCTCAGAAGGAAGCCTTCTGAGCCTTTTTCCGGAGACACAGGCGGCTTCTCAGAAGGCGCGCGGGCTCCTGAGAATCCCCGCCGCCTTGTGAGAAGACCGGCTCCCTTCACGCTTACCCCTTGGGCTCGCCGCCGAGTCAGAGAGGGAAACGTTACCGACACCATTGCGCTTGCTTCGCTCGTCGCCACGGCTGGAAGTCCGCCTCGCACGCCCCGTCAAGACGCACCCCTGCTCTGAGACCCGACGTCTTCGGCTCGGCATCGCTCGGACGTGTGAATTTTTCCTTCGGCGAGGACTATCGAGGAGCATCCTTGATCATTTGCCGAAAAACCAGGCACGAAACCGAAAAACACAGGAAAATGTACGTCCGAGCGATGGCCAGGCAACGGCACGGCCAGAGCCCTGCATGGACCCCATCTCTTGTGGCGCTGGCCCGATCGGCCCGTGAGGGGAGTCCCAAGGCCCCGGGGCCCGAAAGACCAGGCGAAAGCGCTCGGCGAGAGAAGCACGCGAGGCCCGGCTCTCAGGGTGGGCTCGCCTCCTCCTCCCTCGTCCTCCTCGTCCTCCTCCTCCTCCTCCTCCCCGGCCCGAAAAGATTGGGACGCCAGGATCTCAGGGTCGGGCCAAAGCTCGGGCCCCCGGGCGGCCACTCCTCTTGAACACCTCGCGGCAGTGGACCTCCTCCGCAAGTTCTGGTCAGGACAGACACCCCAGGAGAGGGCCATGGGGTGCAGTGGGGGCCCCTGCCAAGAAACACCTTGCTTGCCACCAGGGTGCCCTGGGTTCCTTGGATTTCAGAATGGTTCTGCTTCGGAAAAAGAGCGTGAAGTTCCTATAGCAAGAATCGATGGACGTCCTGGGGTCGCTTCTGAATCGGAGGTGGACAGACCTCCTACCCTGACACGTCGATTGAGTAATTGGCCGTTTTCGGCTCGCGACAGGGCGTCGCGGCCGTCATTCTTGCGGGTCCAGGTCCGTCGGTTTCGGTCCCAGGCCGCTTTCACTAGGGGGAGGTTTACTAAAGGGAGGGAGGTTTGTCCACCGCCGACTGAAGCGGCCGATCGTTCGAGGTGGAACACTGCCCGTGGCGTCCGGAGCCAGCACGCCGAAGCCGGCACGACGCGCCTGCCGTGCGCAGCTGCGGCCCGCCCTGCGGCCCCCCCAGCTCGGAAAGCCTCCGGCCTCCGGAATGGTTCTCAGGGAGGAGGAGGAGGAGGAGGAGGAGGAGGAGGAGGAGGACCGCTTGCTCAGGAGGAGGAGGAGGAGGAGGAGGAGGAGGAGGACCTCCTCGGGAGGAGGAGGAGGAGGAGGAGGAGGAGAAGGAGGAGGAGGACCTCCTCCTAGTTTCCAGCAGTGAGTGTGAGTGTTTTCCCGATATAGGCGTACCTTTTCCTGTGCAAGCTCTTCGGCATCGCCTGCACCCCGCACTCCGGCCGCCTGAGGCCCCGCCCGCCCGCGCCCTGTCTTACCAATTAGTGCTTTGCGCGCCCCGCCTAGCTCTTAACTGGAAGAGGCCCGCTCTCGACCCGCAGACCAAAAAATGTTTCCCCAATATGTTCTGGATATGTTTTGTTTTTCGTCCAACATCGGCCTGCAGGGGCACATGCCCGACCTAACGATAGGTTCCCAAAAGATCCATGTGGTGTGGCGGGCTGGCCGGTGAGGTCCCTGCGGCTTTCGATGTCCCTGTGTGGTCTGTCATCACACAGTTTTGGCACCCCAAGACTCAAGGCCTCCTAGATGGGGTCGGAGTAGATGGGGTCGGAGAATCGCTCCGCATCGCCGATGCATCGACGATGCGGCTCGATGTGGAGCCCGCTCTTCTCCACGCCGACGTCGCCGGTGCATCGGCGACGTCGCCAGTGCATCGTCGATGCATCGCCGATGCATCAGCGATGCATCGGCGATGCGGCGAGATCCTCCAACCCCATCTACTCGAACCCCATCTAGGAGGCCTCTAAAGACATGATCGCGTCGTTAAAAAAGATCAGGACGGGCGGTTTCGGGGTATTTTCGGCCCCCGGGGGCCCTCGCCGGGCCTCGGGGCCGTCAAGAAACGATTCAGGACGACAAACCGGCCTCGGGGAAAGGGTCGGGACTTCAGGGACGTCGTCCTGATCAAAATCAGGACGTCGCATTCCTGGGCCCCGCACAGAAGCCTTCTCAGATGGTACGGCACGAACTTGTCGTAGCGGAGCATGTTGATGCCCCCCTCCCAGGACGTGCCCTGCACGCCCAGCTTCGGCGCCGTGGGTAGCACCCCAGCCTCGGCGAGCTTCACGCCGAGGTCGGAGGAGCACGGGCAGTTCCTGGCACAACAGAGAGGCACCACCAGAACCGAGTGGATTTTTCGGCAGGGCCCCTCAGGGAAGAGCTTCCCGACCTCGACGTGAGCACTCTGGTTTTGGCTATGGTCGATTCGACCGAAGCCGAAAGATCAGGAGGGACAGAAACACACAGACACAAGTCATCATCGATTCCCCAGAAAATATTGGAAAATATGGTAAGTGGTGGGGAAGACAAAAAGCCCAGAAAATATGGGAAAATATTGGGAATCCTGTTATTTGTGTCTACTTATTTGTGTGTCCTAGGGCCCCTTCAAAAGAGCGCATTCTGTGGACCCTGGGATGGGGCGGGGTTCGAGCCGGAGGGTGCCTTCCCCCCCTTGAGTTGCAAGCGGGGGGTTCGAGTTCGGGGGGTCGGGGGTGGACAGAACCTCCACCCTGACACGTCGATTAGTGAATTGTCCGTTATCGGTTCTCGAGAGGGCGCTGCGGCCGTCATTTTCAAGGCTTGCGCCCGCTAGCTTTGGGCCCGAGGTCGTTTTCACTAAACCACGTTTTACTAAAGGGGGTTCTGTCCATCCCCGAAGGGGGGTCCCTTTCCCCTCCAGGGGGTCCCTCCCCTCTCTTTGGGGGGCGTGTCTATAGCCATGGGGGGTAGGCCCTCCCCCCGGAGTTGCACAGGGTGGAGGGGAGTCCGAGCCGGGGGTGCCCCCGCTCTCCGTCCGTGGGGGGGGGGGAGTCGAACCAGGGGCGCGGCCCCGCCCGTGAGTTGCAAGGGGGGGCTCCCTTGCAACAGACAACGGCAAGCGCTGGCGCTGGCCCCGTCGCCGTTTGGCACCGATGACGACGACGACGACGGCGACGGCGAAGGCGGCGGCGGCATCGGCGACGGCGACGGCGACGGCGACGACGGCGATAACAACGGCGACGGCGACGGCGACGGCGACGGCGATGGCGACGGGCAACATGTGGCGAAGACGACGACGATGACGATGACGACGACGACGGCGACGACGGCGACGGCGGCGGCGGCGGCGACGACGGCGACGGCGACGGTGACGGCGACGGCGACGGCGACGGCGACGACGACGGCAACCGCGACGGCAACCGCGACGGGGACGACGGCGACGGCAACGGCGACGGCGGCGGCGACGACGACTCGCAAGGCCGACCCCCTGAGTTGCACGGGGGGGAGGTTCGATCCAAGGGCGGGCCGCCCCTGCAACCGTCGTCGACGCCGGTCCCGACGCCGTCGGTCAGACACGACCACAACGACGACGACGACGACGACGACGACGACGACGTGGGAGGCGTCGGCGACGGCGGCTGCGACGGTGGCGTCAACGGCGACAACTACGGCGACGGCGACGGCAACGGCGACGGGAAAAGCTCCGGCGACGGCGAAGGCGACGACGACGGCGCGCGCGACGGCGACGGCGACGGGTGGCCCCGCCGTCTCGAACCCCCTCCTTGGACCTCCCCCCCTTAGTTCGAACCCCCTCCGTTTGCAACTCAAGTGGGGGGCCCTCCCTGGTTCGAACCCCTCCTTGGACAGGTGGGAGGCACCCCCGGTCCAACCCCCCCCCTTTCCTTTGAGGGGGGGTCCCCCCAGTTACGGAGGCTGGCGTCCGGAGTGGGGAGCCCACCCTGGGTCGCCACCAGGGGTGCTCAATGTTTTTTCCCCCCCTGGTTCTATTTTGTCAAGGTGGTTTCCGGGCAAGCGTCCACGAAACGCGATCTCTCTGGAAGCCACAGCCACATCAGCTTTAATCAGGAGGGAAAAAACACACAGAGGCACAATGAATCGTCGATCCCCCAGAAAACATCGGAAAAAATTGGAAGTGGGGGAAAGACACAAACCGAGAAAATACTTGGAAATATTGGGGATCCTGTTATGTCTATTTATTTGTGTGTCCCAGGGCCCCTTCATTCAACCAGTACGAAGCTGGTTTCGGTGTGCCGACGAGTTTGGGCATGCGCACGACATCTCCCAGGATGTGCTCTCGGTGTGCTGGTGGTCGCCTGCTTTCCCCTCAAAGGGGGGGTCACCACTGGAGAGGCTTCCAGTTCCTCCTGGGAGGCTCGGGGTCCCAGGATTGATCGACCATCGAAAACGAACCCTTGACTCATGATGTTCCAACCTGCTTTGGCCTTGATCGCCAGAAATAATTACGAGCACCAGCAAAGTACCGAAACTCGGGGGTGTTCGCGTGTCGGGCCGTGGGAGACACTCGTCCGACACTGTTTCGACACTCTTTCGACACTTTTCCGGGTGCTCGAAACCTTTTCTGGGACGTGGTCCTTAAGTACGATGGGGGCAACATAACCCTTAACCATGATAGCACAATGAGGACGTAGCTTATATCGTATATCCCCGTCATTACATCAGGGATCATCAATCTGAGCGGGTTGGGCTGATACATATGCTTTTGGCCTCCTTACTGAGGTCCGCTCCCAGCATTAAAAGGGGGCCTCGAATTGCTAACCAATCGAAGTTCGATTGATGAGCGGACAGAGCGTGTTCAAATGTATAGGGAGAAGGAAACGGGACGGGCAAGGATATGGATGCGCCGTAGGCATGGGCCCGGGGATTTCGGAACCCGAGAGGGGTTCCCGTTCGAGCGGAAACCCCCATCCCACAACATACACACATAGCCCCCACGGTCATCCACCCCGAGAAAGCAAAGGGTCGCACAGGTATCGGTGTTAGTTGTTATTTTATGACGAGGAGTCAGTTGGGCTTTGTTGGGCGGGTTGTGGAAGCTATGGAGTGTTCTTGTGGGGCCACTTCCTTGCGGAAATGGTCTAACCTCGCAGGAAAAGCGAGCCCCCTAGTGGTGACCTCCCGCGGTTTTGCCCCAGGAGCACTGGTCGATCTCCAGCTGCGACAAGACGAGCTCCAAGGACCAGGGCGGAGGTATATTCCCTGACGTGCTCGCGTCGCAACAGGTACCCTGACTGTTCGTGCTTTGATTCACGACGCGAGGATGCTTTGGAAATTCCTGGAGGCCTCGCGCTGCGCGCAATATTTGTATAGTTTAGTGGTCGACGTTCACGCGACGATGCTCCGACGTGAATATGACGTGTGTTCGACGTTCATCCGACGTACATTTGGTGTCAAGTTGCTGCGCGAGGCCTTCAGGCTTGTCCTCATGAGTCTGGAACAGGAGGAGCAGGCCATACCCAAGGATGAGGAGAGAAGGAGGAGGAGGAGGAGGAGGAGGAGGAATAGGAGGGGGACGAGGAGGAGGAAGAGGAAGAGGAGGAGGAGGAGGAGGAGAAAGAGGAGGAGGAAGGGGAGGGGGACGAGGAGGAAGAGGAGGAAGGGCGGGGAACGAAGAAGGAGGAGGAGGAGGAGGAGGAGGAGGAGGAGGAGGAGGAGGAGGAGGAGGAGGAGGAGGAGGAGGAGAGGAGGGGCGGAGAAGGGGAGGGGAACCACGAGGATGAGGAGGTAGCAGGAGAGGAGAGGAGGACGACACGAGTAGGAGAGCAGCCCCGAAGCCGCCTCGGCCCTGGAGCACACCCTGGGGCGCGGGGGGGGGGGGGGCGGGGCGGCGGGGGGGCGCCGCCAGCAGCCTCCGCAGCCTCCGCAGAGGGCGCCGGCGCGGCGGGCGTGGGCCTCCGCGAGCGCCTGGCGCTGCGGAAGAGGCGCGCGGGCGGCTCCTCCTCCTCCTCCTCCCTCCTCCTCCTCCTCCTGCTCCCTCCTCCTCCTCCTCCTACTACGACTCCTCCTCCTCCTCCTCCTCCTCCTCCTCCTCCTCCTCTGGAGGACGGGACGTGAAAACGACCACAGCCACTGCTTTTCTTGTGTTGCCGCCTTCCAGCCAGCAGGAACGAAGCAGTGGCTGTGGTCGTTTTCGTGAAGCTCGGCACCAGGGAAAAATGAGCACAACCACGGCTTCTCTTGCGGCCGGCCGGAAGGCGGCGCAAGCAAGAAGCAGTGGCTGTGGTAATTTTCCCGTCCTGCATAGGCCTCCCAGGTCCAGGGCGCCCTCGAGGGCGCGAAGCTGTTCGCGCTCCGCGCTTCGTCTCTGCTGCCTCCTCAGCCTCCTCCTTCCCCCCTGGGAGGCGGCGCGAGAGCGCGAAGTTGGGAGCCCTCGTAGATGGGGTCCGAGCAGAGGGGGTCGGAGGATCGCGCCGCATGGCCGACGCATCGCCGATGCATCGGCGATGCATCGGCGATGCGGCTCGACGCGGAGCCCGATCTTCTCCGCGCTGGTGTCGTCGGTGCATCGCCGACGTCGCGAGTGCAACGCCGATGCATCGGCGGTGCATCGGCGATGCGGCGCGATCCTTCGACCCCTATCTACTGGGACCCCATCTAGGAGGCCTCTAAAGATGGGGTCCTGCGGGATGGGGTCACGAGGACCCATGCATTCCGCGGAGGATAAGATGCCCATGCCGCTACCCTTCCCGCGCTTCCCCCCTTTTTCGGGGCCTCCCGCGAGGCCCTCGTCGCCCCCCCTGGATTCGCTTCGACATCCTGGTCAGAGCGCCCCCCTTTGGAGAGGCCCGGGGAGTAGCGGTGTCGATACCTGCTGCGTTTTCCCCAAAGATGGGGTCCTGCGGGATGGGGCCCTGAGCTTTCGAGGTCCTCGCCCGCCCCCCAGGGTGCCCCCCAGGGTGCCAGTTGCAAACCACGCCCTTCGGAGTCGCCGAACATGCAACTTCCTGACCAACTTCGGGACGGAGGTGCTTATCAGCTTTCGGCCTCCCCGGGCACTTACCCAGCCCCGGATCGTCAACAAACGATCAGGGATGACAAGTCGGTCCTGGGGAAGGGGTCAGGACTGCCAGGGACCACGCATAGAAACTTGAAGGCATCGCATGTCTGAGAGGACAGGATCCAAGCTGGAGAAGTGGGTCTGGCGCAGATGCGTCGAAGGGCGAGAGGTGCAATCGTGTAATTTCCATCGCTTCGCTCACTCCGCCGGCCCATGCTGCATCACTGGTGCTACATGTTACTGTGCTCGTGGCTAGCGAGCAGGAGGAGGTCGGGCGGCGCCAGGACGAGGATCCATCCGTTCCAGAGCGCTCTCAGAGCGTTCGGGGACCCTCTGAGCAGGCCGCAGCGCGCGATACATCATCCAGAGCCGTCGGATCTCAGAGATCCTCAGTTAGAGGAGGAGGAGGTAGAGGAGGAGGGGAGGATGAGGATATGAGGTCTCTCTGTGTGGCTTCCTGGGGCACCCTTGGAAGCCAAACGGGGTCGTGGACGAGGCGCCTCTCTGGGAGGCTTCTTGGGGCCTCTTGGGAGGCCTCCCTCGGCGGCCTCTTGGTGGCATCTGTGGGATATCTGGGGCCTCTCGGGGGGCCTCCTGGCGCCTTTTTGGAGCGGTCTTTTGCGCCTCATCCCCTCCTCCTCCTCCTCCTCCTCCTCCTCCTTCCTCCTCGCTCCTCCTCCTCCTCGCTCCTCCTCCTCCTCCTCCTCCTCCTCCTCCTCATCCTTCTCCTCCTCCTCCTCCTCCATCCTCCTCCTCCTCCTCCTCCTCCTCCGCCTCCTCCTCCTCCTCCTCCTCCTCCTCCTCCTCCTCCTCCTCCTCCTCCTCCTCCTCTCCTCCTCCTCCTCCTCCTCCTCCTCCTCCTCCTCCTCTCCTCCCTCCTCCTCCCTCCCTCCTCCTCCTCCTCCTCCTCCTCCTCCCCTCCTCCTCCTCCTCCCTCCTCCTCCTCCTCCTCCTCCTCCTCCTCCTCCTCCTCCTCCTCCTACCTCCTCCTCCTCCTCCTCCTCCTCCTCCTCCTCCTCCTCCTCCTCCTCCTCCTCCCCCTCCCCCTCCTCCTCCCCTCCTCCTCCTCCTCTCCTCCTCCTCCTCCTCCTTCTCCTCCTCCTCCTCCTCCTCCTCCTCCTCCTCCTCCTCCTCCTCCTCCTCCTCCTCCTCCTCCCTCCTCCTCCTCCTCCTCCTCCTCCTCCTCCTCCTCCTCCTCCTCCTCCTCCTCCTCCTCCTCCTCCTCCTCCTCCTCCTCCTCCCTCCTCCATCTCCCGTGCGCAACGCCCCCCACGCGGGCGGGCCGCTCGTCCTCCTGCGAGGGCGCGCGGCGCGGCGCCGCCGCCGCGGGCACGGGGCTTGCCTGGGCAGAGCGGACCATCGCGGGCCTCTCGGGTGCCTGCTGGCTGTCTCGGTGGACATCTTTCGGGGGAAGGAGCAACATGCCAGTTCGGAGATTGTCCATCTTGAGGCCCTCTCGGGAGCCTCCGGAGCCGTCTTGGGAGGCCTCTCGGGCCGTCCTGGGGCCCTATCGGGCTGTCTTGGGGCCGTCCTGGGAGCTCTTGGTCTGACTTGGGGCGCTCTTGGGGGCCTCGTGGGCCGTATAGGGTGGTCGGAAGCCTGAAAAGGCGGTGACGTCAAAATCTTTCGAAGCCTACGGGAAGAAGTTATGAAATCTAGCCTCGGGGGGCCCTCTTGGGTCTCCAAGACCATCTTGGGGCTACTAAATTGAGGGGCTCAGAAGGGGCCCTAAAGGGCTCCTTTCTGGCCCTCCTCTCTATCCCCCTGTTCGGCCACCCCCCATTACCACCCGCCCTATCTGAGAAGGCCTTCTCCTTCTCACTTCTCTTCCCTCGCTCGCCGCCCAGCAATCACATGCAACTAATCGTCGATCCCCATGGAAACCTGGAAAACATTGGGGGGTGGAGGGGAATACGAACATTCCGGCAGATATCGAACATTTTGGGGGAACCCTAGGATTTAGGAGTCCTTTCTTTGTTTGGCCCCTCGCGCGCCGCCGAGCCCCAGTCATCCGGCCGCTCCACTGCCATGCGTGGGCCCTGGAGTCCTGGACCCCTCTCGTAGAGCGGGGGCCCCCAAACGTGGTGGTGATCACAGGTAGGACGTAGGACAAGGGAGGTTGGGAAGGTCCTCCTCCTCCTCCCCCTCCCCATCCTCCTCCCCCTCCTCCCCCTCCTCCCCCTCCTCCCCCTCCCCCTCCTCCCCTCCTCCTCCTCCTCCTCCTCCTCCTCCTCCTCCTCCTCCTCCTCCTCCTCCTCCTCCTCCTCCTGGGACCCCCAAGCGGGGTGGTGACCACACCGCGCGGCGAGTCGGTGGGGATTCGGGGTCGCCGCACGGTTCTGGGACTCGAGGCCCTCTCCGAGGACGTCTCGGGCGACAGGGGCCCCCGGGGTCCCAAGACCGTGCGGTGAGGTCTTGGGGGATTTCGGTCTTGAGGGATTTCGAGGTCACCGCACCGAGGGCGCCCTCGAGGGCGCGAAGTTCTTCGCGCTTCGCGCTTCGTCTCCGATTCCTCCTCATCCTCCACTTCTCCCCTGGGAGGCGGCGCGAGAGCGCGCGCGAAGTGATTCGCACTTGGCGCTTTGCGCAGCGCGCAGCGCAAAGTTGGGAGCCCTTGCCGCACGGTCTGTCACAGGAGGAGGAGGAGGACGAGGAGGAGAAGGAGGAGGAGGAGGAAGAGGAGGAGGAGGAGGAGGAAGAGGAGAAGGAGGAGGAGGAGGAGGAAGAGGAGGAGGAGGAGGAGGAGGAAGAGGAGGAGGAGGAGGAAGAGAAGGGCAGGAGCAGCAAGGGCGGGCGTCTCCCCCCGAGCCGTAACTGCTGGGCGTTCCCGGGGGCCCGGCGAGGGCCCCCGTGCAGAGGCCGAGGCGACCGCCCAGAGCCCGCCGCTTCAGCCTTCTTTTGTCGGAGCCTCGGATCTCTGCCGAGGGAGGAACAATTTCGAGCACGAAGATGGTTACCGAAACTGGAGTGCTTTCACGTCTCGGGCCCTGGGGCGCGATACTCGCTCGACGCCGGTTCGATGCTTTTCTGGGTCCTCGAATATTTTTGTTCTGGGATGTGGTCCTTAGGTACGATGGAATCGGGGGTGGACAGAACCCCCAACAGTGACGCGTCGATTCGTGAATTGTCCGTTCTCGGTTCTCGAGAGGGCGCCGTGGCCGTCATTTTCCGGGCTTGCGCCCGCCAGGTTTAGGCCTCAGGTCGTTTTCACTAAACCACGGTTTGCTAAAGGGGGGTCTGTCCATGCCCGAAAAAACCGCCTGGACCCGGCGATTGGCATTTATTGAACGGCCCTGGGCGCTTCCTACACAACCTTGCCCTTGATGGAGGATTCCTTCCCTGGGTGCGTTTCCTAAGCGGCTTCGCGTGTTGGGGTGGTTGTTGTGCGGGTGGAGTTTCTGCTCTTTACTCGGTCCTGCTCGCTCCTCCCCCCTCGCTCGCCGCCGAGCTCCACTCCCCCTGCACTTAAGTCGGGCACGTCCCTTGACAGGAGGAATATTCAAATGGGGACGATGGTTTGACAATGTTTGATCATTTAGGCGAACTATTTTTCATTTTCCTTCCAAAATCCGCCTGCAGTCGGGGTGACCTAAAAGGGGGTCCAGCTGAAAGGGGTTGGTGCAATAGATTTGGGGCAATTGGATTGCCAATGTATTGCGCCAGAGATTGGTATTGCATTGTATTGCAAGTAATGTATCTCACGCAAACATGCAGCAATACATCTGCGCCCCGAAATGTATTGCACTGCCCAAATGTATTGCAACCCCACAAATCTATTGCACCAAACCTGCAGTCGGGGCGCTGAAGAAGGAACCCTTTTCGTTGGGGAGGGGCTCCGTGTTCCCTGATTGCTTCACAGTTTGCCTTGGCTTTTTCTGTGGTTCTCGATGGGAGGTCGCAGTTCAACTTGTGGCTAGAAGGAGCCTCGTTCCTTATTTGGGGTTCCTTGGGTCAGCGCCCCGACTGTATTGCACCACCCCGGTGTCGCTGCACCGCCTGTTGGGTCAACCGGATGTGGGGGGACATGCCCGACCTGACCCTGCACCGCCCGGAGGCAGCTCCGGGGCTCGCGCTCCCTCGCCAGCCCGCCGCGGCTGGCCGGCGCTCGCCCTGCGGGGGCCGGGGTGGCGGGGGGGACTCGAGCAGTGGCGGAGCGTCCTGGCTCGCCTGCGGGCCTCCCGAAGCGTGTTCTAAGGCGAGCCTTTTTCAGGCGGTGGCAAACGTGGACTCGGGGGGCGTGGGTTAGCGACGGGTCCCGCTTCCATCGGAGATCGCGGATTCTCGCCGCCGAACGAGGCGGCACAGGCCGCACTTTGGGGAGGGCACTTCCCCCGATGCATGGATTAGGCGACCGCGCGCCAAATCCATGGATCGCTACTCCATGTTTGCGCGCCCCCGACTGGCTCGCTTGTAGGCCTCCCAAAGGATGCTCTAAGAAGAGCCTTTTGTGGTCTGCACGATTTTGTTCTCAGTACAGTTCTGGCTGGGACTGTCGTGTTTTCATACATTTGGCTTGTGTTCTAAAAGCAGTGTTTTGGTTCTTGGATCATTTGCGGTTTCCAAGAAACTTATCGTGGTAGGCCTATAGGAATACTGGGACGGTCGTTCCTTGCTCAAGTGGGGGCAGACATGCATCAGCACGACAATTGTCAGAGTGCCGCGCCGGTCCGAGGCATCTGCGCGGTCTCCCGAGAGTAGATGTTTGCGCAGTTGTGTGTTTGTCCTTCTTCTTCTTCTTCTTCTTTTTCTTCTTCTTCTTCTTCTTCTTCCTTTTCTTCTTGCGAGGGGGTCTGGGGCTGAGGTGTGAGGGCTGTGGCTCTTGCCCCCTTGAGAGAGCCCCCCGTACGTGGCGAGTGCTGCTGTGGGCGCTCTTCGGGAGACCCCACGTGGCACTCGCTGCAGAGCCTTCTTAAAGGGGTACCTCAGAGCTCAGCCACTGGAAGGTCCCAAGAGTCAGAATTCTGGAGGCTGAGATCAGAGGGATGACTCTTGTCCTCCCTCCCCGGCATCGGCTGGGGTCAGCCAGAGACAGGCACGGCGATCGGGGCCACTCGCTGGCTAACCCTGTGCTTCCGATAATAATCCCCTGTGGATAATAAAGTTCGGGGGTCTGGCGGGGATAATCAACGATTTTCCCTGCGAAGGTGATATGATGATGCTGCTGCTGCTGATGATGATGGTGATCCTGGGCGCTCGTGTAGACTGACCTTGTAGATCTTGGCACAAGACTGGCTCGAGAGATCTCGAGGGTCGTGGTTACAACTTGCCTGCGCAACAAAGGTCCTTGTCGCTCCTGGCCAAGAAATCTCTCTTGCGCACGACCACAAACCACTCGCCCATGCTCAGCGTTGTTTTATGTTGTTGCTAGTCAGCATGAGACGATAGCAACTTCGATTCGCAACCTTCCCCGGTGATGATCAAGGTCGGCCTCCTCGCCCCACTTCACAATTAAATCCTGTTGACACGGGATTAAATTATACGGGGGAAAGGGTGGGTACATGATTATCCGGGGCACAGGGTTACTCGACTCGTTCCTGCTCCGATCCGCTTTCGCGAGCCGATCTTGCTCACGACTGTCTGTGGGTTGAGATCTGAGGGCTGGTTCCTGTCCCCCCTCACCCTTGGCGTCATTCGGCCGCGTGCGCTTCCTTTCGGCGAGGGCCATCGAGGAGCATCTTGGACCAGCCTTGTCGAACAAAGCAAACACAAGCGCACGAGGCCGAAACGTGCACGAGGAGTGGCCGTCCGAGCGGTGGCAAGGCCCCCCCCCGTTCTGGCCCCCCGGGGGCGCCTGGCCTGCCGCGGCGCCAGCACGGTGTCCAGCCTGTGCACGGACCCGCCCGCGGGGGGGCGGCGCCCACAGCCCTCTCTTGCCGCCCGCGCCGCTCCGGGCGGCCCGGCCCCTGGCGGGGATCGCGGGGGAGGGCCAGCCTCTCTGCAGTCGGGGCGCATTGCGGCGAGCGAGGGGGGGAATTGAGAAGGAGAAGGCCTTCTCAGAAGGCGGCGGGACTTCTCAGAAGCCCTCGCGCCTTCTGAGAAGTTGTTTCTGTCTTCGGGGAAGGCTTAGAAAACTTCTCAGAAGTCTGGGGGACTTCCGAGCCTTCTGAGAAGGTGCGCCCCTTCTCACTTCCCCCCCTGGCTCGCCGCCTAGGCATTGGCAGGTCGCCCCTGCAAAAATAGGGGTACGCTTGTGTCCTGTCCATCCCTTCTCATGTCCTTCGCGTGTTCGGACCAAGGGTACCCTTGTGGGAGGCCATGTTGCCGTCGGCAGAGTCTCGTGCCCTGTCGCGTGCCCTCTCGTGTGCGCCCCGACTGGCGGCCTCCCTGACGTCGAAGAAGAATCAGGAGGGGAACAAAAACACACAGACACAATTAATCGTCGATCCCCCAGAAAATATCGGAAAATATGGGGGAATATGTTTGTATGTGTGTATTTATTTGTGTGTCCCAGGGCCCCTTCAAAGAAGCAGCGCCATACACAGACTTTGGGCGCTCCGCGCGGATCTCTTGGAGCTGCGCCGGACCCCCCCCGCGGCACGGCCAGCGCCGCCCCTGGCGCGCGGCCGATGGGGTCGGAGCATCGCGCCGCACCGCCGATGCAGCGGCGATGCGGCTTGATGCGCAGCCCCGGCTTTCGCCTCGCCGGCGTCGCCGGTGCATCGCCGCGACCCCATCTATTCTCGGGGGTGGACGTAACCCCCAACAGTGACACGTCGATTAATGAATTTCCGTTTTCGGTTCTCGAGAGGGCGCCGCGGCCGTTATTTTCCAGGCTTGCGCCCGCCAGTTTTGGGCCTCAGGTCGTTTTCACTAAACCACGTTTTACTAAAGGGAGGTCTGTCCATCCGCGATATTCGAACCCTATCTGCGAGGCATTTGGGAGGAGGGCCAGTCTCGGAGACCCAGAGGTTGGCACCGACGCCAACATCGCAGCACCAGCACCAAGAGTGGCAGGGTGCCTCCACCGTGGGAGGGTGATCCCGATCTCGGTGAGGGCGGTCATCGTCGGGCCTCCTTGGTGGCCGAAGTGTTTCCACCAACTCCAGAATCTAGGATCATCCACCCCGGGTGGACGCACCCCTCTGTTTTGGTGTTGGTGCAACTTCCCAAGCATCCAGCAGTCTCAGGGCGCCCAGCCCCTATCAGCCGAAAAGGTGTGTGACCGGGCAAAAATCGGTCACCAAGAACGTGCCCTAATTTGTGACCGAAAATTTGGCCGAATTTTGCTCACACGCTGCACGTTCGGAGCAAGGCGGGCGCCGGTTTCGGCCACACTCGGGCAGATTTTCGGGCACAGTTTTGGTCACTTACCCCCATGGTGACGAGGCTGCGTGACCATTCGAGACAAAGGCGGCCCTCCCTGGCGATGTTCGTCCTTTTTGGGCCTCCTGGAAGCTTCTCGTCGCCGCGGACGGCTGGTTCCGCTTCGGAAGTCAGGCCAGGGTGGACTCTTTGGGAGGGGTCCGGGGACCGATTTTGAGTGGGCGTGGGCTGGTCTAGAGAGCCGCCCGTTGTCTCAATCGGCCTTCCTGCGATGATCGGCGAGCGTGGAAACTTCCGAGATGCGGACTGGACGAGAGGTGGGGCCAGGGAGTGCCTGAGATCTGGCGCGGCCATTTTCTTCACGCTGGGCGCGTTCGCCCAGCTGTGATCCCGGGGACAAGGGTTCGGTCCGTCCTGTTTCAGGAGAGGAACACACACACAGACACAATTGATCGTCGACTCCCAGGAAAATATGGGAAAATATGGGAAGTGGGGGGGAAGACAAAAACCCAGAAAATATGGGAAAGTATGGGGAATCCTTTTATTTGTGTGCATTCATTTGTGTGTCCCAGGGCCCCTTCACTGACGAATGTCGCAGAATAGATGGGGTCTAGAGCTCCAGGTGCGATCTTTCAGGATGTCGCAGCTTTTCGTGACGTCGGCTGCCAAGGTATGGCAGGGAGGGGGGCTGCACACTCTGCTGCATGCAGCTGGCTTTTTGCCCCGCCTCCGGGGTCCTTGCCTCGGCACGCTGGCGCCTCTGGCGCGGAGAACACCGCTGCGGGAGCCGATGCGCTCGCCCGCGGTTGCTGCCCCCCTTCGCCCCGTGTCGCCCGACCTGGAGAGACCCCCTGAGGACGGAGGGTTTCTCCGAGGGGCTTAGGCGACCCCTCCCCCTCCTCCTCCTCCTCCTCCTCCTCCTCCTCCTCCTCCTCCTCCGCCTCCGCCTCCTCCTCCTCCTCCTCCGCCTCCTCACCCTCTCCCCTCCTCCACCTCCTCCTCCTCCTCCGCCTCCTCCTCCTCCTCGGGTCGCCTACAGCCCCGGGGAAAACCGTGCATCGGAGGATCAGCGGAAACCTCCAAGAGCGCCGAAGGTTTCTGAATGTCGGTGCGAGTGGGTGCCCATACTTGTCCCCCCCCCGGTGTCTGGGCCTTGGAGCTGTCGGCCCCCACCTCCCAGACGGGTTCGCCGTCGTGGCTCGTGGTCTGCGACCTCCTCCGTAGCTCTCGGACACGGCCTCGGGAAGCCCAGGGCGCCAGAAGGCGTTTGCGCTCGGGGTTGTGCTTCGCGACCTCTGAGTCCTGTGCAGATTGCAGATGACCTAGGTCTCCCAGGTCCTCATGGAGGGTTTCTCCGAAGGGCTTAGGCGACCCCTCCTCCTCCTCCTCCTCCTCCTCCTCCCGGGTCGCCTACGGCCCCGGGGGAAGCCGTGCAGGTCCTCATTCGTTCTGGGCCAGCCCTCGCTCGCTCCGGGGGGGGGGTCTCCAACTCACGTGTGGCTCTAAGCGGAATGATTAGGCTTGGCGCGGTCTGCCAGATCCACGGGGGTGCTCTCCTCCACGGGAGGCCAAGGTCGGGTGTAGCCAGGACCCCGGGTAAGGGGACCCGGTTAGTGGTAGGGCCCTGGGGCCCCTCAATTGGCCAGATTCACTAAACCACGTTTGCCTTTATGGAGTTTTTCGGGTGACGGCAGTTCTGGTTAGCGGAACGGGGCGGGGGGGGGCCCGGTACACATCATTAAACCAGGTTCCTTTAAACCCAGTTCTGCCAACGCCCGACAAGGGGAGGGGTCGATGGAGCGAGGGGGCGAAGCACTGTCATCGGCAGTGCTGTGCGCTCCAGCCCACGGGCCGGCTTGGTATTCAGAAGGGCCTGCGCGACAACCTGACCACAGCTTGCAGTGGAGGCCCATGCCAAGGAGCACCCTGCTTGCCTCCATGGTGCCCTGGGTTTCTTGGGTTTCGATGGTTTTGCTATGGAAAGCGTGACGTTCCCACACCAAAAACCCATGGACGTCTTGGTGCCTCAGGGTTGGGTTTCTCGTGGAGTGTGTCTTGTGGAATGCCCTCCATTGGAAGCTCGAAGGATCTTGACCAGGGCAGGCAGACTGACGCGACGCAGCAGAAGCGGTGCCACGTTCAAAAGCATCGCCAAAGAAGTTCGGCGACGTCGGTCTGGTCGTCACGAGCCCAAGCTTACCTGGGTGCCTGCGACGAGCGAGCCCAAGAGCGACGACACGCGCCCGCACTTTCGGGCTGGGGCCGGGCGTCTCGGCCAAGGCTTCCAGGCAGAAGCAGCGAGCGCGCGACGAGCTGCCATCCGCCCCTCCGCAGCTGCAGCACAGCGGCGCAGGGAGGCCTCCCAGGGTCGCCCTGGATCGCCTGCACTCCCGACATCTGGAGGATGGTTGAAGGCCTAGCCAGAACACGTCAACATGTGAGGCTCCGTCCACGCTGGCACAGACGCGCTCCACGGGGGCCTCGAGGACCCTCGCCCCAACCTTCTCGAGGAGACCACCTGTCATCGAAAGGCTTCCGAGCACCAACCAAGGGAGCTTGAGGGCCCACAAAACGCCCCCGAGCTCGGTCAACCGAGACGGGTTGCTCTCTGCGCACCTTCGGGAGCGGTGCCCGTAAACAAAGAGCAGCTGATTATATCATAATCGTGCGGACGAACGGCCACGGGCAAACAAACCGGCCGGCATGGTGTGACCTTCCGAATCAATTATTGACATATGTTCGCACACATGAGACAACTTGTGAGACTGGCAACGGCTCTGCTATAGGATCGCGCCACCTCCATCATTGGTTTGGGCGCTTCATGAAGTTGTCATGCAAATGGGGCCCGTCAGACGAGCATCAGTCTGGAAGCAACGAAACTTGGCGGCAGTGCACTTCCTCTGCCATTCACGTGCTTGCCTGACGCCAACATGCGTCCCGCATGATGCAATGCTACGGGAGACCCTCGACGACTGAATGTGGCGCATGTAGCCCAAGGCCTTCCTGCCAAGGATCGTGATCTTGCAGAAGAGTTGCTCGGTGATGGCAGAATCTCCGCGTGGTCTAGCACGACAACTTGAAGATCTGGCGGCAGAAGAAGAGCACGAACGAGACTGGGACGACTGCGACCCCATTGATTCCCCACGCGGAAGGCGGGTCGCAAACTCCTTGCCTGGTCGAGGACGAACCGCTCTGTCGGGGTCTGGGTAGACGCACGACGTCTGGGCCGCGTGCAACGCAGCTTGGCGCCGTATCCTCATCTGTCCCTGTTGACGATCACCCGGTGGGCTGGTTGCGGCCCCCGCCGTTTTGGGCCGCCTTGTTTGCTGCTGCCTGAGCTGCTGCCGCCTTGGCCTGGCGAGTCCCCTGGACCTCAGCCCCGGTCTTGGTGGCAGCCCCCTCGGATGAAGACGGTGCCGCCTCAGCCGCTGCCCCTGCGCTTGGCCCATTGCTGGTGGCCTGCGCTGGCACTGCCGCCTCTGCGACGCCGCCGCCCTCGCCCTTCCTCTTCTTGGCGAGGCGCTCCATCACCTGAGACTGCACCGGCCTCATACGGTTCCTCCGCTGCGCGGTTCTCTCGCTCTTGCCTGCGAGGTCGGGTGTGGTGGCCCGGGGGTCGTCCTCGAGCTCGAACAGCTCCCCCCTCTCACTCGCACGCGCACTCCCTCGCGCGGGTGAGCTCGAAGCACCTGGCGCCCAACTCGATGTCGAGACGCAGCTTGCTGCTGTCGGCCGTCTGGCTGGCTGCCGCGCCCGGCTCGGTCGCGAGCGTCTGCGCCGCGAGCCGCCGGGTTATCTCCGCCTCGGCCGAAGCGCGGAGGGCGTCGCAGTCCTTGCCTTCGACGCGAGCCCCGAGCGCCACATCGCGAACTGCTGCGCGGCCTGGTCGCGCTCGGCGCTGGCGTCGCGCCGCGCGGCGTCCGCGCGCGTGACCGCCTCAGCGGCGCTGGGTGCCGCTGCCTGCTGCGGCGCGACGGTGGGCGCCTGCTTGAGGCTGCCGAATTGGGTGGGGTTACGTCGGGCCTGTCCTTCTACAGGAGGAAAATTCAAACATAGTCAGGAAATAGTATGGGGACGATTTGTTTGATTAGTTTTTGCACATTTGGGAAGAATTTTTCGATATATATATTATATATATATAATATATATATATATATTATATACATAACATTTGTCGCCCAAAGTCCCCCTGTAGGGGGCACGCCCGACTTGAGGGTGGGGCGATGGCCCCGGCCGCGGGCTGGAGCACCTGCTGGTGCGAGTTGCCTCCCGCCGCGGCGCTGACCTCGCCCTGGGCGCTCCCCTGCCCCGGCCTGTCGGCGCGGGCCTGCCGACTGCAGCGCCAGCCTTTCTGGCCGCAAGCGGCCACCGCCCACCACACCACCCCGACCCAACCCGAGGGCCTCGACGTGTCCTCCATTTCCAGCGGGGGGGGGAGCATTGGAAAAAAACACACACGAAGCTCGTACAGTCGGGGCGCTGAAGAAGGAACCCTTTTCGTTGGGGAGGGGCTCGGTGTTCCTTGATTGTTCTACAGTTCGCCTTCTGTTTTCCAGAGGTTTTCCATGGGAAATCGACGTTCAACTTATGTGAGAAAGGGGCCCCGATCCTTGTTTAGGGTTCCTCAGGTCAACGCCCCGACTGCACGAAGCTCGTACCTACCCAACCCACAATTCGGGTCCTCGGGTTGGGCTGGGGTGATCGGGCAGGAAGTCAAGTGGCGAGCGCGTCGCTCCCTTCGCGCCGCCCGCGCCCGCCGCGTGTCGACCTCGGTGAGAGCAGGAGGAGCACCGCCTGAGCTTCCGTTCCCACTCCGTCTCCGCGGCGTGAAGCTCAGGAGAAGTCGGGGGCGGAAAAGAGGGGGGTGCTGACTAGGGGGGGGTGGATATCATGGCGGGGGCCATGATAGTTCCCCAGATCCTATGGCGCCTCTTCTTATTTCATTACGTCCCTGGCCCCCCCGCTGGGCGGCGCACATGCCGCCGGTCAAGATTTACCCCCCCCTCTTGGACACCTACCTCTTGGCCGCTCCCGAAGAAGCGAGTGCTCATGCAGAAGCCGCGCCCCTCGAGAACCGGCGCGGAGGTGGTGCGCAGACCCCCCCGAGGCCCAGGAGGCGCGCCCGAGATTCCGAAATTTCGGGGATGGGCCTCTGGAGGGAGGAGGGGCCCGGAGGGAAGCGGGACTCCTGGAGTCAGGGAGCCAGAGACGGGGTAACAGCAGACGGGGAAAAAGGAAACGGCCGGTTCGAGGCATTAAATTGCCCTTTTGTTGCAGTGCAGTTTTTTTTTGATTTCGCGTTCGATGCAGCACCTTCCGCATGCTGGCTGCGTTGCACATTTTCGGCTGCTGCACTGTAACTTTTTGTGTTGGGCCCTCTTTACCCGCTCTGTGAGGCTTGTTTGCAGTTTTTCCGCAACTATTTGCCAACACGCTGCAGTGCAGTGTTTTTCGCGTTGCAGAAAAATGCAGTGCAGTTGTTTGTTCTGGTCGTTGCAGTTTTCCCACCTGGATCCCATGGTGGGTCTCTTACCCCGTTGAGGCGTTACCCGGTTTAGTGCTCCCTGATGGAGGGGGAGGGTGGGGTTCTGAGGGGGGAGGGGTCAAGAGGGATCGACGAGGAAGGGTCAGGACCCAGACATGCGACGTCATGGTTTTTTGTTCAGGACGGCGTCCCCAGAAGTCCGGCGGCCCCCTCCCCGGCACCGGTTTCTCGCCCCGAGTCGCTTTGTTGACGGTCCCGAGGCCCAGCGGGGGCTCCCCCGGGGCCGTAAGCGGCCCAAAAGTTACCGTCCTGATTTTTGTTTGCGACGCGATCATTCGCAGGCCTAGAGGTTGACACCAACACCTATGTCGGCAGTGTGCCTCGACCGAGGGGAGAAGATCCCGACCTCGGTGATGGTGGCAATATCCTGGCTTCCCCAAGGTGGCCGAACTATCACCACCAACGCCGAAATCTAGGATCACCTTCCCCCCGTGGAGGCCAACCCATGTGTTGGTGTTGGTGCCCATTTCCAGGCCTCCTCCTCCTCCTTCCAGGAGGGGGGAGGAGGAGGAGGAGGAGGAGGAGGAGGAGGAGGAGGGAGGAGGAGGAGGAGAGGAGAGGAGGAGAGGAGGAGGAGTAGGAGGAGGCGGGGGGAGGGGGGGGGAGGGGGAGGAGGAGGAGGAAGAGGAGGAGGAGGAGGAGGAGGAGCAGGAGGAGGAGGAGGAGCGACCCCAGGACGATCCGCCCGTGGACCCGCTGGCGGCCACCTGCCCCGCGAGCCTCCTGTTGCACCTACAGCCCCTCGGCAGCACCTTCGGGGAGCCCAGCGGCGCCCAGCGGTGCCCCTCGGGGAAGGACCGCCTCCTCCTCCTCCTCCTCCTCTGCCTCCTCGATCCTTCTCTCCCCCTCGCCTGCTCCTCCTCTTCCTCCTCCTCCTCCTTCTTCTCTCCTCCTCCTCCTCCTCCTCCTCCTCCTCCCCCCCCTCCCCTCCTCCCTCATTTTCCCAAAATGCTGCTCTCGTTGAGGCGCCGGCCTCATTTTCTGCTCCCGAATCGTTCCGAATCGTGCTCCCGCTGCAGCGTGGGCCTCATTTTCGGATCGGTGTTTGGCCTCCGTCGTTCAGGATGGCGTTCTCGCCCCAGCGCGGGCCTTTTCTCGCGCGCCCATCCGCCCGCCACCACCGCGCCGCACCGCCACCACCACCACCACCACCACCACCACCACCACCACCACCACCACCACCACCACCACCACCACCACCACCACCACCACCACCACCACACCACGACAACCACGACAACCACGCACACACGCACGCACGCACGCACGTGCACCACCACCCACTACGCACGCGCGCGCGGAGCCACAGGTCCGCTACGAGACGCGTCCGCGGATAGAGAAAATCAGCGCCATGGTAAGGGATGTGAGGGAGGGGTAGGACGTCAGATATGACGCGAGCACACCTAGCTTGCCCTCCCCCTCTCCCTCCTACTCGATGCTTCCAACGCATCCTCCTCCTCGACTTTCGGGGCGGGGATTCCACGGGAGGTGCAATTCGGCCAGGCTCGATAGGGATGATGGATGCGGCGCTCTCTGCCGCTGCTGGCGGGGGAGGGGGGGGTTCCAACCCCCCTCCTCCCCCCCCCCGCCTCGGGAAATTTGTTCGAGGGGTCCAGACCCCCTGGGCAACGACCAGGGCAACGACGACGAAAACGAAGACGATGATAACGAAGACGACGACGACGACGCCGCCGACGGCGACGACGACGACGAATACGACGACCGACGCCGCCGCCGCCAACGACGACGACGATGACGACGACGACGACGACGACGACTGACGACGAACTACGACGATGGACGACAGACGACGACCACGTCGACCACGACGACCACGACGGACGACGACCACGAGGACGACTACGACGCCGACGCTGCTGCCGCCGACGACGACAACAACGCCGCCGCCGACGACAACGACGACAACAACGGACGAAGACGGAAACGGCGAAGGCGATCACGACGGCGACGGCGAATCACGACGACGACGAGGACGCCGCCGCCGGCAAACGACCAAGCCGACAAACGAGCCAGAATGGAATGCGATCAAAGCTTGATCGAGCTCTAGTAGGATTTATCCAGCCGCCTGCGGCAAGTCCCACCACCGTACCAGACCAGCATTCTGCGTGTCGACTGTTCGAGGGGGCACAGGAGGCCGTCACGTGTGACACCTCGTGCCTCCAGGCTTGGGAGAGCCGTGATGAGGGTGAGGATGATTGGGGTGATGACGAGGACGACGATGATGTTGTTGATGCTGATTACGATGATGATGTTGATGCTGCTGATGAGGATGAAGCTAATGATGATGCTGATGATGGTGGTGATGGTGATGCCGATGATGAGGGTGACTGTCATGATGATGCTGATGATCATGATCATGATGATTATGCTGACTACGATGATTGTAATGATGATGTTGGTGATGGTGATGGCGATGAAGGTAATGATGTTGAGTATGATGATGATGGTAATGACGATGGCGATGGCGATAATGATGATACTGATGCTGGTGGTGATGGTGATGATGGTGATGATGACGGCGATTGTGATGGTGATGATGATGTTGATGATGGTGATGCGACTGATGATGATGATAGTGATGCTGACGAAACTGATGACGAACATACTGGTGGTGATGATGATGATGATGATGATGATCATGATGAACATGGTGATGATTATGGTGACTGTGGTGATAATTGTTGGTGGCGATGATGGTGGTGTGCACTGATGCTGATGATGATGGTGTTTGTGATGATGACGATGCTGATGATAATGATGATGATGGTGGTGATGATGATGGGTGTGATGATGATGGCGGTCATGATTATGATTATGGTTATAATGTGTAGTTGCGATGATGGTAATACTGTGCATAACCAATGATGGTGATAATGATGACCATGATGACGCTTACGGTGCTGATGATGACGATGACGATGATGAAGGCGATCGCGATGACGATGATGGTAATGGTGATGGTAATGGTGATGACAATGGTGATGATGATGGTAATGATGGTGATGACGATGACGTTGACAATCATGGTGACGATGATGATGGTGATGCTGATGATGATGAGGATGAGGATGAGGATGATGATGGTGATGCTGCTGATGATAATGATTATGATTATGATTGTGATTATGATTATGATTACTATGATGCTGTTGATGACGATGGCGATGAGGGTGACGATGAGGGCGACGATGATGACGTCGACGATGACGATTCAGATGGCGTTGATGATCATGTTGCTGATGAGCAGGACGAGGAGGAGGAGGAGGAGGAGGAGGGTGAGGAGCAGGAGGAAAGGCGTTTTGGCCGTCGTGGGGCTCCATTGGGGCTGTTTTGGGCCGTCTGGGAGCCTCTGAAGCCGGCTTGGCTCTCGTGTGCCGTCTTGGGGCCCTCGTGGCCGTCTGGTGGATGTGGGTGCCGTCTCGGCGCCTTCTTGGGCCGTGGAAGGGCCTTCTGAGGGCGTGTTGGGTCCCACGGGAGGCTTTCTGTGGCCGTCGTCGGGCCGTCTTGGATGCTGGCTGGGCCATCGTCAGCAGAGCGGCATGTGGAGGTCACCAGCAAGGCTGCAGAGTTCGCGCGTCGCTATCGGATTGACGATATGTGCGTGCTGCAAGACTGGCGCTGTCACGGTGCGATGTCGCACCAAGTTGACGAATATGACACGTCGCGTAAATTGCTTGTCCGCGTAGAAAAAGATCGCGAGGTTTGCCCGCGATGGTCCTCGTGGCGGCATTGGTCAGTTTGCTTCGCCCCCACTGGCGTCGCCTCTTGGATGAATTGTCTGGTCCATCCGCATTCCTGGCGCCGCGCATTGCCGACGATCGCGCGCGCCCCAGGCATCGCCGAGCGCGGGGCGTAGCAGCGATGAGACCTTCTAGCAGTGGGGATATCTTATGCGCGTCGCTGTCCTGCCACGCTCGCTGATGACTGGTGATAATTTGGACGCACCGGCGCATTCGCATATTCCCAGCTGAAAACACCACCGTTGGCCCCGACCGATGTCCTTTCAAGCTCGCTGGCTGGATGTCACGCACTTATTCTCACTATCGGAAGTACTCTGTTTCACTGGGGATCAATTCTTAGACCTTTGGGCCTGATTTGTCCGCCCTGGGTTCGATGTTCATCTGGTTGCACTTCGGGGCTGAGTTGCGGTGCGATATCTTGTAGTATTGGGCTTGCGCGAGTCGCGTTGGCGTTGCGAGCGAAAATGTAATTCTCTGCTGTTTCGTGCTGGCATTTTCGAACTCACCGCATTGGGGGGTTTCCCACGCCCGACCCATGCGCGCCATCACTTCCCATAGAGAGCCGCTTAAGTCCCGAGCGGCCTCACTGTGCTTTGACATGTGTTCCGCAGGTGGCCCCGCCGTGGCCGCGCGCGTCATCCCGCTGGTGGCCCCATCCGCGGCCTTCCTTAGGACGTCTCAGGTGGCGCCGCTGCGGCCCCATTCTCGGCGGTACGCGTGGCCCCGCGGCGCCTCCGCAAAGGCCCCGAGAGCGGCCGCGCTGCGACTCCGTCTGTGCCGCCGCGCATGCCCCGGCTTTTTCACCTCCCGAAGTCCTTGGCATCGCTCGGACGTGTGCATTTTCCTTCGGCGAGAACCATCGAGGACCATCCTTGATCATTTGGCGAACAATCCACGCACAAAACCAGAAAAAGCACAGGGAATAGACGTCCGAGCGATGGCAAGGACCCACCTGCGCCTTCGCGAGTGCCCCGCGGGTGGCCTCGCGGCGCCTTCGCCAGTGCAGGCCAGAGGGGAATTTGTCCGGATCGCTTTGGCCCCGCCGCGTCCTGGATGCGCGCCCCCGCGAGTGTCCCCCAGCGCGATCCGCGCGACGCGGGCTCGCGGTCGTGGGAGTCCGTCATCGGGGCCCGATGCCCGAGAACTCGGCTTTCGAGACATATCAATAGTGATATTGTTCCCTACCTAGGCTCTGCCTAGAAGGGTTCTTACTCTGTTAGCTTAAAGGGGCCGGGCAGTGCAACACGCCCCGGGCGGTTCCCCCAGTCCCCGCCCCGCGGTTCCCCCCAGTCCCCTGGGAGCTTTAGCTTTAGCTTTAGCTTAGCTTTAGCTTAGCTGTGGCTTAGCTTTAGCTTAGCGTTTCGCTTAGCGTTTAGCTTAGCTGTTGCTCAGCTTCAGCTTAGCTTTAGCTTAGCGTTTCGCTTAGCGTTTCGCTTAGCGTTTCGCTTAGCGTTTAGCTTAGCGTTTAGCTTAGCGTTTAGCTTAGCGTTTAGCTTAGCTTTAGCTTAGCTGTAGCTTAGCTGTAGCTTAGCTGTAGCTTAGCTGTTACTTAGCTGTAGCTTAGCTTCAGCTTAGCTTTAGCTTAGCTTTAGCTTAGCTTTAGCTTAGCTTTAGCTTAGCTTTAGCTTAGCTTTAGCTTAGCTTTAGCTTAGCTTTAGCTTAGCTTTAGCATAGCTTTAGCTTAGCTGTGTCTTAGCTTTAGCTTAGCTTTAGCTTGACTTTAGCTTAGCGTTACTGTTACTACTAATGCTGCTTTCCTAGGGGTTCCAACTCCTAGGTAGGGTCGCACTGGGATAATTTTTGTTTTTTCCCTCTCTCTCTCTATATATATATATATATATATATATATATATATATATATTTGACATAGCTCATTCTCGGATACGGAGTTCTTTATCCGATCTGTTTCAGCATGCTTGTGTGTTCGCATGTAGGGGATGTAGAGTGGGACTCGCTTCTGGTGGATGCACGGTGGGACGCCTTTTTTTGGGGGGTGGGTGGGCAGTGGGACTCGTTCGCAAAGGGTGTGCGTTGGGTCGCCGTGCCCGAGGTGCACAGTGGTGCTTCGACGTTGGTCGCCGACATTGCACCCCGATTCCAGTGTGGGCTCGCCGCGCGACCGGGTGTACACCGGGATTGCTTCGTCGGTGCACACCGGTCATAGCGCCAACACCGCAAAACGGATTTCGTTTGGAAAATAACAGGATGGGCCCAGAGTGTCTTGGAGAATCTTGTTCCGGATTTCGAAATGAACTTCGTGCTGATTTCTTGGGGCCCGGAATGATAACAAACAACAAATCCATGTGAAATTCACGTCGTTTTCCGCTCACCGTTTCTGGGTTTTGCATTGACGGAAATACACGCAAAAATCTGCTGCAGCACGTCTGCAAGGTCGGTGCAGTGAAACCGGCGTTTCGTCTGAGACATCTTCGCAACTCGGCACTGCAAATTCCCAGTGTACACCCAGTCCGGCGGTCCCCGTTGCTCCAGTGATGAGCACCAGTGGGGGGAGAGTGTCCGACATCTTGTCAGAGCAGAGCAGCTCGTGGACGGAGTCGGGGGTGCGCATTGGGTTGCCCGTTCTGGGGGCGTAGAGTGGCACGCGCGTTTGGGTGGTGTCCACTGGCGCGCCCGTTCTCAGGGTGTACGGAGGCCCCCCCCCGGGCCAATGATGCACAGTGGTACCAGGATTCCAGCGTGAAGTCCTGCCGGTGCATTGTTTCCTTCCTCCTTTCCTTCCGCCGAACTCTGGGAGGAGACCCAGGCCCGTCCACGCGTGGCCGTGCGCCGAGGGCGGGAGGGGGGGAGGAGGGCATGGGGGCCGGGTAGGAGGACGGGGAGGGGAAAGTAGAGGAGGTTTGGAGGGACGGGGAGGGGAGAGGAGGGGATCAAGAAAAAGGTGGCAGTGGGGAGGGGAGCGGGTGACCCCTCTTCACTGAATCGTTTGATCGTGGCGTCACGCCGCGCTCCCTTGAGGAGTGCAAGTTCTGCTTGCGCCGCCAAGTGTCGAGGAATGGGTGTGCACTGCGGTTGTCTTTTGATTGCGCCTTCGCTTGGAGGCCTGCACTCAAACTGCCTTGTCTGTCTCATCTCGCCTTCCTTTTCCTGCGTGCGTCGTGCATCGTCTCTTCTCCCTCCTCCGTCCTCGCCCTCCTCTTTCACCGCCTCGTCGGACTCCCTCCTCACCCTGCTTCACCTGGCCACCGCGCTTGCTGCCCGGCTTTCGACGGCCCCCTTGGCCGATGCCGGCGGCTTGCGGGGGTGCCGTCTTGGGTCTTGGGAACGAAAGTGAAGGGCGGGGAATGATGGGGAACGGACGGCTGAGGAGGAGAAAGGGAAGAAGGAGGCATGAGAGTCTCGAGTAGCGGGGGGAAGCGGGTTCAATAGAAGAGGTATTACGACGCCTCGTTGTGAAGAACGATAGCCAAATACGCTGACGTCGTCGCAATGTGTAGCCAGAAGCAGTCTTGAGTGAAGCTCCTGCGGTTCCGACAGCGATTTATCCAAAGAAGAGGATGATCTTCCATTGGTGGTGACTCTCCAGATGGTGAGGCGCGCCGGCTGCATTGTATGTTCGATGGTCGCACTGTCCTTCATATCCTCTCCAGGTCGACTGCCTGTGTCCTTGATTGCAGCACTGTCGTCGCTGCAACTGTCCCCCTTGGTTTTCACGGTGATGGCCTTTTCGGCAAGACGGCGCGGAGACTGCTGCCATGCCGAGTCCGACCGACGTCCTCCTGCCTCCCCATCGTGCCTCTTTCTCCTCGTGGCGGAGCTCCGACTTACAACTCGTTTGATGGGCCCATCTCCCGCCCAAGCGCACAGCGGTCGACTGCAATGTACAGAGGGATGCAGAGTTGACCAGATGTTGAGTGCAGTGGGGGCGCGCGTCAAGGAATCATCTGATTTTCGTTAGGGTATCCTGGGTTTCTTCGCTCCGCGCGCTGCGCGGCGACTTCCCGCGGCCGTTGAAGGCGCTGCTGCGTTCAGAGTGCTCCAGGCTTCCCCTCCGGTGCACTTCGCGCGCGGGTTTTCAGGGTTTGGTCTCTTGCGAGGGTTTCTTGCGGCCGCGCCCGCACTGTACAATCACCACCACCACCTCCCCCCCCTCGTGTCTCGTTGCCCGCCGGCGCGCTCGCCACCCCGCGCCTCGCCGCGCTGCCGCGCGAGGGGCAGGAGGGGCGCACGCGGGGAGGAGGCACCGGGGTCTGTCGCCCGCCAGTCTTGCAGGGTCCTCTCTCTCTCTCTCTCTCTCTCTCTCTCTCTCCCCCTGCTTTTCTCCTCCTCCTCCTCCTCCTCCTCCTCCGCCTCCTCCTCCTCCTTCCTTCTTCTCCTTTTCTCCTCATCCTTCCTCCTCCTCCTCCTCCTCGTATTCCTCCTTGCCCTCCCTCCTTGACTCCTCCGCCTCCTCCTCCTTTTCCTCCCTCCTCCTCCTCCTCCTCCTCCTCCTCCTCCTCCTCCTCCTCCTCCTCCTCCTCCTCCCCTTCCTCCCTCCTTTACTCCTTCTCCTCCTCCTTCTCCTCCGCCTCCTCATCTTCATCTTCCTCTCCCTCCTTTCCATCCCTCCTTTCCCCCCTCCTTCGATCCTCCCATCCTCGCTCCTCTACCCCTCGCTCTTCCCGGGGGGAGGCCCCCGAGCTGCGCGGGAGACGCGGGCAGAAGGCGAGCCGGGCGGGGCGCCCCCCCGCGAGGACTGGAGCGCGCCGTCGCCGCGCGGCATCGCGCTCCCGAGCGGCAGCGTCGCGGCGCCCATGTACGGCTCCGTTGCGGAGGAGGCCCCCGACGGTCGCCGTTGTCGTCGTCGTCGTCGCCGTCGTCGTCGTCGTCGTCGTCGTCGTCGTCGTCGTCGTCAACGTCAACGTCGTCGTCGTCGTCGTCGTCGTCGTCGTCGTCGTCGTCGTCCCTCCGCGTCCCTCCTCGTCCCTCCTCGTCCCTCCTGCCTTGAACGACGAGGACGGCGACGAGGAGGCTCTCCCAGCCTCGAGATGCTCTCCAGCAGCTGCGCCTCGCCGAGACCTTCCTCGGGTCGTCCCGAGCGTCCGCTGGAGACCCGAGTTTGGACCCGAGCGTCAGACATCCAAACTCTTGAACGAGTGTGCCGTCTTGGAATGGTCTTGTGGACCTCGAAGGCCCTCGTGGGAAGGTCGGGAGGCCGAAACGGCGAGAACGCCGAGATCTTGCAAAAACCTACAGTGGAGACCCATGCCAAGAAACACCCTGCTTACCTCCAGGGTACCCTGAGTTTCTTCGGTTTGGATGGTTTTGCCATGGAAAGCGTGACCATCCCACACCAAAAATGAACGGACGTCGTGGGATCTCAGGGTAGGGTTTCTTGTGTAAGGTTTCTTGTGGTCGGACCCCTACTGCTTATGGCCTCCTGGGGGCCCTCGTGGGAGGCCTCTTGAAAAGGCCTCTCTTGGGGCCTCTTGAAACGGCCTCTCTTGAAAAGGCCCTCACACCAGGCCCTGGGGTCTTCCAAGGACGGCTCGGGGCGTAGGGACGGTGGAGGAGGAGGGGGAGGAGGAGGAGGAGGGAGGAGGAGGAGAGGGAGGAGTGAGGATGAGGAGGAGGAGGACGGGAGGAGAAGGAGTAGAAGTCGGAGGAGGAAGGAGGAAGTAGGAGGAGGTGGGAGGAGAGAGGAGAAGGAAAAAACGGAGGACAATTGAGAGGATGAGGAATAAGAGGAGGAGAGGGAGGATTAGGAGGAGGAGGAGAGGGAGTAGGACCAGGAGGAGGAAGGACAAGAGAGAGGAGGAGGAGGAGGGTGAGGGAAGGAATGAGGAAATGAGGAGGAGCGGTAAGGAGTCAACCCGTCAGAGTTGGCGGTGCGGGGGCCTCTGGGGAGCCTCGCTGTGCCGGTCGCTCCCGGTGCCCCCGCCCGCCGCAGCTTCCCTCTGCGCCCTCTGGCCTCCGCCTCGCTCTCGCTCTCGCTCGGCCACGGCCCCCCCGTCCGCTTCTCCGGTGCTCCGGGGAAGGCGGGGGCGGGCCGACGAGGGGGAGGTGGGGAGGGAAGATGGAGCTCATACTGCTCCTCCCCTTCCCCCTCCCACTTCCCCTCCCCCTCCCCCTCCCCTCCCCCTCCCCCTCCTCCTCCCCTGCCCCTATTCACTACAACCTCCTTCTCCTCCTTCCCTCCTCCACCTCCTCCCACCTCCTCCTCCCTACCTCCTCTCTCCTCCCCTCCTCCTTCCTCCACCTCCTCCTCCTCCTCCCCTCTTCCCTCCTCCTCCTCCTCCTTCCTCCCTCCTCCTCCTGCTCCTCCCGCCCCCTCGCCTACCCTCCCCCTCCCCCTCCTCCTCCCCCCTGCCCATCACTCCTCCTCCTCCTCCTCCTCCTCCTCCTCCCTCCTCCTCCTCTCTCCTCCTCCTCCCTCCCCTCCCTCCCTCCTCTCGCGCCTCCTCTCCCCTCCCCACTTCCACCACCCCCTCCTCCTCCTCCTCCTCCTCCTCCTCCTCCTCCCTTCCTCCTCTTCTCCTCCTCCTCTCCCCCTCCTCCTCCTCCTCCTCCTCGCCGCCGCCGCCTTCTCCGGTGCTCCGAGGAGGAGGAGGAGGTGCCCCTATCCGCTACCCTTACGTCGGGCCTGTCCCCCCACAGGGGGATGTTCGACGAAGAATAAAAATACCCGAATAATGACCCAAACATAGTCCAAATATAGTCTGGGGACTATTTTTGGAGTATGTTCTGACCTCTTTGGGGTATTTTTTGTGCATTTTTTATTTTTCGTCGAAAATCCCCCTGTAGGGGGACAAGCCCGACCTAACGCTACCCTTGCCTGGTTTTTTCACCTTTGTGGGAGCCTCCTGGGGGGCCCTCGTCGCCACCGCTGGATTCGCCTCGAGATCCTGGTCAGAAGGCACCACGGGAGAGGTCTGGGGAGTAGCGGTATCGGTACCTTTTGGTTTCCCCAATTCTCTGGTGTTTCTGTACGTCCTCGTTGCCCTGAGCATCCGCTCTGCCGTTGCCTCTCCTTCTCTCGGTATTGGGGCACCGCCTGCCAGGTCGGGTGAGGAGACCAGCCCTGGATGTCGCTCTGCCGTCGCTCTGCTAGCATCCCGTGCTGTCGGTGCGCCATGCCCTTGCAACGGCGCAACTCGTGGAAAGCAACCCCATCCTCTGGCTCCTCCCCCTCGTCACCCTCCTCGCCCCTCACCCTCCTCCCCCACTCTCCTCCCGCCCTCTCCTCCTCTTCCTCCTTCCTTTTTCCCCCTCGCGCCTCAATCGAGGACATCGACCGCTCCCCCGTGAATGTCCTGGACTGCTCCGTGCCCAGCGCGATCCTGAATCGCAATTAGCGCTGGCGAGAGAGAGAGAGAGAAAGAGAAAACAGGAGCGAGGGAGGATGTATAGAGTGAGGGTGACGGAACTGAGGAGGACGGATGAGGAGGGAGGAAGGAGGAGGCAGGGAGGGAGGAGGGCGCCTCGGGATTTGGAGGGACGGACAGGGGTATGGATAGAGGGAGAGGCGAAGAGGAGTGAAGGCATGAGGCAGGAGGAAGGGGAGAAGAGGAGGCACGCTGGGAGGAGGAGGAGGGAGGAGGAGGAGGAGGAGGAGGAGGGGCCTCCTGGGCCCCTCTTGGGAACCTCTCGGGGGCCTTTTGGGGCGTCCACACAGGGCGGCTTTTTGGAGGGCCTTTGCCCCCAAAAAAGCCCTCCTCCTCCGCCTCCCTCCTCCTCCTTTCTCCCTCCTCCTCCTCGACCTCCTCCACCTCCTCCTCCTCCTCCTCTCCTCCAAATCTCCTCTCCTCCTCCCTCCTTCTCCACCCTCCTCTCCTCCTCCCTACCTCCTGCCCTCCCTCTCCTCCTCCTCCTCCTCCTCCTCCTCCTCCTCTCCTCCCTCCACCTCCTCCTCCTGCCCTGCCCTCTCCTCCTCCTCCTCCTCCTCCCCCCCCCCCCCCTCCATCCTCCCACTGCCCTCCCTCTCCTCCTCTGATCCTCCTCCTCCTCCTCCCCTCCTCCTCCTCCTCTCCTCCTCCATCTTCTCCTCCTCCTGGCCCTCTCCCTCTCCTCCTCCTCCTCACCTCCTCCTCCTCCTCCTCCTCCTCCTCCTCCTCCCTTCATTCTCCCTTCCTTTCTCCCCTCCTCCTCCTCCTCCACCTGCCCCTACCCTCTCCTCCTCCTCCTCCTCCTCCTCCTCCTCCTCCTCCTCCTCCTCCCTCCTGCCCCTTTTTTCCCTTCTCACACTACCTCCTCCTCCTCCTCCTCCTCCTCCCTTTCCCTCCTCCTCCTCCTCCCTCTCCTCCTCCTTCTTCTCCTCCCCTGCCCCTCCCTCTCCTCCTCCTACCTCCTCCTCCTCCTCCTCCTCCTCCTCCTCCTCCTCCTCCTCCTCCTCCTCCTCCTCCTCCTCCTCCTCCTCCCCCTCCCACCCTCCCCATGGGGGCACGCGCCAAGCCCCAGGAGATGTTCTTGGGGAATTCGGGTCCGCAGCCCCTAAAAAGGCACTCCTCGGGACAGGACCTGGAGCTCAGGTAGGGGGCCACATGCGAACCGCGGGGTCTGCCGCGGGGTCTGCCGCGGCGCCGGCGCGTCCAGCGGGTCGTCCAGAGGGTGTTTTTCGTACGTTAGAGGGGGCCACATGTGAACCCTCCTCCTCCTCCTCCTCCTCCTCCTCCTCCTCCTCCTCCTCCTCCTCCTACCCTGCCCCCCACGATTTCTGAGGGGGGGGTCACTTCGCTAACGGGAGCCCTCGAGCAAAGTGAACCCCCACCCTCACCCTCAGAAATCGTGGGGGGTGGGGGTAGGGTTCGCACGTGGCCCCCCATCAGGGGACTGGGCATAGGACCCGAGGGCACGCCCACTCCGTGCCTGGTGGCACGGTGCCGTCATTCTTGTCAGCCAATACTGTGCGCGCGCTCGCTTATCAAAGTTCATCCATTTCCAATAACCCTATGCAGCAGCACTGACAACGTCCACAGGCGCGCGGCGTCGTGCGCGCATGCCGAACCCCCTCAAACAACTGAGGTTCCGTGTTTTGAAGACCGAGGTCCCCAAAACCATATAAGGGCCCAGTGGTTGTTGCACCATGGTCGTGTAAAACAGTCCGAGCGCACGCTCTTGCGAATCCTTATGGGAGCGACATTCCCACTACATGCGACCAAGCGGGCCTATCGCGCGCGCGCATGTCGGAATCATTCGAACGCCCTTGTGCGTGTGTTGGGAGAGGGCACAACTTCAGACAAATAACACCATGCGGGCCACTCGCGCCTGTCGGCCGCGCACGTGTGTCGAAATCCGTCAAGAACCTTCATCACCGACACGTGGACACCATTATCGTTGGCGTGATCAACATCGGCACCGTCGTTGGCCTTGTCGTCGACATTGTCATCTTCGTCACCAGCATCGCTACTATCCTCATCATGTATGTCGTTGTCGACGTCGCCATGGTACCGCGCCCGCCCGAGTCACCGACTTGCACTGGCGCGCCCGCGCGTCAGCGCGGTTTGCGAGACGCTTGGGCCACCCCATCGGTCATCGCAGCCGCGGCGGCGTCGGCCGCGCCAGACTAGCTGGCCGTTTTGCGCGCGAGCCTGCGCGCGCTAGCGCGGCCGCAATGATGCGCCAGCCAGCGCCAAGCAGTCATCGCTATCGCCGCCACCCACATGGGCTTTGCAAGCTATATTGTGGGTTGGTTGGGTGGAGCGGTTGCGCGAGCAATGGGTGTAACCTCGGCCTGCTGAGTTGAACCCACATAGGCTTCACCACGTATATTGCACCGCATAGAGTTCGCGACATATTTCATCGCATGACATACACTATACCACGCAATTCGCTTCATAGACTATATTGTACCACGTCTCCTTTTTCATATGGATGTTTTGCCATTTCGGTTGCATTACGTAGCTTGCACAACGCGAGCCGCACCATATAACGTATATTCCATAGCCCACACCGCCTAGATTGCAGCGCGTGAGCTGCACAGCTATAGCTGGCACCACATCGGTTGCATTGCCTGGACCGCGCTGCCCTATCCCACACCACATGAATCTAGCTCGCGCAACATACAGTGTACCATATTTATAGTTATACTCTATTAGATATAATCGTTGCATCACCTGGATTGCAGCACGTGGCTTGCATCACGTCGAACGCACCACGTACGTTGCACCACACAGGTAGCACCACATAGCGTGCACCATGTAGGTTGCACTATATGGGACGCGCCAGTTCGACTACACTACTCTGATTGACCACATATACATGTACACATACAGACGTACATGTAAATCATATAATTGCAACACGTCGGTTGCACCACACCATATGTTAGTCACACATAAATGAATTCGCGATGGATAACACGCAGCTTTTGTTCTTGTGTACACAATGTTGGGCGCCTCCGCATATTAAGCCGACACGGTATGTTTGATGCCTTTCTTTCGCGCTTTTGACACCTTCGCGTGTAAGTGGTGCTGCGATTGTTGCAATTCGGTAGAGAAGCGGCGGGAAGAGGCGTAGGGAGGAACAAACGGTGGAGGAGAAGGAGGAGTACAGGACGAGGGAGGGAGGAGGGGGAAAGAGAGGAGGAAGGACGAGAGGGGTTGTGTTCCGCCGTGAGCTGAATCGACGGCCTCCCATTAGCCGTGCTGCGCACAGCGCCACCGCTGCCCCGTAAGCCGGCGCGGGGGACAGCACAGTTGAGCAATGACTTGCTCCTGGCTGGAGAAATGCGCCTCGCTCGCAGCGTTCTCCAACATCACCCCGCGGAGGCGTTGCCCTGCTTTTTGCTGCACTGTTTTTTGGCAATTGTTGTTCCGCTCGCCCGTGAGCACCCACGGAGGCGTTGCATGCTTCGGTAATTATCTTGTCCTGTGCGCCGCTGCCCATGCGGCCGCCGTCGCCACACTGTCGGCGCAGCCTGCCCCCCGCCTCTCTCTCTGCAGCTCTGGGGGGACGAGGAGCCCGGGAGCGGCCCGGCAGACCCTGTGGTGGATGGCAATGGTCCCCCCTGCCTTGGGGCAACCACGAAGAAAAGACGGAGCCGGGGGCCCGCCGATTCGGGCCGTGTGTTTGGTCCCTGGAGGGTCATGTTCGTTAGGATGCACCTCCTGGGAGGGGAGGTTCAGCATCGGCGCTGGTCGATCCGCGGTCGTAAACTTGCCGAGTCTGGCGTGGCCCGTGGCTTCATGACCCCTGCTCGGGTCTGGTCGCCCCTGACCGTTCTCGCGAGGGCCTCCCACGAGTTGCCTCCTTACGCTTCGGCTCGGGCTGCTCCTGGGTGCTGCTAGACGTGCCCCGTGGCCCAAGGTGCCCCAAGGAGTTCCATGGAGTCCCCCCTCACGAGGTCCAGGGGGGCCCTGGGGGCTCCACTGGAACCACAGGCTGGGGGCACCTTGGGCCAGGGCCAGGGTAGGGGCACAATACAGTGACATAAACAGAAAGGCTCGGGTGGTCCGCGCAGATTTCTCGGATCGGCGCGGACCGCGACATTTGAGCATGTTTCTGTTATTGTCTGTTCCCCTGCAGCTGGGGGCACCTTGGGCCAGGGGCACCTTCGCGCAAGTTTCGTGTCGAGTCGACTGGCGGCGACCCCGCCGGCGGCGGCGGCGGCGGCCCAGAATCGGCCGATGTAGAACGATTTGACGTTGCGGACATCGCCGACTGTTCAAGGTTGAACGATCGCGGAGGTGTCAGGAACCAACGACCAGGTCGACGCGACACGAACCTGCCGTCGCAAGCCCCGACCCCTGGCCGGCCGGGTGTCCAAGCCGCTCCCGCCTTGCAGCGAGCGCCCGCCGCGCGTGACCCACGCCGCCCGCGCCCGCGCTGCCCCTCGGCCTCACGCGGGCTTTCCCCCCCTCGGGACGGACGCCCGGGCGCCAGTGACACGGCTCGCGCCCGGGCAGTCGCCGCGGGCCGCGAGCCCCTTTTCTTCCTCCCCGCCAGACCGATACGCAGATCTCTCGTCATCCCCTCCTCCTCCTCCTCCTCCTCCTCCTCCTCCTCCTGCCCCTCCCTCTCCTCCTCCTCCTCCTTCTCCTCCTCCTCCTCCTCCTCCTCCTCCTCCTCCCTCCTCCTCCTCCTCCTCCTCCTCCTCCTCCTCCTCCTCCTCCTCCTCCTCCCCCTCGTCCACCTCCTCCTCCTCCTCCTCCCTCCTCCTCCTCCTCCTCCTCCTCCTCCTCCTCCTCCTCCTCCTCTCCTCCTCCTCCTCCTCCTCCTCCTCCTCCTCCTCCTCTCCTCCTCTCTCCTCCTCCTCCTCCTCCCCCCTCCTCCCCCTCGTCCTCCTCCTCCTCCCCCTCCTCCTTCCTCCTCCTCCTCCTCCCTCCGTCTCCTCCTCCTCCTTTCTCCTCCTCCTCCTTCTCCTTCTCCTCCTCCTCCTCCTTTTCCTCCTCCTCCTCCTTCTTTTCCTCCTCCTTCCTTCTTTTTCCCCCCTCTCTCCCTCCCTTTCTCCTCCTCCCTCCTCCTCCTCCTCCTCCCCTCCTCCTCCTCCTCCTCCTCCTCCTCCTCCTCCTCCTCCTATCCTCATAATCCTCCTCATCCTCCCAATCCCCATCCTCATCCTCCTCGATCGGGGCTTGGCAGCGGGATGCTGCACGACCTCCGCCGCGCCATCCACAGCACGACTTACACGATTGCATTCTCAGGTGTCGACGCACCCGGTGCATCGGTACCAGCTCTCACTGCAACGCTCGAGGACATTTTTGGGGATCCAACCTCCTCCTCCGCCTCCTCCTCCTCCTCCTCCTCCTCCGGCGGCCCGGCGACGATTTTGCCTCCCCCCCGGGCGGCCCGGCGACGATTTTGCCGACGAGATCGCCGAGCTGGCAGCGGGCCGCTGCCAGCTGTCGGCGGCAAGCACGGAGCGCCTGGCCCACGTCGAAGCCGAAGCCGCGGCGGCGGTGATGGAGCACTGCGCCGAGGTTGACGCCCTTGGGCCTGGTGATCGGGAGCGTGCTCCACCACCGCCCCGCCTGACCAGCCTCCAGCGCACCGTGCTCGCCTCCCGCCAACTACTCAGACGGGGGAAGGCGTTCGAGGCGTTTGGCCTGGCGGCTGCACTGACTGCGCTGACTCTGGGGCGGGGGGCCGACAGGATATCGACGCCTGGTTGGCCTCCCCCTGCTTGGCGGAGGGCGCGCGACAGGCATGGGTCCACGGGTCGGGTGCCGCGCGCGACACATCGCGCTGAGGCCCGCCCAGACATCCCTATCCTGCACTGCACCTGCTCTGGGGTGGTGACGGCCCGCGGGGAGGGGCGCTGCGGAGGCTTGCCCACCCCAGCCGCCCCCATCGGCAAAGCGGGCCGCACCAACCTCAGGATGATAACCCGAGGAGTCACCACCCACCAAACCACCCCAACCCAACCCGAAGGCTCAGATTTACCCTCGATTTCTAGTGGGGGGGGGTCGGGAAACATCGAAAAAACACGCGTGGAACCCTTGCCCCCCCCAACCCGAAATTCGGGTCTTCGGGTTGGGTTGAGGTGGTCTGGTAGGTAGTCAAGGAGCGCGGCCTGCCCGCGCAGCAGGCCCGTACGCGCGGAACGCTTCGCGCGGACTGCCGGGCGGGCGACGGGGGCCCGACGGGCCATCCAATTTTTGTCCTCCCTGGACATTGTCCTCCTCCCCCGAGGCTGCGCGCGCTCCTCCTCATGATTCTCCTCCCTCTCCTCCTCCACCTTTTCTTCCTCCTCCTCCTCCTCCTCCTGCCCCTCCTTCTCGTCCCCCTCCTAATCATCCTGGACATCCTCATCTCCTGCTCAGCAACTGGATGCAACTGGCCTTCTGTCGCCAGCCAGCGCGCAGGATGATAAGGCCGACCGGTGCCAGCCGGCGCCTGCGGCCTCGCCTTCCCCCTCCCTCGGCCTGGCAGGCAGCGAGCGCGGTCTGGAATCCTTGGACGCAGGCTTCGTCGTTTCATTGGGAGCGTCTATGACATGGGGAAGAGGGGGCGAGGGGGGAACTTGTCACTGGATCGTGGCGTTTTTGCTCGCCTCGGGATGCTCTTCGGCAGCTTCCCCTCGTCGAGGGCTGTCCATGGGTGCCTGTGTGTGTGTGTGTTTGTGTGTCATGTGCATACAGTGCGCCCCTGATGCCAGATCGCCAGATCAGTCACCCTCTGCCCAGCCGCCGACGCACAAGTTTGTTTGTTTGTTTGTGTGTTCGTGTGTGTGTGTGTGTGTGTTTGTGTGTGTGCGTGTGTTCATATCATGGCTGGGGGCGTGAAGTTTCACAGTTTCGATGGCCCGTGTTTTTCCCAAAACGCCCCATTCCGCCCCCCCTCGTCTGCGCAGATGCATCGGGCCATGATCGGGTGACACCCCCTCCTTCGTGACCCCTTTTCTCGACGCACCCGATGTCAGTTCTTGGGACGCGTCTTCCGCGAGGGGCCAGAAGTTTTAAGCTTCGCCGGTTTTCGAACATGCCCCGCCCATCCGGGGGGGCACCAGCTGTAATGGGGCGTCCCAAAAAGCGGCCTCGCACCCAGGGGAGACGTGAGAGGGGGCATGCCTTCGCAGAAGGCGGCGGGGCTTCTTTGTAGCCCGTGCGCCGTCTGAGCAGCCTGTCTTCGGAGGCGGCTCGGAAAGCTTCTCGGAATGCCGGGGGCCTCCTGAGCCTTGTGAGAATCGGGCGGGTGGCAGTGGGGGGTCGCCTAGAAAAGGGGGGTGCGCCCATAGGGGTCCAAAGGCATCCCTGAAGGGCCCCTTTTGCGGCCCCTTGTGCTTCACCCCAGGTCGCGCCCCCAGAGCGCCCGCCCGAGAGAAGCCGCCACCCCTCTGCCACCCCCCGGAGGATTGCGCGAGGGGGGGGGTGGACCTTCTGAGGACGTTTGGGGGCCTCCTCGACGGCGAGGACCTTCGCGGAAGGGCCCAGAGTGAGGTCGGGCATGTCCTCCTGCAGGCGGATTCTGGACGAAAAACAAAAATACTCAAAGAATTTCAAACAACCGAAATAGTCGAAACATCGTCCCCAGACGATGTTTTCTACTATTTGTTCGTATTCCGCCTGTAGCGGGACGTGCCCGCCTTAAGCTCAGAGGCTCCTGAGAATATTTCTGAGAAGCCGGGAGTGTTTCTGGGAAGGCCCCTTGTCTCCTCCGAAGCCCCCCCCCCTTCGTGCCGCCTACTCGTGTGCGCCGCCATGCTCGGGAGTTGGAAGCGTCATCAGTGGCGCGCGAGCAGCAGCGCGCTGTTGCTTGGGTCGCTGTGCCATCGCGACACTGATGCCGATGCTCTTTCTCCCGGGGCGATCGAGATTGGCACGGCAGGTTCGCGTCGTGCCGATTGGCGGCGACCCCAGCGCGTGCGCTTCAGGCTGAACGCCGCCCGTGGCCCAGAATCGGCCCTTCGTTGAACGATCCGGCGTTCACGGAACGGCCGATCGTTCAAGTTTGAATTTGGCATCGTTCGGACGTGTGCAGTTTTCTTTTGGCGAGGACCATCGAGGAGCATCCTGGATCAGTTGGCGAAAAAGCCACGCACGAGACCGAGAAAAGCACAGGGAATGGACGTCCAAGCGATGGCGAGTGAACGATCCCAGGGGCGTCAGGAACCAGCGCCCGGGTCGACACGACGCGAGCCTGTCGTACGCAAAGGATTCGACTACACGTAAGAGTGACCTTTCGCCGGAGTGACCTTTGGTGCGGGCACAATGGGGTCCCCCGATCACCGATTGCGATGCGAGAGTAGCGTCTGGCGCGCCTGAGTCTGGTCCCCCCGCGGCCCCCCAGAAGCTGCGCACCAAAGGTCACTCTTACCCAAAGGTCACTCTTACCCAGGGTCACTCTTGCGTATAGCCAATGGATGGGTACGGTGCCCAACAGCAGTTCGTGCTCCTTCTGAACGGGGCTCGTGGTGCGCGCCGCCGCGGCCTTGGCTCTCCGCAGACGGAGAGGCCCCCCCGCCCAGCAGCGGCCGCTGTGTCGGTCTCGGACAGCATCCGTGGGTTGGACATGGGGCCCGTCTTTTGCCCGTACACGCTGGTCGTTGGAAACGTAGGTATTTTTCTGGAATCCCAGATCCCAATCTATCGGAGGTGGATAGACCTCCTACCCTGACACGTCGATTAAGGAATTGGCCGTTTTCGTCTCGCGAGAGGGCGTCGCGGCCGTCATTTTTGCGGGTCCAGGTCCGTCGGTTTCGGTCCCAGGCCGTTTTCTCTGAGGGGAGGTTGACTAAAGGGAGGTCTGTCCACCGCCGAATCTACTTCGAGCGCCTTCCTACTTCAAGAATCGACCTGCTTTTGCCGTGTTTTCTTCTTCTCTGGGAGGACCTGGACCCAATCTACTAGATCCGCCTTCCCACTTCAAGTTTCTACCTACTTCTTCCGACCGACGTGTACCCGTCTCGGGAGTCCAAATTCTCCGCCCAGTCAGCGACGGGAGAATCCAGGGCCGAGTGCGCGGACGTTCGCGCGCGAGCTTCCCGCGCGGGGTCGCGCGGCGGTGCTCTCTTCCCCGCGCGGTGTGCCGCCTCGGCGGCCCGCGTGGGCCGCGGCGTAATGTCGCACTGCCGTCGTGCGTGATACCAATATTCGAACGGGGGATCGACTGCGGAATTGGTTTACACCAAAATTGATGCTCTCGTCGAGTGTGCGAAGAATATGCAGGATGCTCGTGGACCAGCGTCCACGTATCATCGTAGATCCGACGAGAAAATCAGGTTGGGGGTCAACAGTTTTTGTGGTTGATCCCCTGGTCGAATTTTCTTCTCGTCGCTCAAGTGTTGTCGAGCTGGCGTCCCCCCGCCCGCCCCGTCTTCCCGCGCCCCAGAGTCTTCCCGCGCCCCAGGGCAGCTCCAGGAGAAGCCGTCCGCTCACAGACCTCGCGAGCGCTGCGCAGAGAAGGGGCACCGGGCGAGAGGTTTTGGGCTTGGCCAGTGGCCTTTTTCCCTCCCTCCCTCCCTCCCTCCCTTCCTATACTCCCTCCCTTCCTCCCTCCGTCCCCCCCTCTTCCTCCCTCCCTCCCTCCCTCCCTCCCGCCCACCTCCCTCCCGCCCGCTTCCCCCTCCCCAGGGAAGTCCGGCGCTGCGAGAAACAGCTGGAGCGGCGGGGGACCTGGCACCATTCTCGACCTCCGAGGGGCGCCCTCGCCAAGCCTCGGGACCGTCCGAACAAAAAACGATTCGGGACAACAACGACCTCCTCCTCCTCCTCCTCCTCCTCCTCCTCCTCCTCCTCCTCCTCCTCCTCCTCCTCCCCTTCTCATCTTCCTCCTCCTCCTCCTCCTCTTCCTCCTCCTCTCCTCCTCCATCCTCCTCCTCCTCCTCCTCCTCCCTTCTCCTCCTCCTTCTCCTCCTCCTCCCTCCTCCCTCCCTCCGTCTCGGGCCGCTCTGGACTGGGGGTGCACCAGGGTCGACAGAGCCCATAGAGCGGGGCACAAAATCGTGACCCGCAGCACGTACGTCTTTTGTCGCAGGTGTGGCAGGTACGCCCGTGACAGGTGGACTGGCCTACTTTCTCCATGTAGCCCTGGGGCCCAAAGGGTGATCGGGGGTAGGCTGACGCGGTTGTGGAATGGGTTACACCCCACCACTAACCAGCCCCTGTAGGGGCTCCTGGAGTCGAGGGTCTGGCTCGGGGACGGCCCGAAGCGGCCTGAGGCTCCCACGGCACAAAAGCGTAGGCGGTCGTGATCCGTTTTGGCCCGCACTTATCCGCACTTATCCATCCTCCCTCCTCCTCTTCCTCCTCCTCCTCCTCCTCCTCCTCCTCCTCCTCCTCCTCCTCCTCCTCCCTTCTCATCTTCCTCCTCCTCCTCCTCTTCCTCCTCCTCCTCCTCCTCCTCCTCCTCATCTTCCTCCTCCTCCTCCTCTCTTCTCATCTTCCTCCTCCTCCTCCCTCCTCTACATCCTCCTCCTGCTCCTCCTCCTTCTCGTCCTGCTCCTCCTC